TATATATGTATATATGTATATATATATATGTATATATAGTTGTATAGTTTTATACAGACATATATATATAACTAATCTAACCCAGCCTAATGTAATCTAACTCAACCTATACATTCATAGTTTACAGTGCAATTATAAGAATTTTTGAAAAGTTATGTAGGATCATTAAGGTGCCCTCATCAGTCAGCACTGCATGTACCGACTAGGTACGGTATTGGCAGCAAGCTGTGACGTCGCTGACGCATGCGCATAAAGCTCTCGCGTGAGATAAAATCTCGCGACTGCCCAACACTGCCACTGGGTATATGCATCAAGTGTTACGGATACTGCAAATTTTCATTATATGTTGTTCTTTCTTAGTTAGTGAGGTATTAGAACCAATCAAAGTTAAAATGTGCAGAATGTACAAAAGTTTGTTTAATGAACAGGACCTCTGCAGCGTATATTACATAACTAATTAGAGCTGTTATGTGTTCAGAAACTATCATAACAGTATTTATAATATAAATTGTTCTTTTGAAAATAAGAGATATTTGTGTTTTAATATGCTAATATTTGTGATTGTATCTTCACATAAAAAGCTCTTTATAAAAGTGAATAAAATTTATTTCCATTAATTTACCGTTAGATGGTTATACTGTAATGTATTAGTTCCTCTAGTCATCATTAGATGACACTGATAAGCCTGCATCGGTCGCGCGCATTAATATGAAATTAGAGAATGAAAATAGAAGTTACCCAATATGTATATATCGTTATTATATTTGTTTGTATATAATAATGTAATGTTCACTGATAGTACTATATAAATTAAATTGTTATAAACTCTGCGGAAAGATCATGAATTGCAAAGTATTTCATGTAAACAAATAATTGACAATTACACAAATTTATAACGGTTTTATATTCTAATAAATCATATTAAAAATATGATGCATTTAAAAGACATGCGCCAATCGATGATTTGTAAGCCGGTTGCATTGCGCGCATGCGCATATTCTAAGCAATGGGAGTGGGAGAGAGACAGAATTACGATACGTTGTAAAAAGACGATCAGTCTTCTGCGAACATTCGGGGTAGATGGTAGTATCACTGGAACGGTATCAAACATCACATCATCTAATTTGTTAGCTATTTTACTGATCTTAAGGGTTGCTCTACAAAATTTGGCGTATTAATCTAGTAACAAGGTAAGCAAGTTATTCATACTTATATAAATCAATTTGTACGTATACATTGTCGATAATTATAAACGATAGTTAATATTGTTTAATGACATTTTCTACACTAAGATCTAAAATTATCACAGTAAAATTACGCGTACGTGCATAAAATTATCTGTATCGATAATAGTGTTGTCTCGAAAAACTGTTTTCTAATTGTTTAGTAGTGACAAGTGTTTTTCTCCTTGACGTCTTTCCCTTGACTTCTTTTCCTCGTACATAAACCTTGAAGTGTTTTTGACAACATTTGTTAATACGTAATTAGAATTAATTTGGAAAACGTTAGATCATTTAGTTTTGTTAACGGGGGTGGTCAATTGAATAAGCTGTTAGTGGGTCAATATTTTAGTGAACGTTATACAAAAATGTATGTGTTATGAAAAAATCTTTGACGAATTTCGAGAGCGTGCATGTCGTTACATTTTAAAACCGCATGTTCCATTAACCTTTGCATGTTGAAAACAGAACAATTGTATGCGCGAGTACACGTGTTTCGTCTGACAGTTTATTTTATGAAAGATACATACTCGTTAAAATTTTACGAGTATTGACCACAGAAGTGGAATACAACAAAAAGTAAGTTACTGGTAACGATCTTGTTCCGTTAAATTTCTACGACCGAGTTCTGCCAATTATACAGTTAAATACGGTAGTCACACTTTGCAAGTTTACATAGTGAATTGGAAATAAAAATAATGACCTGTCTTGTATATGATACAGTACTGTAGTAGATCAGGTCGATTGGTATTGACGAGCTAACAAACATTTTACACTGATCGTGATCAACTAACATTGACTGTTACCATAAGCTGTCACAAGTATTTGTTTCTACTCAAGTTCGTTTCAAATTAGATTCAATATTGATCTTGACCGCACCTAGAGTTAGTCATCAGGATAGCTGCATGTATGTAAAGGTTTTTTCATATTAAGTGGAACAATTATTTCTGTAAAGTCATTATCTTGCGTGACTAATATTTAATTTTATAAATTTAATCATTGACGTAACCAGAATTTTTATCTACGGTGGTTCAATCTCATTGTTTTGGTAATAAAGTATCAATGGCTCATGGGAAATGGCGCGAAAAACATTAAATTAAGTAATGATTAAAATGAGCAGCGTGTTTTGTCGAATGTTTATAAATGGACGTACATGTTTCATATAATTTCTCGCCATGAAACGTTGACTAAATTTTGTATGCATAACGTAGTAAAGAACATATAAAAAGGTTGCAGAGAAATTGTGGAAATTTCCCTACGATGATCTGCGCGAAATGCGCATGCGCAATTCGTGTATACCGGAATTTCATGAATTTTAAACTTTTTTGGCATTCGTCAAATTTAAAACAGTAATTACCATGTATATGTTCTATATTACATATAACGCAGATGAAAAGCAATTATTAACAACTCGATATTATTTAAAATTATTTATTAGAACTTGGCGAAATCTTTAAAAGAAATATTAATGTTTAATCTAATCGTGTTAACGGTTAAGATAAGGACTGCGCTAATATCAAAACATATTTTTCAGAAAAATTATGTTCTGCTAAATGGCAGTCATAGAAAATTCGTTTCCGTTCTGGTCTATCAATCAACCGACACAGAGACGGGGAATTGTGCAAAGAGCGATTCAACAACCTTTGTTTCGTTCTACAGTGTGCACATAAAATGTTAAAACTTTAGCTTCTCTTATTTAATTGATATCTTATTTATTTATCGAACTAAAAAAAAAACAGGAATAGAGATATTGATAAATCGAATGCGATGTTAATTTAACATGCTTGTGAATTATCTAAATGTGATTCATCATAACAAGGCATTATTATGATTCATTTTAAACGTGAAATAATAAATAGTAAGCATATTGATACATTCATATGTTAGAAGCAACAAAGAAATAGGCGTCCTTCGATCTGTAATTACAATATAATTTATTGCAATTGCTTTTTTGTGCTTAAAGAAGAACAGTCATTTGTTACTTCACGTTGAATATGACAGCTAGATCGGTGGCACTGTCATGACAAAAAGTTGACATGTAAAATTAATGATGATTCATTTAATGCATTCAAACTTTGATTACCAGCAATGTTTAGCTTTTTGATCATGCATTTACAATACGCATACGATAAGTGCAAAGACTCAGTAGGATGAAACTAGGCATTTAAGATATCTCTATTACTGAACACGTGTAAAATTTTATGTTCTTGTTCAAATTTAACAAACAATTTCACGCGCTTCGTGTCTTTATACGTATAATAAATTGTCCTTAAATTGTGTGACCCACGCTTTGATGTTAAATCGCTTGCATGTGACCCACGTCTCAATAATAAATTCCACGAGTAGTCCACGTATCAATGCTGAAGCGAATGAGTGACCCATACTAGGTTAATCGTATGAATGACCCACGTTATAACTTGAAATCGTGTGAGTGACCCATGCTGCAATTTTACATCACACGTGTGACCCACTCCACATTTAGATATCGCGAGTGACCCACGCACCAACTCAAAATCAGACGAGTGATCCATGTTCTAACGTAAAGTTGTGCTGATGACCCACGCTTTAATTTGATATCACGTGAATGACCCATGTTACAAATTCAAATCACACGAGTGACCCACCCGCAAAACTTAGATATCGCAGGTGACCCACTCATCGGCGTAGAATCATATGGATGACCCACGCTCTAATGTGAAGTTATACTGATGACCCACGCTTTAATTTGATATCGCGTGAATGACCCATGTTACAAATTCAAATCACACGAGTGACCCACCCGCAAAACTTAGATATCGCAGGTGACCCACTCATCGGCGTAGAATCATATGGATGACCCACGCTCTAATGTGAAGTTATACTGATGACCCACGCTTTAATTTGATATCGCGTGAACGACCCATGTTACAAATTCAAATCACACGAGTGACCCACCCGCAAAACTTAGATATCGCAGGTGACCCACTCATCGGCGTAGAATCATATGGATGACCCACGCTCTAACGTGAAGTTATATACGTGACCCACGCTCTAATTTGAAATTGTGTGAGTGACCCACACCCAAAAGTTAGATATAATGAGTGACCCACGCCCGAAACTAAATTGAGCGAGTGACCCACGGTCTAACGCGAAGTTGCAGGTCAATACATGTCCTAATTTGAAGTCACATGAGTGACCCACGCAGCACTCGTCTTAAATTGCACCAGTGACCCACGCCACAATGCCGAATCTTTCTAGTGACACTCTACTTCAATATCACACACATGACCCAAGCATAAATTTTAGATAACACAAGTGGCCTTCCTTTTACGTCGAGTGAGTGACCCACAGCTCGGCCCTGACTCGTGTGAATGACCCACATCTCAATCTCGAACAACGTGAATAATCTACGTTGAAATTCGAAATCGAGCAAATCGCCTACGCTTCGATTCTATATGACTCACGCCTAAATGCTTAACCAGTTGTGTGGCTCACGCTGGTTTTCGGAAATAGATCGAAAACGTCGGAAAATTTATTCGATCGATGATCGTGAAAGAGTCGTTTATTTATCTGTGTTCATCGATACATCACGAACGTCAAACCGATGCAATACGCGGAGGTCACGAGCACAAGCGCTCAAGACGTATGAATTATATTTTCGTACTTGCTCAACCTTGCGCGTCGACGCGGATAATTGCGTAAGCGTTTCGTTTATTAAATCAATACAAATACACACGAATTTTCTGTCGAATATATCGTTCTTGAATACTGTGCGCGTTGAGCTCGATAGATGCGTTGTTTGCAAATAAGAGATAGCAGAATAGTAATCTCGTGACTGCAGGCACGTGTATGCTTTTATTATCTGAATTATTGTCGAGCGTTCAGATATCTGAACACACGACTCGCGTTGACAAGTTTACCGGAAGGTTTTGCGTTTAAAAAACGAGTGCACAGTCTTCTAGTGTCACGAATTCTGTTTGTACGGCAACGAACTCTCCGTACAAATATTTTTTTCCTCAAACGTACTATCGTCGTGAGATTAGTTTTGTTCTTTCTTAATAAACGCTTAACCTTCTACTTTTCAAGTTCAATGTTAATCGGGAATACCACTCGGGTATTTTCCTCGTTAATCGACACGTCGCATTATTCATAGCCACGGTGTATATATTATTTAATTCCTCGTCATTAATGTCAATGCGGTTTCGTAGCGGGAGTCGAACTTCGGAGAGAAAACTTATGGTCTTTGAAGGTGCATCGACATTGAATCGCTCGTGATAGTTCTTGAACACGGCCAATGTTCGCTATAAAACTTTCTAAAAATTCGCGGAATGGGATTTGCTTTCTTCTCCGGAAACAGAGTGAAAGCGATTCTTTTTTCCTCCATTTTTTGTTCTCTTTTCTTACTTAATTAACAATTACGGAATACATTGTATTTCATCGGTGATAAATATCTAAGTTCCTGCACATTTGTATCTATAATTGATCGATTATCTAAGATATATCGGAGCTTATCTCATCGCGCTCGATTCCCCGGATATCACTGGATTTATCCGCTATTACGATCTAAGGACATATGATGTAACTACATTTACAGAATATTCTAAATCTACGTTGTGTTTAGGTATAAAGATTTAGAAATTTTAAGACAAGTATCTGCGTATGACGCACACGACGGTATAATTTCACAGTCATTACGTTATGTTTGTTTTAACGAAGCGAATCGACGTTCGTTTTTGGAAAGGTAAAATATTGTAGATGAAACACTTAGATGGTAATGTGGTTTTCGATACGGCCGAAAGAAGAAGATGGAAAGTATGTACCTGATCCGTGGAGTAATTCTTGCGCAAAGTAACATACTACCACGCTTTTGCAATCGCTTCGCAACTACAGTTGAGAAATCACGAAAAAGATATCTCGCGAATATAGTAATAAACGATGCGTTCGAAAATATTGCATCCATCGGTTATCGGTAATTAGTCTCCTCGACGAGGGGCATTTATCGTCCTTGTAAGAAGACGTTAACTGTTGACGAATGAGTCGATAAACAAGGGGAATCTTGGAAAATAATTTGTCTTGACGAAACGAGATAGGAGAAGAATACGAAGTTAGAGACAAACGAGCGACAGACGGGTCAGGGTAATCTGTCGAGTGAATCAGATCATTCGTGGTTCAAGATCATTGCGTTTCAATGATTGAAGTACTTGTAGTTATTTCTCAAGCTGTCAAGTGTTATTTACCATTTTTATCACCGATGTTATATTTCATATTCGATACTTGACGTGGCGCTTAACATCTTACATTGCCACTTTATACAATTAATACGACATTGATGTTAATAAAGTATATTACTATTTGATATTTGTTTTATTATGCATCGTGCGCGTGCACAATTATCTTTTAAATCCGTGTTTCATCCGATCGAGGTTCAAAGTTCTTAGACGACAAAAATCGAAGAGGAAAAATTGTATTATCATATATTGCGTCTTTCACTGTTACGTGACAATCGATGATTGTACCATTTTCCCTGTCAGCATACCGTTACAGCATGTAGACTCTGTTCGGTACAATATACTCTTTGTACGTAATTGTTTATTACTGTCGAACGGTGCAGTACTTTAACCTTGTAAAATCGACAAACACAACCTTGGAAACGTGTTGTTATAGTTATCGAAAGTAATCGGAGTGAGCTGTCGATTGGAGACCACGTGCGAACGATTCTTGTTTCGAATACTGTAACGAAGAAAAAAAGTCACCGGACCGTGGTAGAGTTTCATGAATAATTTCCATAGAGTTTCGTATTCTTGCTTAATCGACATCATGCGTCACGTCATATTGCCAAAACAACATTGGCGAAAGTTTACCAGTTAATCCTAGAACTCGTCTCTTACTTTCCAAACATTATTCCGATTGATTATCGTTCTATTCGACCGAGAAGAATTTTGATTATAAAATAAATATCCTGAAAGCGATTTTATATCTTATAGCAAATCACGCACAATCTTATCTTTGATCATCGCGCATTTAAATACCAGCACTTATTAATCAAATCGTTATTATAACTCCTAAAGAATGTGTGTACTATATCAATATGGATTATTCCTAGCTTTCTAGATCACTAGATTGCAGTATCTCTATACACGAATGTCTTCGAGATTTCACTATCTCTATCTGCGTAACTATAGATAACTAGTACTCATAAATCTAAATGTTCTTAGATCTCAAATGTTGCTGGATTCAAAACTTTCTAGATCGCAGATGACTCTAAACCCAAAATGCCCCTAGCACGAAAATATCACTGAATCCAAAAAGGTCTCTAAATATGAAATGTTACTAGATCGACAATTTCCATAGAACCAAAATTTCCCCAGATCGAAATTTTCCGAGTTCCGAATTCCCTTAGTTCTAAATTTTCCTAGTTCCAAATTCCCCTAGTTCCAAATTCCCCTGGTTCCAAATTCTCATAGTTCCAAATTTCCCTAGTTCCGAATTCCCCTAGTTCCCAATTTCCCTAGTTCCAAATTTCCCTGATTCCAAATTCCCGTGGTCCCAAATTCCCCATGTTCCAAATTCCCCTAGTTCCAAATTTCCCTAGTTCCAAATCTCCCTAGTTCCAAATCCCCCAAGTTCCAAATTCCTCTAGTTCCAAATTGCTCTAGTTCCAAATTCCCTTAGTTCCAAATTCCTCTAGTCCCAAATTCCCCTAGTTCCAAATTTTCCTAGTCCCAAATTTCCCTAGTTCCAAATTCCCCTAGTTCCAAATTCTCCTAGTTCCAAATTCCTCTAGTTTCAAATTCCCTTAGTTCCAAATTCCTCTAGTCCCAAATTCCCCAAGTTCCAAATTTTCCTAGTTCCAAATTTCCCTAGCCTCAAATTCCCCTAGTTCCAAAGTCCCCTAGTCCCAAATTCCCCTAGTTCTAAATTCCCCTAGTTCAAAATTCCGTTAGATCAAAATTTTCCTCGATCGAAATTCCCCTACTTCAAAATTCCCTTAGATCAAAATTTCCCTCGATCGAAATTTTTCTAAGCCGAAATTTCCCTAGATCCTAATTATCCTCAGATCCCTATATCCATATAGTCCTGTAGTCAAGTTAGTGATACAATAAAAAATTGAAATTTCGAATCGAACGATCAACCCGTAATGAAAAGTTTTAACAGTTTTTAAAGCATATGCTGATCGGTATGTTAATTTATCGTTGACAGTAATTACTCCATGACTGTGTGGTTAGTCTCATAGTGCAGACAAATTAGTGATTAAAATTATCTCCTCGCATCGTTTACCCGTGACAAGGAGCAATAGGTCAATTTAACATATCAAAGACTCTTGCACGTTTTTACTGTTCAATATAATTTTATGATTCGTCGTTCGATTAGAATTATTTTCTAGTACACCGATGACACTTTACCGATGACGCGATTGGTCTTTCCGCGAGAAGTTTACGCGGCACTTTAATCGTCGGTTCGATAAAGATGTCATCGGGCATTTGCATAGCCCGCAGATTTCATTTGAAACGCTTAGCATTACGTTCGCGCAAATTCAGTGGTTAAAAACTAATGCATCCGAGTGAATATTTATGAGGCGTTCTTATTAGATTGTTGCTAGTAGGTAATTTCGAAATGACCGGAATAATAATTTCTTGGCTAAAAATGAGAGAATAAAAATGACATATTCGACGCTTTGTTGATATTCTTCGTATAAAATGACTGGCACTTCGTTAGAATCGACTGTACGTGCTAATTTGTTCAATCATCGTATTCTATATTGAGATTAATTCATTACTCCTCGATAACGCTTCGGGACTAATAATATGATTTAATAATCTGCCGCATAAATTATAGTGCATTTTAATGACAACGCATTATTGACTGTGCACAAATTTAATTTACCGTCTTGTCACTTCGCATTATTCGCTCCGATATCGTACCTGATGAAAAGAACTGTTTCTTTCTCGATGATAAAATTAAATTCAGAACGTTAGACTGATGATCCTCCGCGTGTCATCGGATTGAATTTCGCACGATTAATCGGTGAGCAGCGAAGTGAAAAATCGAACGAGACGGGTTTATAACCTCTGAAAGTCGTTATTAAGATTTGTCTAATGAAAGAAACTAGTCGTGTCGTAATAGTTAGCAAAACCGGTCGAAACTTCTTGCCAAAGGTTGAAAAAGAGATATGCAAGGTGCATGGATTGTCCTTGAGTTTGGATTCTGGAATTTCACTCGTTAATTATATTGTTCGGAAACTAATCTTTCGCATAACTTATAAATAGTTACACGAATGGCTATTTTAAACTGGTTATAAGATGAGATCATGATAAAATGATCACGATTAAGATCGTAATTGGCAGATACATTTGTAAGACACATTTTATTAGATCTTAGAATATTATATAATTTATGTAGACATAATCATAGGACTTCAAATTTAATAAATAAGTACAATTAGTACAATTTTATCACACTTTTATGTCATCAATTTGTGTTAGAATTTCACGTCTTGGTCGCGACTTACAATTGACAACCGTGCGTAAATTGATATGCTACAAGTGCATTTCACGATTTATATCAATTTCTGTTAGACTATATATTTCGCAATCGGTCATTGTTCTCTCTAACTGGCACTCGTCCACTCAGCATTAAGGCTATCGATGAAAGCTATATGCGGTATCAACGAAATCTCAAGTCTCAAATCAATGTACCACGAGTGCTATTTTGCGATACCTATATGTCACGAAATCGTGTCAGACTTTCTACGTGTCGAAATCGGTAATTTTACAAGAACCCAGTATCTCCGCCAAGATATTCATCTCTTCGTTTTTTCCGTTTCAGAGGGGCGCAATTATGCGAGAACTATAAGCAGCTGGATATCGGTAATCGTGGTTCAATCAAGCGAAAAGAACGTGAAAGAATCCTAGTTGGTGCTAGACATGCTACTAAAGACGTAGCTCGCAGCGAAGCTAAAGAAACCGTTTCCACGCGAAGAAACAACCGAAAGTGATCTGAGTTGATATATACGGATCGAAAAATGACCACACCGCCGCACTGTTCACCGTCCAGATCGTCGCTCAGCTGTTGTCAAATCGATCACAGCAGCCACGACGATGTTCACGGAGTGACTATCGCCGCGAAGGAAGATTATTTCTTTCAAGAGAAGCATTCTTTTCCGAAGAGACCCGAGGTGGATCTTGCCTTCTTCGATGTGCGGTACGCGGTTAAGGAATGGAGCCTACGACACATCAGACCGAGTAAGTTCATTATTTACTAGAGATATGGAGAACCTCGAAGCCGTTAGAATTCGATACTGCTGGAATTCCATTTTTCCAATTCGGAATTCATGGAATTCCACTCGTTAGAGTTCAATACTCTTGGAATTCCATTTCAGGAACTCGGAATTCATGGAATTCCACCCGTTGGAATTCGATACTCTTGGAATTCCATTTTTCGAACTTGGAATTCATGGAATTCCACTCGTTAGAATTCGATACTGCTGGAATTCCATTTTTCGAATTCGGAATTCCTGGAATTGCACTACCTAGAATTCAATACTGTTAGAATTTTATTTTCGAATTCGGAATTCCATCCGTTAAAATTCGATACTCCTGGAATTCCATTCCACCAATACAATTAAATTTACTCACAGTTCCACCCGTCAGAATTCGATGTGGATGGAATTCCATTCTTCTGAAATTCGATGTCTCCGATACGCAGTGTAATAGAATTTGGATCAGAATTCCACATTTTGCGACTTCGACGTCTTTGTAATTCAATATTCCCATAATTCAACGTCTTGAAATTCGACACCACTTATTACAACGTCCTAATAACTCCGTATAAATATTAATCATTTCTACAATAATAATTGTATAATTATAATTTTCGCGCGTAACTGATGTTATGAATATTTGTACATGTCACGTAATTATGTTTATCAATTCAAATTAAACGCATGACAGTTCAATATAACGTCCTAATGCACATAATTAATTTATATGCAGACGATTATACGTGTATCAATTTTTTTCCTTGTACCTCGTTATTTTTTTCAAACGCGCAATTTGCATAGAAGAGTTTCATGAACGGTAGAACTAACCGTGCTTCTCCTTTCACGCGAAGTCGTATCCTTTCGAAGCGATTCCTCTCCGTCGAATTACGACTCTTTCTGCCAGCTTCTAATGGAAAGAGAGCTCTTTTCAAAATCATCGGCCACTTTCTCCGTTGAGAACTTTCTTCGCCACTTGCTGGACCACTTCCATCGCTTTCTCCCGGCTGACCTTAAATACGCCTGGTAAAAACTAGTGGAAACACGCGCGAGATCCGCACGCTCCTGACCCGTACAGTTTTATCGAACACTGACCTATGACTAAACGACCATAACCTTTGAGAAAATCACAAGCGAAACGCATACACAGGCGATGGGTATCTTGACTCGATTGCTTGCTCCATACTTTCGTGTACAATTACTTAAATAATAAGTACTAAAAGGTAATATAAAAGGGAATGGTTGACACTAAGAAAGAGTAGGAATACAAGAGGCAACACTTCGGGGAGTAGCTTTGACGTTAGGAAAATACTGTCCCTTACATTGCTTGTGCTAACCTGGCGGGCAATTTAAAATTAATTTCATGTCAGTCTCAAATTAGAACTCTATCGTGAATTTTCTTTATATTACTAATGTTAGCTTTTGAAGTATTTACAAAGAATAACTTATAAAGAGATGATCAACCATCGCAAGAACATACAGATGAATGTGCAACAGAGAAATGACAAACTATTTATTAGAAATAAATTATTATTGCCGCCAATAATAGACCGCCATACTTGCGCAGTATGCGCATGCGCATTTCGTATCGCGCTAAAATAGTACCTCCACCCTCTGTCTCTCTAAAAAGTAGTTTCCTTGTCAAGTGTCGCCTCTTGTTGTATCCCTACTCTTTGACGCTAATCTTCGGCACTTTGGAACCGCGTGTACAAGTTGTGGATGCTGATTCATTAAAGTCAAAGATTATTCGATGCAACAAAAATGGTGCGTGTTATTAAATACATTTCGTTTTAGTGTAAGAGTTCAAGGCAATTTGTGTATACGTGTCAGTACTTTACTCTTTTCGAACATTCGAGTTGTGGCTATCTCATGTTTCCCTCGATTGTGTAAACAAGTTCGATTATTAAATATTGTGTCGTGACCTTTCGGTAGCGTGTAAAATGTCAGATAAGCGAATCGAAGTTCGTTCGCGTTTGTTATTGCAGATTTCAAGGGAGATCGAAATTGACGATGTACTTGGATTTATGAAAGGGATCCACTCAACGTGCTCGATGAATCGTAAAATGTTATTGCACGCGTTGTCTCGCGTTATCGTGTTATTGTGCATTGTTCCTTTTCCTCTCGCTGGCGATTACAGAACAATTCTTTAATTAATTACAGATTCTGTTCGATTCGTTGCAGCTTGCAACGCGCGTAAACTTGTTCTTTCCAGAAAATTATAGTCTTGTCAGAAGAATCATTGAATCTTAATCGAGTTAAAGATGCGCGTTCACTAATTAATTTACATTAATTTGCATTAATAATTAAATAGGGGAAGATATTATTTAATTTTCGAATTTTTAATTATATTATACGTCATTACTGTTTTCTTATGAAAATTTTTGAGAATTGGAAATTATTTAAATTTTAGTAGAAATTTGCGATGTCTCAAAAACATTTTAGGTTAATTTTTAACATTTACCAAGAGTCTTACATATTCATAAATATTTTAGATTAAGTCTTAACATTTAGCAAGAATTCTACATATTTTGTTAAAAAATTTCGATCTGAATGTAAATTTTCGAAGTCTAAGCATGAGTTTCCAAAATCTCAGCAGAAATATACTCTGTCATTGCAAGCATCTCATACTTCGATCTTCGATTCCAAACAGCGATCATGTACAGAAACGATTAATCGCACAAAGCAGTCGATCGGTTGAAAAACTTTTTTCCTTATCAAGACTGTCGCGATTATCGTGTTTTCTTGCACGTACGCCGGTAAATCAGCAAACGTACGTGGAGTTCAGTTGGTCGCATCCGTTCTCGAGGAAATTCTTGTATTATTCATGGTTCGGCAAAGGAAGAGATACGTCATCGACGACGACGTTCAAATCACGATCGTTCAATGAATGATTGGTCCGATATCGGATTCGATAATCTCGAATATTTTCGATTATATCGCGGGTTCGATTGTCATCGATATTTGGGAGATATTAACTCTTTGCACTCGCAAGATGACTCACGCTCATCATTCATTTTGTCACAATAATTTGAAATTAATATTTTTTAATTGAAGTACACAATATTATATCAATTATTATATATTAATAATTACTTAATTTTTTAGTGTTATATGGTGTACAAATATAGTGAATAATGGCAATTAATAAAATGTTTTGTGATTTATAGGTTAGTGTCTGACAACAAGATAACTTTTAAGACTGCTTCTATGGCAGTCGATGTTAATGAACTTTCAGTTAATACGTTAAGATATTTGTTAGTATCGTTGAGACGTACGCGACCGCTGATCCCTGCAGAATTTTGATGGTGTTCTTTCTGGTTATCCAATGTGATCCGATTAGCGAACGTTGCAAGTACATATAAGTTTTCTGAATCCGGCCACCTTCCACGCACGCCCGCATTTGGAATAATATTATGCCGTTTCCGTTTGGAGGTCGATAAATACGTGACGACATGACGTTCGTGCGTGACAACAGCACACGCATATTTTATATGACGAATGGTTCACATACGTACGAGTACAACTCTATACACGTTGCATCGGATAGATCAGAGGGCGGCGTATTTCCACAGCTGATCGTTCACCCCTTGCGTCATAATTTATTTGCCAGGTGCGTCAGTCAGAATCAATCACAGCTATATTATTAAGACAAAGAAAGTTGAAATGTTATGATGCAATAGTTGATTATGCACATTATTGAACTTGAACTTCAAATTGAGGTGTATTTATTCGAGTATAATTGATCACGAAACATGTCAGACTCGTTAAAATAGTGCAAGGGGTTAATGTTACCGGTATTGAATAGATACTTGCTTTTAAATAAAGTAGAAAAATAAGCAAATAAGTATTGAAATAAAAAATATCGAAATAACTGACATTTCAAGCGTGGCAACATTTTGCAACGTACAGATGTCAACCTACGAGTTGGTGCGTGATCGTTACATTTTGGCAAATAAGAATAATGACAATAACAACTGTTGAATGCGATTCGCGATATCTCGCTCGCTCTCGAGACGTTTGTCGACTGTCACTGTTTTTAGTCTGATTGGTGTGCGACCGATCGAGCCAATAGTACTACCGCCGAAAATGCGCGGGAGTCCAGGCGTCCATTTTTCTATTCTGACCAATAGGAGTCGTGCATCTTCTAAGCACTTGAGTCAACCTCTTCGCGCCAACTCATGGGTTGACATCGGTACAACGTGAACCCTGAAATCAGTCGTCTCGACTGTTTAGTTTCTAGAGTCAAATATCGCGCCGTTCAGAGTCGAATTCGCGCTCAACGAAAACGTCGAATCGCCATAATAAAAATCACGTTACCGCTATCAAATTCCACCCCGTGTCAAATTAATATTTCGCAAAATATGTACAAGTTTCATTTACTAATTCAACGCGGGGAATCGATAACAGAACTAAGACACGTGTACTCGAGTCAGCGATAAGTCGCGCGATAGCGTACCAATGACGAACCGTTTCATCATTGAACTTTATACGTGTATGAAGTTCATTTTATTGATCCATGTGACACGATACGATGCAACCGGATGACCGTGTATCTACGTAAAAATGCTATTTGAGTTATTTGATGGCGTAGGTAGAAACATTTAATGCAGTCGTTGCAATTTACGGAAGTGAAAGGTCGCGATATGTGTGAAAGCGTGTTATCGTGGGTCGCTCTTGATGACATTTCTTCTGTGATAACAGTGTGGTTTTATCGTGGGACGATGGGTAGATCAAGTCGAATGATTTACTGACACTTGTATTTCTAGTTTTCCTTATTAAATTAGTGTTTAGAGGCAGAAGGAAATTAGGTAAGGATGAGTCAGGATTTAGGGAAGATGCTGTGTACGCCTCTGTCTCTGTCTGTCTCTGTGTCTCTATCTCTCTGTCTCTGTCTCTGTCTTTCTCTATGTCTATATCTATGTCTCTGAGTCTAAGTCCTCTGTTTCTAGGTCCTCAAAGAAAATATAGAAGTCTCAAGCGGAGGTTGACCGGTAGGAAGTGTCTTCCTAGAAAAGTACACCGGAACTGGGACGTTAACTTGATCGTTCTTGTGTAACGCGATGCAAGTATGCGTATCCATTACCGGAAACGTACCTTTCCCATGATGCTCCATTTGCTTTCCCACGATGCTGTCTATACCTGCGACCACGAACTTCATCTAACGCCATATTTACATCAGTAACCGTCGATAATAATTACGTTTATCAGGTTTCTTGAATACAATATGAATAATTCTGCAAGGCGTCAAGATCCGCAGTAGCACAAAAACTGGACGATTGTGGCATTTTTTCTTAGCTCTTTTTTGTAACAATTCATCGATAATGCGCGTCATTCTTGTCTAATGACTGGCATAATCGTGCAACTTGATTATCTGGTATGTTGAGTTTTTTTTGAGAATTAATCGCGCTTTACTAATATTGCCTTTCAAGGTACTTACATCAGTTTTGAACATTGAAAAATGAAAGAATATATTCTTTAAATAAAAAAATACATATTTTGCTAATATATTTTGAAAAGCAATCATTTTGGTATATTCCAAATTATTAGAGATTGACATGAAAGTATATTTGGTCGATTTAAATTTCCCGCTCATTTGCACAACCCTGTGCTGTGGACATAGAAGTTATAAATAGTCCTATTTCATATCACTATCGGTCCGTTTTCCTAATTTCTTACACTCGTTCAGATCTGATCAATGCTATTTTAGCGCCGGTATTTATCCTGCTCGACTGGTTCGATTATATTAAATTCATGTTAGTTGTCACCGATCGCGTCGTTCGTCTAAAATATAGCTCGCCAAAAAACCCTAGGAATTTTCATTATATTATATGACATATTTTTTTTATATATAATTATGTCTGATCAGACTGAATTTTACGTAATGAAACGAACATATTTAATCGCTCGAAGTTTAACCTCGAATCTCGAATGCGAATATGCAGTTGAATCGATATCGCTCCATCTTCTCTATGACGGCGTTGCATATTAAGTTCGGATAAAATTGTTAAAACCCGCTATTTTTATGGAATATAGTCAGCTCGCTTGAATAATCGTCGTAATTCCTATGCAAATTTACAGAAGACGGTATATTATTTTCGCACCAAGAATGTTTTACATCTGAATGACTGTTTAGATTTAATTTCATTTTAATTGATTCGATCAAGAATTGCATTATGACATTTCATTCTAAGAATTTCATTCTTAGAAATCTTCGAGAATTTCATTGTTAAAAACTGTGAAGAATTTTGTAGATAGATTAGTCATGAAGTTCTCAAGAATTAAACTCACTCAGTTAGTCACTCTGTGAATTTTCATTAATATTAAAAATCGAGTTTTTGCTTTCAGTAATTTTACAAAGCGAGTATCTGAGTAAATTTTAGTGTTTGAATAACAGCTACAAGATTTCTACGGTTTGTCCAAGTTCCAGTTAGCCGTTGAAGAGCCAAAGTGCATTGAAATCTCCAGTTTTAGTTCGTTAAGGTCGCTTCAGTTTCACTCGGTTGAAATCGTCCCACTTGTTCAATCTTGATACCGCATCATTGAAGTTAATTCCGTCTTGTTGTTCACCAGTATTTCTCTTCTAATTCGTTCCGAATTTATCCAGCTCCTTTCAGCGAATAATTTAAGGTTGGGTGAGTTGGATGATAATATGAAATTCCACTCATAATGCGACGCAAAAATTGAGGGAAAATTGGGGATGTGGGAGTTTGGGAAGCTGAGAATTTGGGGAGGTAGGGATTTGGGAAGCTGAGGATTTGGGGATTTAGGGATTCAGGGGTGTAGGGATTTGGGAAGCTGAGAATTTGGGGATTTAGGGATTTGGGAAGCTGTGGATTTGGGGATTTTGGGATTTGAGAAGCTGAGGATTTGGGGATTTAGGGATTTGGGAATGTAGAGATTTTGGGATGTAGGAATTTGGGGATTTAGGAATTTGGGAAGCTGAGGATTTGGGAATGTAGAGATTTGGGGATGTGAGAATTTGGGAATGTGAGAGTTTGGGGATGTAGAGATTTGGAGATGTTAGGATTTGGGGATGTGAGAATTTGGGAATGTAGGGATTTGGGGATGTGAGAATTGGGGATGTGAGAATTTGGAAACCTGAGGATTTAGTGATGTAGGAATTTGGAAATGTAAGAATTTGTGGATCAGCAGATTTAGGAATGTAGAGATATGAAATCCTAAGGATTAGGTATGTAGGAATTTTGGAACCTGAGGATCTGGGGATGTAAGGATATGGGGATACAATGATTTGGATATGTAGACACTAGTATATGTAAGAACTTGAGAACCTCAAGATTTGAGAATCTATAGATTTGTAAATTTAAGAACTTGAGGACCTAGATGTTTAAGTTTACTTATATTAAGATGTTTACTTATGTAAACATTTAACAACCTAAAGTAGAGATATAAAGATTTGTGGATTTATTTAACTTGTATAAATTTGAGAATTTAACTAACTTCATAAAGATAATTCCTTTCTTTCTTGCCTTTCTGTTACCCTCAAAATAATAAACATAAAAATTCGCCTACTAGCAACACCACTAACATCAAGAATTACAGTTATTATTACTGTCTTACAGTTATTACTACTAGTTTACAGTTATTGGCTCGCAAAAATAATTTCGGCCCACGAAAAGCGTGACACGTCTAATTAACCAATGTCCGTTTCTCGTTACAGAGCACAAAGAAATCCTACACGGTGTCAGCGGAGAGTTCAAAGCTGGCGAACTGGTCGCCATAATGGGCCCTTCCGGGGCCGGCAAGTCAACACTGTTGAATGTTTTGGCTGGCTACACGTGAGTATCCATCACACGAATACGCATAAACTGTTCACCGTTTTTTGACTTGATTGCTTTTTACTTCTACAGGTCCATTGCTACTTGTACTTGAAAGTAAATGACAAGCTGTCACTTGTAGGCATTTTTATCGTAATTATTTTGTATTACGTGACTGATTTAAAGAGGAAGTGTAATTACAGGTTGATGAATACTAAGTTGTTTTCGTGATTTTAAAAAGTATAATTTCATGATGTAAAAGTAAAAAAGTGCAAAAGATGTAAAAGTGCAAAATAGGGAGCTGGTGTAGCAACTTGAAGAGAGAAGTTTTGCGAAAATTACTGGATATGTATTTTGGCGGTACAGAAACAAAATGGCGGACTATGCAACAAAGACCCACTTCACGACTTTGATATAATTTCATGACATAAAAGTAGCACGAAGTAACGCTTATGATACATCAAATTAAAGCTTGAAGTTTAATAAAAATGACCATGTAAGCGCTTTTTGAATGTACTTGGTAAAAAGTATTCATTTTTCGCTGAAACGAGTTAGCTTATTGTTGGTGTTCATTACGGAATATTCAGTTACTAGTTCTTCTTATGTGAAAATGTTAAAGGAATTTTTACCTTGTTTTGTCATAATGAATCTACAGTTTTTTGAGTTACTTAAGTTCCTTTTAAAAAATGTTATATACAAAGAATATATATAAAGTATCATTATCTTGATATTGATATTGTTTCAGAGAGGAATCAGCCATTTTGTATTAAATATATTAATAAAACCCTTGTGTAGTCATTTTCCTGAGACTTTACGCTTTAATTTGATGTATCATAAGTACAGTTTTGCGATACTTTTATGTCATCAATTTGTCTGAGACTTTGTATGTTTGCAAATCAGTCATTGTTTGCTGTAACTGGTAATCAGCCATTTTGTGTGAAGAATATTAATGAAATATTTATGTAATAACTTTCAGCAAACTTTAAGCTTTAAATTGATGTAATATAACTTGTATTTTGTAATACTTTTCTGTCATGAATTCGTGTCAAAAGTTAAAAGTTTTATTCGTGTTAAAAGTTTGAAAATTTCTTATGAACATAAGATACTACTTTAAGTTTTCATTTTGAAACGATATCTCGGAAGCAAGATTACGTAATTCTAGGCTCAGCAGTTTTACTATATTCCACTCAGAAATTTCAATGAGAGTCACGTACAATTCTTCGTTACCGGTTTCCGCGTAAATCGAGCGAGCGAGCTTTTCACGCTTATTAAACATTTCTCGAAAAAACAATCGGTATTTACTCCGGGAAAGATTGACGAGAGATACGTATTTCCTATGACACATCAATTGCTTCGATCGAATATATTTGAATAATCGATACTTCTTGTTATAAAATTTTATTTCATCGAACATTATTCAACCGCTTGAACCATTTTCCTTATCTTTCCGATAAGCCGATTGTTTTTAAAACAGTTCGAAGGTGAATTTAAATCTTTTAGGGTTGATAATATGCCTTGTACCTTTCGTTATTTGTGTCACAAGCGAAGACTCACCATGTGTGTCATATATTCTTAACCCTATATATATATGTGACGCACCACATGCGTCTTATATTGTATCAATTATAAATAAAGACGCACCTTGTGCGTCCTATATTGTCTGTCCTATATAAATGAAAATGTGCGTAATTACATTGTATGTTGTTCACAAGTAATGACGCACCATGTGTGTCTTATATTGTTCTAAATAATTGATGACGCACCATATGCGTCTCATGCTGTGTATCATATAAACGAAGACGCACCAGATGCGTCTCATACTTAATGTCATGTAATCGAAGACGCACCATATATGTCTTACATTGTGTGCTACATAAGTAATGACGCACCATGTGCGTCTTGTAAACGAAGACGCACCGTATGCGTCTGACCTTATCTAACATAAGTGAATACGCACTTTGTGTCGTATATTGATTAGTGAATGAAAATGAAGAGTACTGACTACTCGAAAGTGACGCACCGTGTGTGTCCTATATTGACTGCTTGTTACGGATGAAGACGCACCTGGTACGTCCTGTACTACATTACCTAAAGAAACCAAAGACGCGTATGTCTTCTAAATATATGTTGAGTGTATTAAACTGAAATAACAGGAAGATGTACACAATCACAAAGATTGATAATGATTTACATCATTAAAGGAAGAAACACGTGTCACATATTATAATGTGTTATAATAAGAGCAGACAGTAATAAACGAAGACTGGTCCGGTGCTTACGCACCAGTTATGATCACGAACCATGGTTATGGTTCAATCAGATATTCAATGCTCTTTAAATAGGTTGTGTCTCAATTTATCTCAGTCACATAGGTTAACTCCGTCTCAAACATTGTACAATGAGTCTTGCTCAAAAATAGTTGGGAGCTTTGTACAGGCTGCTTGCGCAAGCTATTAATGTAAACGAAATGTATTATGTTACAGAGTGAGAGGTGTACAAGGGCAGATCCTGGTGAACGGAAAAGTTCGGGTGCCTTACAGCGAAAGGTGGAAAAGAACTTCGTGTTACATACAGCAAGATGCGTTAATGAGAACGAGGATTACCGTGGGAGAGGCCATGACATTAGCCGCGCATTTGAAACTCGGATACACGATCAGCTCGGCTTACAAGCATACGCAAGTTCGTAACATAACAATTGCTAGCTTTCTGCCATTCGTTGTTTCTGTTAGGTTCAATTTATTGATGAATTCAATTCTCTTCGATTAATAAGTTTTGTCTACTTATTCGCCAGAGGAAATAATGTGATTTTCTAGGTCTAGAAAATCCCTAGACTTCAAATATCTCTAGGTCCAGAATATCCCTAGATTTCAAGTGTCCCTAGATCCCAATCTCCCTAGACCCCATATACCTAGATCCCAATATCCCTAGATCCCAATCTCCCTAAATCCCAATCTCCCTAGATCCCAATCTCCCTAGACCCCATATACCTAGATCCCAATATCCCTAGATCCCAATCTCCCTAAATCCCAATCTTCCTAGATCCCAATCTCCCTAGACCCCATATACCTAGATCCCAATATCCCTAGATCCCAATCTCCCTAAATCCCAATCTTCCTAGATCCCAATCTCCCTAGACCCCATATACCTAGATCCCAATATCCCTAGATCCCAATCTCCCTAAATCCCAATCTTCCTAGATCCCAATCTCCCTAGACCCCATATACCTAGATCCCAATATCCCTAGATCCCAATCTCCCTAAATCCCAATCTTCCTAGATCCCAATCTCCCTAGACCCCATATACCTAGATCCCAATATCCCTAGATCCCAATCTCCCTAAATCCCAATCTTCCTAGATCCCAATCTCCCTAGACCCCATATACCTAGATCCCAATATCCCTAGATCCCAATCTCCCTAAATCCCAATCTTCCTAGATCCCAATCTCCCTAGACCCCATATACCTAGATCCCAATATCCCTAGATCCCAATCTCCCTAAATCCCAATCTCCCTGAATCCCAGTCTCCCTAAATCCCAATCTCTCTAAATCCCAATCTCCCTAAATCCCAATCTCCCTAAATCCCAATCTTCCTAGATCCCGATCTCCCTAAACCCCATACACCTAGATCCCAATCTCCCTAGACCCCATATACCTAGATCCCAAATACTCCTAAGTTTAGAATATCCCTAGATTCCAAATATCTCTAGGTCCAGAATATCTCTAGATTCCAAATAGCCCTTGATCCCAATATCCCTAGATTTCAAATATCCCTTGATCCCAATATCCCTAAACTTCAAATATCGTTTGAAATAATTTTGTTGTATGTTACTAGGTGCTGGAACTGCTAGAACTACTGGGTCTGAGCCACTGCTACGACACACTGTGCGGAAAGCTATCCGGTGGCCAGAAGAAGCGGCTAGACATTGCTTTGGAACTTTTAAGTAATCCGTCAGTATTATTCCTGGACGAGCCAACAACCGGTAATTACGAAATCCTTCGTGCCTAACTCGGCGTGCGCTTAAAATGCTTGATAAATTTAAAGAAATTTCGTGCGTTGCGTCAGTGTGTGCAGAACGAAAGGAGGACACCGTGATACAGTAAAACACCTTTCCAAATACTAGAAATTTTTTTGGGGCTAATAGAAACGTTCTTGCAACTTCAAATTGTTACATAATTTTTTTTAACATTATACATTATTTGCTGATGATTGTAAGATTATTTATTTTGTAGAGAATGTAAAGACGAAGGTCAAGAAAGAAGTGAATCTGAACGACACTTTCATAAATTAACCAGAAGGAGTCATCACTTAACATTGAATCACTCGTTACACTGCGACATATTCTTCCTAATATTCGATAAGGAATAGGAGTAAAAAACGTCGAAACTCGTCTCGTACGAAACGATGCGAGGCCTTCGAAGATGTTTCGTAACGTCTTGTCACGGTTCACGATGCACGGTCCCCACCATTCTATTCAAATTTCGTGCATAATTGCTCGCCGGCATCATGGTAGCCGCTTTACAATGAAGAATCGTTTATTTCATCTCTACGAGCTAGCATCCACGCTAAATCATTAAAAGCCGTCGTATAACTTCAATGTCGTTAAACGACACTATTAAATTCAGTTAGACATCAATATCGATTATATAAACATTTCTTTGCACCTTGTCATAATATTTTTTACCGCTTTTTTCATCGATCAAACAATGAAAAAACATACTAAGACATGTATAATAATGTGTTCATTTTTCTGGCAAAAAGATTCGCGTCGTACGAAGAACGCTTTATTTTTATCTAACAATGACTAACGGCTGTTTAGCTGCATCATCGTGCTGCATGTAATTACCATGATTTCTAGTGTATTGTTCTAGCATCTTCTACTGTGGAGAGTAATTCTAGGTACAAAGAAATGCTTTAGTGTTAGACACGTGTATAATTTAGCCAGGAAATGATTCGCAGAATTGCTCAACTACTTTTCTTCATTTTATTCTTACTACGCATATGGGAACCTTGACACGTAGGAAGTTCGGAGTGTACAAATAAAAAGATATAATGGTATAGGGATATAATAACAGGGAGATATAGGAATATTATGATGTAGATTTACTGACATCTCAAGGTATTTGGGATCTAGGGATATTTTGTAGCTAAGAGTAGTTGGAATCTAGGGATATTCTAGACCTAGAGGTATTTGGAACCAAGGAGTACTTGGGATCTAGGGATATTATGGACCTAGAGGCATTTGGAACCTAGGAGTATTTGGGATCTAGGGATATTCTAAACCTAGAGGTATTTGAAACCTAGGAGTATTTGGGATCTAGGGATATTTTATACCTAAGAGTATTTGGGATCTAGGGATCTTATAGACCTAGAGGTATTTGGAACCTAGAAGTATTCGGGATCTAGGGATATTTTATATCACTAGAAGTATCTAGAAATTAGGAATATTTGAATGTAGGGATATTCTAGAGCTAGAAGTACACGGAGCCCAAGAGTATCTTTGATCTAGGAACATTATAAGCCTAATAGTATTCAGGATCTAGTAGTATCTAGCATTCAATAATACTCAAAATATAAAGGTGTTCAGAGTTAAAAAATATGTAGGGTGTGAAAGTATCATGAATCACTTTGATGATCAGGATGTTTAGTCTTAAAGATATTTATAATCCGGAAATATTTAAATGCAGGAATTTGAAATCGTATATCTCGATCGAACGCACACACATTTCGTTTTCATCGATCAGATCTGACTCATGCCCAAAGATTTTGAAAAAAAAAATGTTTGTTTAGGTCTGGATTCGTCCTCGTGCAGCCAGTGCATCGCACTTTTGAAACGTCTTGCTAAAATAGAAAGGCGTACTGTCATCTGCACGATACATCAGCCAAGTGCGTTGCTCTTAGAGATGTTCGATGCCATTTACACGGTCGCTGCTGGATACTGCATATACAGAGGTCCAGTTAAGTCATTGTTGCCTCACATGTCCTCGGTCGGAGCTGATTGTCCGCCTTATCACAATCCCGCTGACTTTCGTACGTACACTTTTATAATATTTCCAGAATGAATTTTTAAGTGTTACTCATTTGTATTTGTGGTACAGTTTTAGAAGTGGCGATCGGCGATTATGGCATCAGCGTGGAGAAGTTAGCGGCAGCCGTGAATACCATAAGCATAGATGACAAGTCGATCACGTGCACGATGAAATCGCAACTCGATGGTAATTATTAATGTGTTCTTTTATTTGGAATTTCTGCTTTCCATGTTGTTAACGTTACTTTGTTGATGTATGCAGATAATACCAAGGAACCACCTCCACCTGCAGGATTCCTCGCGCAATGTTATCTGCTCTACAAGAGACAACTACTTTGCTTGAAAAGAGATTACTGGTTGCTGGTGGTACGTTTACTCTGTCACCTGCTGATCGGCGTGATATTCGGCTATCTCTACATGGGAAGCGGTTACAGAGCGAACGGTGTCCTCGCTAATTACGTCTATCTTTACGGGTCTCTGCTCTTGATCGTCTACACAGGCAAAATGGCTGTCACTCTTGCCTGTATGTATTGGCTTCTGTAAACTACATTTTTTGCAAGTGACATACTCGCTGATACCCTACATAACTTATCACAAGCGATAGGTTCAGATATCTAACGGGGAAATATACAGAAATATTCCATTTCGACGAGTTTCCTTGTACTGAAATTTATTGCGCTTCAAAGATCATACTGCTTTTTCTTCCTAATAAGGTCGCCATTCTACAATAAATGACCTATTATGTTAATTTAAAGCCTTTACATTCATAAGTCTTTGAATTCATCAAAGTCCCTCGATTCATAAATCACGGGTTGTTTTTCTTTATTGCGAGTTAAGAATCTTAAAAACCGGCTTTTAGAGTTGTTGATTTTTCCTTTGAAGGCGAAAGGATTTGCAACTGAGATAAGAGTGGAGGAGTTGAATGACAACGAGACGTAAAAGTCGAATTTTAATTGTCCGCATTTCTTTCGCCACGGTGTTACCATTTCACACCAGCATCTGTTTTAAATCGAGGTCAAGGAGACGCTTATATTTTACGCTGAATCGAAACACGCGAGAGAGTTAACTTAACAGTAATTTCTAGCGGGCATTCACTCCCGCAGGCTGTACACATCTTTCTTTTTCTTTTACTAAAACAGGAAACTGCAATTTGTTCGCTATTTCCAGTACTATAAATTTCATTATATATGATTGAACTTTTAAAATTTATGAAATTAGAAATTTATTTATTTAAATTTATTTAAATATTCCGATTATATAATTGTCATGACAAAACATAGGAAAATAAATCAAGAGATTAAATCTGATGGTTGACTAACTGTTTGCATTGCTTTCAGTTCCACAAGAGATGCGGATCCTCTCAAGGGAACACTTCAACCGATGGTACCGGTTAGCGCCATACTATTTTAGTATGCTACTTGTGGAAATACCATTCCAAGCTGCTTGCGCAGCAACCTATCTAGTTGTGAGCTACTGGTTAACAGGACAGCCGGTAGAAACCCGACGTATAATATCCTTCATGGTCGTCAGTATAGCTGCTAGCTTAACGGCACAAGCTTGGGGTTTCTTTATCGGTGCTACTACGCCAGTGAAGGTATACATCTTCCCAAATACCTCCCGTTATTCTAAAACTATCTTTCCAGAAAAATTAGATAAATATACAAGTCAATTTATAGAATAAATCCCAGCTTTATTTTTGCTACTCAAAAAAATGTCAAAGATAAAAAAAGAGCAGATAGAATGCGATAAATTATTCCACAGAAATACTCCAAATTTTTGGACTTTATCCAAAATCATAAACACCTTAAAACAAATATGTAACGCGTAATTTCTTTCTGTTTGCAGATCGCCGTATTCGCAGGACCTATAATCGCAGTACTGTTCTCTGTTTTCGGATTTTGTATTCGTTACATGGATACTCCACAAATGTTCCGATGGATGTTCCACATATCATATTTCCGGGCCAGTTTTCATAGTCTTCTGCACACCGTGTACGGTTTCGGCAGGTTGGATTTGAAATGCGACGACTTCTATTGTCACTACAAAAAACCTACACAGTTTCTGAAAGAAATGGACATTGCCGACACGAGTGTTGTAAACAATCTTATTCTCATCCTTGGTATCGGTGTATTGATGCATTTACTGACTGCCAGTGCTCTCTGGTGCAAGCTTAATAGACGATAAAAAATTATTTATTTTCGATCTCGATAATCCAGTATTGATGTTGGTCGTTCCATTGATTGATTTATTTATGGTGGAAATGGTGCTATAAGTGACGTAAAAAAAATTCCAAAGGAGCACTTCGTGTAGGGAACAAATCGGCGATACATCAAACACTAAATATCTGTTACAGACGAATTTGGTTTGCGCTGTACTTACGAATCGCGAAAAGAGAGCTGTTTAAAATAAAGAGAAATGGATATTAACTTTGTTTCATGAATTTTTATAGGAGTACACTAACTTAATTGCATTATACGCAAAAGCCATCAGCCAGTAGATTTATTGTTAAATATTCATGATATTTTGAGATTCGTATATTGTTATCACATGCACATAATTAACAAATAAGCATGGTGGATTTTTTATCAATTTGTATGTAATACAATGGTATCTTAGTTACCGTACATACAGGGCTAGACACAGGGGACTCATTTTCAGTGGGTGCAAAGCACCTGAGCCAAAGTGAGAATGGCAAAATTAGAACGAAATAAAATCATATATTTAAATATATTAATGTTTATATAATTGTTTATGTAACTGCTTGGGACACAAAAATGTTTCATGGGTCCCTTTACGTTAAACGCTGCCCTCTGTACATACATTGTAATTAAGCGTTACGCGCTATACTTACTGTACCATCACAACGAGGCCTAACTCTCAATTGACCTATTTATCCATACAAATGTAAACTACGAAGGTAACGATAGAAAACATTAGAAGGATTTGTTGTTCCTAAGTACTTGACACCATTGATAATCTTTTATGCATTATACAGAGCATTGTATAGATTACAATATCGACGTTGGGGCATTGTTTACTATTTTTCTTCATTCAAGTCTATTCACTCGTGAATTTTTGTCTTCAACATGTATACGTCGAACAGGCTCTTCGTTTGTAACAGACTGTACGAGGATTGTTGGATTAATTGTTTAAAAACAAATCTAATTATTTTCTGTGATATATACGTTAGGCATTTTCATGGCACTAAAAAGCAAAATAGCAATGTTTACATATAACTATATGTCAAAGAAAATAGAAGAATCAATAATCTAAAACATTGATTAAAAAGAATTTCTACTGTATGTATGAACATGACTTTTTACACCTATGAAATGTTATGTAGGTAAAGCTTTAAACAAATACAAAACACATTTTAAATTATCGACTAAGCAACAATGTACTATAAATTGTTGTGAAATCTTATTACACTGAATGATATTTTTTATATATAATCATGACATAAAATTAAGTATTATAAAACATGTAAAAGATTTTCATTTTAACTGAAAATCTGTTCAATAAATGTATACATTTTATAACTTTGTTATTTATGATTCAATGGAGAGTCATTCAATGGCGAAATCCCTTTACCGAAATCAGTTTTAGGAAATTGAAGAAAAATACTGTCACATTTTAATTTTGTTTTTATTGTACGCTGTATCCAATCTGTCTCTATACTCGGATACATCAACATATTTTTTTATCGTTTTTTTTTTATTATCATAGAACGCTAATACAATTTCCACGACCTGACTTAAACAGTATGTATTATTATAAAGTGGTCGAGGGAAATGATAATTTCATTTTTCATAAATTACATAAATTCAAGTTATGATTAAAGTGATCATTTTTCTCGAGGAGCGCGCGTATGCGTATCTGTTTATTAAATTAAATTAAAGGGAACAAATTTCAAGAGATCAATATGAACAATATTTTTGAGTGACAAATTTCATCTACAAATATACATACATATATGTTTATATCGATGGTGCTCTATCAAACGTTCATTGTGTGTGTCGCGCAGATTATATTCAATTACGAATATAGCAACCGAACAAGACGAATTGACAAAATACCATAACGTGTACACTGTACTATAAGAAACCGTGATACAGAATATCATGTGATAAACGAATGTAACGTTCCGCTTAGTCTTTTTTTCCGCTGGACACCGTATCCAATTTCATATCACAAATTTTCATTATACGATCAAATGAAGGACGCATGTACAATTAAATAATACAATTTTCGCTTACACGATTCAGAAAACACAATTTATGACACGCTGTGTTAGAAGGATCAATAGTTGTAAATTTTAAATTGCGATTTCGTTCAGACGTATGTTCAATTTATTAAGTACAGTCAACACAACTACGTACTTAATTTAAATAACAGATCGTAACAAATACAGGGCAATGGTGATCTATCTATTACATTGATTTACAAATAAATGTTACAGGAGACAATCGCATTTTTTTTGTATATACCTAATCATTTAGGTACAGCAGCGAGCACAATAGGCTGTCCCTATGGAAAATGGCGGTAATAGAGAAAGGAAACCCTCCACTCGTTGGTTTTTGATTCGGTAAATTCTCAAATTTAGAGACTAGAAATTTTAGAACTTGGAGATTTAAAGAACTTAAAAATTGAAAATGTGAAAAATTTTCAAGTTACACATTTAATTTTCCCAAAGTTAGGTTAGCAAGTAGTGGGGGTACTCCTTCCCCTACTCTTAACCTTATTCCAAGAAAGCCTACATTTCACTCGAGTATATAGTTCAATTTACTGTAAAAGACGTACACAGTGTAATTTTGTTCGTAAACAACTACTAAAGCCTCTCACAAGTGATTTATTATAACAAACAGATCTAAGTATGTGTCATTCTACTCGATGCTTTCAAGAGCACGTCGTATTTTAACGCAACTTTTCAGTCGAATTTACTCAACCAAAATTTCTTATGTTTTCAATGCTTGGTTACTTATTCATAGAACAAAGTAAAAAATGATTTTTTAATCTAGATCCATAGATTCGTCATTTAAAAACATATTTCACACATTATATCCGTAAATATATACAGACATATATATCTCATAAACTTTATGTATTAAATGTTTCTTCGATCCTTATCACTTGCTAAACGTTCTCATATTTAATAATCTGTCAAAGTTGGTGTAAATTGCGTGCTGATATAAGGAATAAAAAAACACCTTGCTCCGTTTCCATTACACGGGTGATCTCGATTGGTAATTATTTTCTAATTATGCGATAAAAGATTAAAAACTCGGAAATTGCCTATTTATAATTATGCGAGACATGGTTCTCGTCGAAATATTGCATAGTCGAAGATCTTGTTGATCGGTAAATATAAAGTGATTGGTTTATAAATTTAATTTACAAAAACGTTCCGAGTTTCAAAAACTTGAACTTCGGGACAAAACGACGAACTTCGGACATGTTCGGGCGGGATCGTAATATCCTGGTGTAACGCGGGAACTGACAAGTTTTTGAATTTGAAGACTTCCTCGACTATGTTTCATTTCGTCGAAAACCACACGCATTAGTATCATAAACGTGTCATTCGAAACGTCGCGGTTTCTTTAATACTCTTCGCCACGTCGTATAGTAACGTATCAAATTCTTAAACGAGGAAGATTTTTAATCGATACTCACTATAAACGAGTAGTAAGTAGTAAATCTTAAATAAATGTGTTTAAAAACGAAAATGTGATACCGATAACAATATCAGTGAAAATAAAACGTGAAGAAAATCAATTGAAAAGAAATAGAAGAAAAGGAGATAAACGAATATGATGAAAAAAGAAAATAAAATCTATTGATTTGGTCTATTCCAATCGCATACGCGTTCAGACGAGACCAAATTATTTAGGTACATTATTTGTGTATGTTATTTACAGCGACTGAATATTATTTGTTTCTATTAATTATTTACATCGAATTGCATATATGATTTTATTCAATCACAATATTTAGACTGTTTCACCTTTCTTTGCGCTTCTGATTCATCCTCTGCGCCGTACAGATGATATCGGTGCTTCATTTCGGTCGCAACAGACTTTAATAAAATTAATGAAAACAATCAAAAACCAACGTAAGATCGAAGTGTCAGTAAATGTTTATTTACTTAATAAATAAAGTATTCTCGCGAGATAAAATTAATTTAACACTAAACTCACCAGACGTGAACGCACTCTTTTTGGCATTTCTTCTTGCAAACTGTAAATCTCGTTTCGTTTTAACGCGAGTTGCGAACCATCTTCGAAAATGACCTAAAATATACAATGATTAAAACATTAAAAAATGTCATTAACGAGAGAATATAAAAAGTAAGAAAATAAGTATTATCATAAATAACTTACAGTATACATGATACGATGATTTGTACCTCCAAAGATACCATCGTATAAATTTCCATCGGTCCATTTCACAATGACAGCAGCTCCTTGTTGCGGTGGGTTTCCAGGGTCATAATTCTACGAAGAATAATAAGAACATTTATATCTGTTTGAAAAAATAAAAACGAGGCCAAGGAAATGAAGATCGTGTACACACCAATATATCTGATGGGTATAAATCTTCACTGAAGCTGTCGTCACTGAATGTAACCATATACAACAAAGTATCATGTATAGAATCTACTTTGGCTTTGTAATATCGAGTATTACGATGCTTTGCCCAAACAATTTCTCCCTGTCGAATCGTTGGTATTTTTTCCTTCCCATCGTCGTGTCCATCACACGTTACCTACATACAAATTTCATCATTAGATAAATTATTTCAAACACAAACTCAATATTCAATTTTATGTAAAACAAGTACCTGAAGTTCTGGTGAATTATAAACGGGCACCATAAAGGTTGCACCAGAAACTAGACCGCATGATGGGTGAAACAAATTACCACATTCGTTACAGCTCAAACATGCTCCATCTTTCTGTCCACAGTAACAACATTGTTGTTTAACAATGTTCGGTTTGATAGTTAATACATTTATAGGATCCTTATTTATAGCGTCTTTGAAAGTTACACCTGGCAACAGTAGGGCACACACTATGTGTGCCCAATTACTGTCGCTGGTACGTTTAAGAGCACCTCCTCGCATGGGACATAGGCAGCACATCTTAAGAACAAGAAAAATTAATTCAAAATTTGATCTCTAAAAATTGAAAGATAATTTTATGTACACGTACCACTTGTGTTTTACCAGCTTTGCACTTATCGCAAGCCCAGTTTCGTAGGTCCGTAGGCAACACGGTAATCCCGTAGCAGGAAGCATGGACCGTCACGTGACATTCTCTACAACGTAGAAGTTTATCATTTTCAGGTTCTACCATTTGTTCCTTTGAATTTGCAACAAATACGCTGGCGGATACCTAGGAAATATGAAAAAGAAACATTGAGTCTATGCTTCTATTACCAGATATTGAACCATTTGGTCTATAACCAAATGCCAAGTCCACAAAACTCACCCATATTGGTGAGCTTTCTGGTAAAACGGTGGGTTTACAATATTTCCAATCCGGGGGCATTAACCTCCCATGTCCATTGCAACTTGAGGTGAAGGGTGCGCAAATTGCGCAATGAGATATTTGAGCACTCCAATAATCATTGAACGCCTTCAGCAGATCATTATTTGGAACACTGGGATACAACATTTCGGATATGTGTCCTGGTACCATTGAGACACGATTAGATACAGAAGGTGATTGGTTCACGGAACATGTCGTGATGTTTGCCTCTTCTGGACTATTTGTAGTCATGATCTCTGTAACATCTTTTTTCCTGGTAGTCGCTTTCTTCAATTTCTCCTTCGACTTTCGCCTGGACATCAATTTGATAGGCTTCAACGATGGCATATTCGCGTATATATTTTCAGGATTATTTTGTAGACACTGCGTTTGCAATTTATCATCAGAGTCGATTACGCTCGGAAATTGCTCCTCTTGTATAGACGGAATAGTAATCGCTTTCTGTGAACCGTGTATATCTAGGGTGGAATGATTTGTGACATGTATACCAGTGTCCAAATTGACCATAGTTGTACCCATATCAAACTGATCGATCTCCAACGGGTGGTCCACCTGAGTGGATACGCTTTTCACGCTGCTAACAATTGTACTCGTCTTTTTGAACGGTTTTCTACTACACATTTCATCGTTTGGGTTCAATGCTCTCTTCATGAGCAGATGATCTTGTATTTTCGGTACGATTTTTACAATTGACGTAGAAGCGCGTGAACATTTTTTGTTAAAGTCTATCATCATCGATTGTTTCTCTGCGGTCGAATATTTTGGAGTAGACGTGTAAAAGAAAGCTTTGTTGCTATTGCTTGGCAAGTTTAACGACGAAGATGAGGCGAACATCTCGGATGTATCTAAGTTTGTGGGCGAAGAATGAATCTGTGTATCCTCTTTTGCATCCTTTGAGATGAACAAATTATTGTTACTGCTTGAAAGTTGCCAAAACTTTGTTGCCATCATTTTGGATGTGTCGGTTGTAGATCTTTTTCCTAGGATTTTAACATCCGTAGTGGTTCCACTTATATTTTGACACGTTATAGTTTGCGTGAGTGGTTGCGATAATACAGTACCCTTCGCAAAGAAACTGTCCATTTGTGGTATTTGAATGGTACAAGGAGTTACAGATTTTGAAAGTTCCAGAGCTTTGGTGTCGTTCCTGGGCTCCTTCACTGCAGTCTCTTTCTGTAAAGTCGGTGGTTTGGAGAAGCTCGTGTTCAAGAACATGATACCCGGAGTCGAAAGTTTAGGCTCACGCAGTTTGGCGATAGGCCAAGTCTTTGGTAAAACTACAATGTTATTCGATAACGTACGACTATCATTTTCCTCCGTGATTGACTTTTCAGAATCAAGTTTAGGTGAAACTTCAGTCGCAGACACGTTGTACGCTGACTTCAAAACGCTCAACCTAGGTGCCTTTATGATATCCTTCTTCGAATAATTAGGTATGGATCTTTCAGTTAACATTGTTCCTACGCTTTTGCAACTAATGTAGCTACCTGGTTTCGCATCTTGAATCGTAATTTTCGTATCGTCGCCAATATATTCAGACTCTACAGCTTTATCTATTTTAATGGGCTTTGCTTGATCCAAGGAGGCATTTTTTAATAAAAATTGTTGTTTAGGATATGCCGATTTTATTGTTACCGCATTAGTCTTTTTGGTAGTCTTTGCGTAAACGTTTACCCGTTCATCCGTACTGTTATCTGTTAACTTTTCTGTCCCCTTTGTATCGCTACTGGTACTATAAATAGAAGTTGTTACTTGACCACCACTTGTAACGTTTAAAACAGTTTTAACCTTCACAGGGTTCGTATTAGTTTCGTTATCAGTGAAAATTATATTCTCCGGCACATCGCTTATTCTCTCCTCGCTTTCATCCGTTATTGAAGATTTGTGTGAGTTAAGACTCGGCATAGCCATAAGTTTTCGTTGAACGTCAGCGTCAGATACGTCCAATGGTTCGTTGATATCAAAGATAGATATATTCAAATGTTTACGTTTAGTTTTGTTCATGTTCTTTGCTTTCGGTTTCTTCTGCTCCCCAGACTTTGAATGCTTTTTCTTCTTTTTAACCGGTTTATCAATAGCCTCTGAAAAATCAGATCCTTCTTCCATTTTGATACTTCCTGTGATGTTATCGCTTGACATCGAAGTACTTATGTCTTCTTGACCGTCATTCTCTAACTCAGTGCTTTGTTCTGGATACACAGAAGATACGAAATTAAGACTATCATCTGGTTCTTCTTTTATTTCAGTCTTTACCATTACGTTGTCAGTAATAGTTTTATTAGAATCCTTCTTCAACTTTGATTTATCTTTATCGGCATTCTTTTTCTTTCGTTTCCGACTCTTTTTGCGATTGTAACCATCGTCGTAAACAGTAGCCTCATTAACATCTGCAATCAATATAAGTTATTATTACTGAAATTTTTATTAAAATTTCTGTAAATGAGTACGGGTGAAATGAGATAAACTATGAGATAAATCTTTATCCATAATAAATATTTTACCCATTTCTCCAGCTTTGAGCCATATGTCTTCTAAAACCTCTAGTTGCTGTTCATCTGGTCCGTCATCTACTTCCTCTAATTCTAGATCTTGTAATACTTTCTTGACATCCGGTGGAATATCGGGACGATTAACCAACTCTTCCATATCAACATCCGGATTCGTAGCCATGATATTTTTCTTTTTATGTATTGTATGTCGTTTATTTTTTGGCGCTGCATTCAAATAACTCTGCGGTAATTGACCATTACTGCTATTGCTACATAAAAGATCCATCTGAGACGGCATAGGTGCAGCTGTTTGTCTAGGATCTTCAGGATGAGGACCAATATCTTCTCCGCGTAGCCATAATTCATACCTGCAATTCATTGTTTCTAATTAGTTTATTTTAGCATCTACAACAACAGAATGAAATGCTTTTGATCAGTATACAACTTTATAACAAATTTTTCTCATTACCTTTCTGGTTGAAAACGCTTTACAAACGTGTCCATAGAAATTTTAACCATATCTTTACTACAGGTACATTGTGTAGCCCTTTTACCATACTCTACCCATCGTGGTGCAGCAAAATTAGTGGATTCAGCACAATTGAACCCATGATTAAAGCCAGCATGATAACCATAAGGAAAGGTAATCATTATTTCTCCAGCTTCTTGAGTTATCTAGAAAAAGAATGACTGGCTATAGTTACTATATCTATGCATTTTATTATGTCCAAGTTTAAACAAACAATTGAAACTTACTTTATTGCATGGAATTGAATATTGCCGTAATATTTGCGGAGAAATGAGAGACATTTTATGACGTAAAAACGCTTGACAACTTTGATAACTTGATGGGAAAAATCCGCTAGCAAGTCTTTCTAATCTTCGTCCATGTTCTGGTGGTATAGCATACCATGTCTTTGGAGCTCCAAAATGTAAATAATTTATTGAATATAAATCCATGTCTTCTGTGTGCCATGCAAATGTAGTTTTCCACATTCCAAAGTACAAATATGCTGTATTAACACCGTCAATAGATATACCATAGTCTTTGTTTACATAATCAAGTATTGTTCCCAAATGGTTGATATTCCATTCCTTTACATCTGGATCAGTTAATGAACCAGACACATCTGCACCATATATGGGTGCTACATATGTTATATTTTTCCAGTACTTCCTTTCTAAGTCTTCATAATCAAAATGACGTGGAGTATTGTACCGTTCAGAATTAGCTAATTTACTATATTCTTTCACAGTCATAGATTTTTTCTGTATATTAATTTGCTGATAAAGACCTTGCTTCCCAGTTACCACTTGACAAATCGGAGCAGGAATAACAAGATTTAAATCATCTAAATCATAGCCACCTTTCCTTGGAATCCACTCAGGGGGTGGAATAACTTTTGCTAATCCAGCTTTGTGTGCTCCTTTACTTTCCATATACTCGATGTATTTAGTAAAATCTTTAAATTCCTCATACGTAGGTCTAAAAACCTGGATGCGGGGAGTACCCCGCGAAATATTACTAACCATTTTTTATCTAATTTATTTACCTGAAAGTTGAAAGCAACAATTAGTATTCTTAATGTGTCAACTGAATTAAATAAGAAAAATTTATATTACTTTGCAATAAGTCTAAAAATATATCACCATATACAAGGCATACATCATATAATATCTAAAATCATTCTTATGCGATGATATGGAAAGCAATCATTGCAAATATGTAAACACATAACATGTAAACATTACATCACACCATTTTTATGCAATTTAAGTTAAATGCAATATTTGCATTATCAGTGAAAACACAATTAACATAAGAAGATTAAATATCAATAGTGATTAAAATAAATTTAATTCATTATAATGTAATTTTATGTTTTCACAAATAACATTCAAACCGGGAGGATGAAAGCGAGGTGCGATGTTTTTGAGACGAGACCGTGCCGGAGGAGCATAAACAAAATGGATGATATCTATTGTCAAGAAATTCTTCTTAAAATAAATGTATTCGTATCCCCTTGTTAGTTCGGAAAACAAAACTGACGTATCGCGAGGATGCAGAGGAATCATTGGCTTGGATGATTTATATCACATGTTAGATTCTTCAAGGGTGTTTTCACCGAAGAAACGATGGCTGATCACGAAATCTCGTGTTGGCAGTAATATTGACCGATCCAAACAAACACTTTCGAAATCACACGACTCATTGCATTGTAATCAAGCGAGATGCGTTACTTACGTTAAAATACAACGCGAAAAATCACCTCTCCTGTATAAACACCATGTTCAACTAATTATTGCCGTCGATCTCGCGATTTGACACATCCACCGCACTACCCCGCGCGTCATATAAAACTAATAAAGATGGCGTTCAAAACTGAATCAGTTCGAGACGCTGATCCAAATGTGCATGCGCAAAATGCGGGAAATTTAAATTCTTGCATTTTGTCACGTACGAAATTTATCATCAATATAATAACAGAAATCTATCGTTAAATGCACTTTGAACAAAATATTACTTTTCCTCGTAAGTGTTTCTACCCATAGTTAGGTACTATAAATTTGAAAATTACATAACTCAAGAAATGTATTGATCAATTTAATTAAACAAAGATGTTTTCTATATATTTGTGATGTCATAATTGCATAAATCAGAAAAATAGTTTAAATCGTAACGGAAATTACTTATATTAATGGCCTGATAGATTTTTTTTTATATACATACAAGAAAAATATTATTTATTTTTTTATTTATATTTGTCCTATTATTTATGTATGTTACTCTTTTTCATCGAATTTTCTTATCTTCATTACCTGAAATTTATGTATTAGCAAAAATGGATTACTAATCTTTAAAATGAAATATTTCATTTATGTTGTATCAAGCGCCACTCTGCGTGATTTATACGCAACTGTTCGATATTCAAACGATAAAAATGCTCCCGTATTTTATAACTCCATTACTTTATGGTTAATTTAACGGTTACTATGACGTACCGAATTACGAAAAGATTCGAAACGTTATGAAGAATAATTTATTAAAGATAATTATATCTTTAACGAAATATAATTTCCAAACAAAGTAATAAACGTAATAACGATATATCATTTTAAAAGTATACATATAAATATAGTAAGTACACATATAATATTGGCTCCAATTTTAATGGAGTCTATTTAGTTCGAATCTATATGCACCTGTAAGTATTTAAATCCGAGTACTTCAATAATATATGTAAAGACATGAGTTATAACTGCACCTGTTTAATACATCCATGCAATTTTATAGAACGCTTTAGAACTTTGCCAAATTGGATTGCAACAAAGTAGCAACGATAAAGGTGAAGCTCGCGTTGCATATTATTTTAAACAAGTAAGTTGTCAAAATTAAAATGCTTGAAGTTTTATATGCGCAGTAATTTTGTGTCTCGTATCAAAAGTTGCTATGCCTTATATTACAAAGTGTTGTATCACCACTTGTTATATCGCCAAGCGTTGTATATTGCTACGCATCGTATATTACAATGCGTCGTATATTGCAACGCGTTGTATTTCCACGCGTTCTATAGCTTCGCGTTATATCGCCATGCACTGTATTGCCACGCGTTCTACAGCTTCGCGTTATATCGCCATGAGTTGCATTACCACGCGTTCTATAGCTTCGCGTTATATCGCCATGCGTTGTATTACCACGCGTTCTATAGTTTCGCATTATATCGCCACGCATTGTATCGCTACGCATTTAATAAAGTATTTCACGCAAGCTAAGTATAATACACAATAATTTCCGAATAATATACCAAACGACGATTTCTCTACATCGTTATTTTTTCTAGGAAAGTTCACCATTTTCGTCAAAATACAGAGACGCCATAGTAGACACCTGCAAGCTTTCAACAGCAAGCGAAACAAGGTCGCGAATCTAAAGAGAAGGTAAATAGTAACTGTTCCTGACTGGACATTTGAAGCAAACACTATCTCGACTACTATGTACATGCCAGTTTTTGCAAAGTCTTTATTCAGACGTAATTTCGGTACAACGCAAAAACTTTTAACTTTGTTCTTTATTAAAAAAACACGTCTGATACGATTGGAGAAGACTTAATGCAATTTCGTAAAATTACGGAAGATAATGTCCTGACTTATAAAGATAAACATACTTAAAGTATGTTTAAGAATTATATACAAAAAAAAAAATTGATAAAACGGCGACATTGTTGAATTATATTTTTCATTGCACACCTGCTATTTATCACAGATCGATTTATTATACAGGTAGATACTTTGCAGACTGATAGGATTTGATAATCGTTTGATAGTATAAATTGGAAGCAAACAGTTCCTGTATTACATTCGAAAACATTTATTACCATCTACGATCAAAGTTCCTAATCTTTTTTATTTTCGTAGTATCGTATCCATCGAGAAGAAAGTGGTCCCTGATAAGTGATTTACAGACAACGGCCACATTTCAAGCTAGACAATACTTGTGAATCATACTCTTATACCAACAAAGAAGAAGACCCCTGCAAACGCAAACCATCGTAACAAGAGTTAGTATAAAAGAATGTCACTATCTACGATATTGTTACTCTATCCGTTCTTTTGCATAAACTGTATGTCAACAGTTATATTTTCGAAGAAAAGTATACAAATTTGCAAAGAAACTTTTCCATCGATAAATACGGAAACTGTTTGATCAGTGTACAATTAGTTGACGATTTGAATAAGGCATTTCAGTCAACCAAACTCTATCGCATTCATTCGAACATGCGTGGTTATTAGTCACGAAGAGCAGGGAGAGTTATGAAGCTTTGTCTCGCCTCGAAATCATCAGTACAGCAACACGCCTCCAAGCGTGCACAAGGAGTCCGCGCTGAAGGCAGCGTTTACCTTCTGTACTTATGGTGCGGTTTCCTTGTGAGTTTCATATGCATTTCACGACATATCGCTTTCAATGATACGTCAACATTCACACTGTACAGTGCAATAGACAAAACATTCGTTCAAGAATAAGTAACTGTGAGTGCTCGTTAGTGGCTCTTTGACACTTGTGGAAAATTTAATCGGTATGTGGTACCTGAGTTGCAAATGAAAGAAAATTCTTGGGCAATATATTCACCGAATACTTGCATTTAACGTATATATCGGATTGTGAATAAATTCCGCTAGTTTTAGCAAATTAATTTGCAACATTAACGTGTAATGAACATTGGCGTAAGTAGAACTTTCGTCTGGCGTGGGCCCATAAACCCCAATTTTAATAACCGCGTCTACGCCCTATATTGGGTTGATCAAGTGGTTGTTAAATATTGAGGGATTTGGGAATTTTTTAATTTAGGAACTGGGGAATGTGGAAATTTAGACATGTAACATTTTGCAAACTTGAAAAGTAAGGATAGAGATATTTGAAACTTTAGAAAGTAGGTGATATGCAAATTTGAAAATGTATAAGTTTAAATAATTGAAAATTGATAATATAGAAATCTGGAAATTTGAAGACTTATGAAATCAGGAAGTTGGAAGTTTAAAAATTGAAAAAGTTTGAGATTTGTGAATTAGAAATTTTTAAATCTAAAAATTGATAAATTTGTTAAAAATTTTTAATTTATATTTTAGAGAAAATCTATTCTGTCTTTATCTAATTACGCCAATGAGAAAATTCCACTTTTTTACCGCGTAATGCGTAAATTTCGTCGTACGAAAGTTCGTTGCAAGCCACGTGGTGGACATTATGTTCCAAAAAAAAAGCACGCCGTGTTTCGTTCGTTGCTCCCTGATCTAACGAAACACGCGGAACTTTTCATAGTGATGGTACAGCAAAAGCCGATAATACAAACAGTCATGTGATATGGATGTTTGAGAGTTCTTTAGATTTGATGTTTTGGCTTCAATCATAGAAAGCGTCTAGTTTTTTCAGTATTAGTAAATTATTTCGATCTCAATTTCGTAATAAACTTTACTGTTTGCACTGCACTCATAGAATAAATTCTTTTTTCGATGTATAAGAATACTACATTTCATTTGTGCGCAAGACGCGTAGCAAAAAGTGTCGCATTAGACATTCATAATATGCACGTTTCTATTTACAATTCAAATCGTCAAGAAGCGTACAGTGTCGAGCATGGTAAGCTTTCTTAAGGAAAATTACGAAGTGGGGAAAAGAGTCCCTCCCACTTGGTTTCTGAACAGACAGCAAACTTTCAAATTTAATAATTTAGAAGTTTTGGAATTTGAAAATTGAGGAATTTCAAGTTAGAGAACTAAGGAATTTAGAAAGTTAGAAATTAAAAAATTTGTAAATTTAAAAACTTAGAAATTTGGGTGTTTGAAAGTTTGGTAATGAAAATATTTAGAAATCTCTCCCGCTGTTCAGCCAAGTGGCGGTAGAACCTTCCCCATTCTTGTATTATCCCCAAGAAGCCAAAGAAGCCAAAGTTGCCTGCAAATGTACGCGTAGCTGCGATAGTGCACATGTTGCCAACATTTTCTAATCTTGCTCGGGAATTCACATTGTTCATCTATTGCGACGATGATAGTATAGGTTGTCAGTGATACCGGTAGAGTTGCAATTAAAATGTTGAATTGTTCGAATAGAATGTAGTATTAAACAAGAAATGTTTCGATGCGAGCGACACTCGTTGTCTCCGTACAGACCTTTGGTCCATGAATGTCCGCCCACGATGCAACGGTTAAGAAACATGGTGGTGTTGTTTTAATCTTATTTACATGTTTTCTTTTTTCGTGTGGAACGTGTTTTCACGTGTGTTTTGTTGTGTGTTTAGTGTTGATAAAACGCGTTAACTATTGAGGAAAGAAAGTGAAAGCAACAGAGTGAAAACTCGAATGTAGAGACTAGAAGAAAACTGAGGAGAAAAATGGGCACGAAAGTACTCATCGAAATGCAGCAGCAGTTGAGGCATGCAGTGTCTAGTACGGAAAACGCACCGAGCAGTACAAAAAATCTAGACGATTTAATGGACATCGATAACTCAGTATTTCTAGTCTTCGAGGATGTTTCCTACAAAGCACGTCCATGGATCCTTTCCAGAGGTAAGATTCGTCTGGAAGAAACGGTGTTTTCTTAAAATAAATTCATGCAGTGAACGCATAAGCGCAGAGAAAGGTCATGCAATTCAAAAGACATCGGTCATGCAGATTTCTAATTTCTCGCAAAGCGAAGTTTCATATTTTTGGTGTATATTATACAGAAAGAAAACGTAGACATTATATACGCGTTTAAAAAGAAAGCCATATTTCACGAATCTTTGTTTGCTCTATTCCTTATCCGACTTTTCTTATCGTAGAATAACGGTACGTCACTTATTCATCCGATACGTTCAAGGCAGGATCTAAATCATTCGGCAAAAAAATTACTTAATTACATAGAATGTCTTTTGAATTTAAAGAAGTCACCACTTAATTTATATGTCGCGTAAAATTATCGTAAACGTAAAACGACTTTGTGTGGTATGAGAATAATTATTTATAATTGTAACCAGTGGCACATGAAAGACAACTTCTGCTTGCTATCGGTAAACATAACAAGATAACAATTTCGTGTTAATATTAATGAACTATATTGTTCGACGTTACTTACGTTAATTGTTATGAAAATCACATCTGTGGTTGTAACGTGATCGCGTGTTGTATGACTGCGAACATATAAAAATGATATTTAATGATACGTCTACGATAGCGACACGTAATATTGTAACAAACATTGTGTATAGTCAAAGTATGTAACGTAATATTAAATATTCAATTCTCTCGAAGTAATAATTTTATTTGATTACAGCTAATCTTTCATATGTCACTTAACCTAAAGATCAAGTGTTAAGTCCAAAGACTAATCACGATGACGGTACCAAGGTAATATCAAACGCGATTACCTTATGTACAAGGAGTTTACTTGTAACTCGGATAAATAGTAGTTATTCATGAACGACTCGAATAATGAATGGTTAGTTAGCGATGAAATATACGCTTTTGTACAATAGCATACGTACAGATCATTAATGATGTTAGTCTAGAATGTGCAGTTAACTTATCATCTACCATTGCCCTCCATCGCATTGAACGACTTTAGAACGCTTATCCGAGATCGCTAATAAAATATTACGTCGATCGTTTAAAATTTAAAACGTTTATAAATATTATAAAAGAATCGCTATCGAAGTTATTGTAATAATGAAAAATATTTAGCGAGATATAATTAGGATTATTTAAAATAATTATTTAATCATAAAATCTAAAGAGCGTGTAATATATATTATTGTTAGTTGAAGCAAATAACGTAACAAGTGTTCTCAGGCCCGAATGCTTGAGAATTTGCTTCAGGCTGTATAAATAGATTGTGTGCACAATCGTGGTGCTCGACTGTTGTGTCTCGTCCGTGTATGTGACCGCACTCTCTTATGAGTTTATTAACCCTGAAACGGCGAATAAACATCGAGTTAATACTCCTTTCAAATATAATAACAGGATTGTGTCGTCTAGAGCAAATTCAATCACATCTACTTTACAGCGATTAATGATATAAAAAAGTTATCTTTATTGGTTTCCACGAGGACGATAACGTTCTTCATTAGAAGTTTGAAATTCACCGACGGACGCAGTGGAACAAAGAAACGTTCATTCTCTTCTCAGTTTTTTCTCCTCCGTCGCCTTCTCATCATTGAAATTGCTGGTGTTGATTTTACTTTCTATGTTCAACGCAACGAGAACAATCGGTGTCGAACATGTTTACAAACACTGTTGCACTAGATCGCATGACCGTATGAAAACAGGACGAGGTGAACTAATAAGGTATCATAAATTAACATTAACGTTCATTAGTGCAACTGTGCGCTTGTACTTGCATAATATCCGTAAAGTCCTGTAAATATTTGCAAAGTGTATCTCAACGCAATGGCGGATTTTCATGAAGGTGGGGTCCTTGTCAAGGAGACTTGCAAATTTTTAAACACGCGCTACATTGTAAAATCTCAATAATTATGCTTTCATAAAATGTTTAACATTTAATAGAACCATAAATTAATTTCTAATATATAATAGATTTATATTACAATTCTTAAAATGTCAAAAACCGACGCTGTTCTTTTCTGACTGACAAATACCATCACAAGTATAATATTAACAATATGGCCACGTGTTATATAGCCATGTCTTACATCTCTCAACTAACATATATCATTAATACTTTTTGTATAAGAAATAACTATAAATTGTTATATATACTGTTACCATAAATTCAGACAAAATATGTATAATTTTTAGCTTCTGCCTGGAACTATCTGCTGAAACCTTTTAGGCTATTCATAGAATTAATGGTGTACCTTTACACGTGGTGTTGGAACCATCGGATTATGGAGATAAGGAGATAAGAAGATGCATGTATTTCGGTTTAAAGATTTAACACAAGCGTTATCATAATATTTCTCGTGTGTGTCGATGTCGAGGTGGAATGAATCTGTGTCTGAATGAGAAATGTTTTCATAGTTCGCCGTGGAACGAGGTGCTAAAACTTGTATTTTTATATTATATTTCTATATTCCAACTTTCCCTGACATTTTAGTCGCGTATAATGTTTCAGCGTAATATCACTCAATGATCCCAGTGTTTTTTAGAAAGCGTTGACATGAATGTCTGTTTCAGAGAAGACCGAATTGCTGAAAAACTTGAGCGGTGAATTTAGAGCTGGCGAACTGACCGCAATTATGGGATTATCGGGCGCTGGAAAATCTACGCTGATGGATGTTTTAGCAGGCTTTATGTTAGTAGATTTCTTATCTCTTTTGTTGTTTATAATTTTCTTTTTTTATTTATAACAAGTATACTGAAGTACACTCTGATTCTGGTATTTAGGCTTAACTAAAACTCTATCAAAAATTAACAAATTTACATATATCTGTAAATTATTAACTAACTACTTTATTAACTGAGAGTGACTAACCAATTTTCAAGCATTATGAACTAATTTACACTGTTAGCCACTGATATTAACATCACAATTCTTGAACATTTTTTATATGAACATAATTTAATTACTTAAAGTTCGATTTTTTAATGAAAATTTAAATTTTTATTTGAAAATTAATGCTACAATCAATGTCACATTTTTACTCCACATAATTTTGATGTCTTATGATTTGTCTTTCTTTATACAATTTTTACTCTTTTTATAATTTTATCATTTTTATACTAATTCAAAAATTAGTTGCATGCAAAAATCTGCATTCACATTTCTATTAGTAATTTGTTATCAGGTAAAAAAGGAATATAAAACCCGTGAAATTTGCGGCCGTTAAAGTGTCACACTGAAAGGGTTCTGAAGAATGAAAAACGTTACGTAACGTACGGTGACTTCTTTATAGACAGCGCTTCCGCTTGTAACGATGAAGATGATATTTGTATAGATTTCAATGGATCACAAGTCAGCGCACATACTTTTGTTCCATAGAGATGTTCGATGCCAACGAGGTCGCAGATATTATTAGAAAGTGTTCACTATGCATTTCTGTAAATATTTATAGCGTTAATGTTACATTGAGCATGATCACTGCGTTTATTACATGCGAGCTCCATTATTCTATCATGGTAATTCCAGCTACGTTTAAATAATTGTGACTTGCGAAATATGGCGTTAGAAACGCGTTGCACGACTGCGCGAGAATTTTGAATTTCCGCTAGATTAACGGTTAATCATGCTCGATTAATATTGAATCGTGGCCATGTCGATTTTTCTTCGTCACTTTGTAAATTGGACGATTGGCTTTATCACTCGATAATATTGGTCAAAATTAAAACTCTCGAATGATAAAGTGAATTCCTGATGGCGTGGTATTTCGACAACCGAAACAAGCTTTTAATTTTTTTAAATAACTTCATATTCTTTACGACGAAGAATTTATAACTTCATAAGAACACAAAAATATAGGGACATAAGAATGTTATAAAATTTTAGAGATACAGAAATCTACAAGGGATACCAAAATTTAAATTTAAATTCTTCACACTTGCAAAATATAACCTTTAATAATAAAGTGCGCTGTCTAGTTACAATATAGCATAAAAATTATCTGAATATAATGTATGCACGCGTTATTATCATATAGTTCGATAATTAAAATAAACACAGATTAAATTGATATTACATTGATATGTTCTAAAGTTCAAAATGTTCAAAATGGCGACCGGTTAAAATCATATTTTCCTATCATATATTGTGTTGCTAGTCAGAGATAAGTATTTAAGAATTACTTTACCCCGACCACATTGCGAATAACTGTACTCAAGTTTTTTACACGCACGTGTGTGCAATTGTGCTACTTGACGAAAGAAACGATCCGCCATCGCGTCAAGTAGTATAGTTACGACGTTAACTCGTGCAATGCCGTTATCGCCGATAAACCTGCGTGACCAAAGAAATATTTTATTTCATAAACGAACGATAAACGCTATTTACGGCACCGCGTTCATGAATGCAATAAGCAGTACTGTTTTCATGAATTCATAATTAATGAAAATTGAAATGTCATTTGAGATCATAAAAATTGTACGACACACCTGAATTGTTGCGAACAGTTTTAAAATTAGTCAAAGAAACAATCACGTTAAAAATGAAATTATGGTTTGATAAAACTTGTATGATACATTAGAAACAGGCCTAAATGAAAATAATACTAAAACTTTTCATACTTTGTTCATTACATAGCTGTTAAAATTATTAATAATCTCTGTTGTAAAATTGTAAAGTTATCAATGCATCCATTTTGTTACGTGTAAAAAGCATGACAAAAAATTGCTATTAATCGTGATGACCTCACTGAACTTAAAAACAGGGTGAATTTAAAAAAAGATGTATTATTCTTCATCCTTGATGCTCTTTGGAATTATCACCAGACTTTATTAATAAATTTTCTTTTGCAGAATCGGTTAAACAGAGAACTGTAAGAAGGACTGTTTCTAATGGATCGTCTTCTATAATACTTCTATATGAGCAGAGTTTACGGTACTCCGGTTAGTTTCGGTTAATGTTTTAAATAGGTTACCCCGATCCCAGATCAATTGCTGTACTTTATCTTAACTTCCGGTCAATAATCGAGGCGGAATGGGACACAAATTTAACCGACGATTAAACTCTGAATGTTCGAACCAATTTGCGTTAATCGCCATCTCGCGATAAGGAAAGGAGAGGAAAAGAACCGGGCGACAATCTCGTAGAAGACGCGCACGAATGTTGGCAAAAAATGAATAAAAATATTTCAACCGTTTTCAGAACATCCGGCGTCACTGGGAATATTATGGTCAATTCGAAAGCTAGGAACCTTGATGAATTTCGAAGGCTGTCTGCATATATAATGCAAAACGATAATTTGCAACCACTGTTAACGGTACAGGAAGCTATGAACGTCGCTGCAGAACTCAAGCTTACCGCTAGTCCTCAACAAAAGAAACAGAAGGTATAGAACTAGTTTTATTAATATTGGTGATCACATAGGTTGCACGTCGATATTCTAAGAGATTTCACTTTCAAATTCCTAAATTTAAATCCTCAAGTTTCCAATCCACTTTTACTCTCTGACAATGTTTCATAACCTATCAGTAAATATATAAAACGCACTCTTTCAGATTGAGCAAATTCTAATCACAATGAGTCTCGACATATGTCGTCACACTCGTACAGGGCAGCTCAGCGGTGGAGAAAGAAAGAGGCTAGCAATTGCGCTGGAATTACTTAACTGCCCACCGATTTTGTTTCTCGACGAGCCTACTAGGTATCTCCTAATCTTGATTAAATTTATAAACCATTTTGTATATACCAATCATATTCAATTTGTAGTGGATTGGATAGCGTCACTTCAAAATATTGTATAACGTTGCTAAAACAATTGGCAAAGTCAGGACAAACAGTAATTTGTTCGATTCATCAACCGAGTGCCTCGCTGTTGAATATGGTCGACCATCTGTACGTGGTAGCGGATGGAAGTTGCGTTTATACGGGTAGCACTCAGAATTTAGTGCCTTATTTGAGCAGCCTTGGCTTGCAATGTCCGACGCATTATAATCCAGCTGACTACCGTAAGTAAATACTCGTAAGTAACTTAAAGTACGTTGTAACTCAGCACGCTTTGTGTCGAGAGAAAAGATGAAGCACTGTCTTTTTTAGTGATGGAGATTTGTAATGGAGATTACGGTAAGCACGTACCGGGATTAATAGACGCTATCGAAAATGGAAAGAACAATGCGTGGAGGTCAACGAGCAATGTAACCACCGCCAATCGTCAAGAGGAAGTAATCGCTTTAAACGTGATGGCTTCGTTCCAAGCACTTCGACAACGACCTCCGATGGCAGCTGATTATGCTCCTAGACGCAAAGGCTCTGAATACGCTACGAATTTTTGGAAACAGTTAATCGTTCTACTCAAAAGGAACACAATTAGACTTTCTCGCGATAAGGTGAATGATATTATCATTCAATTACTCTTCCATGGTAACTTCCATGATAATTTGATCCATAAGTACCATGGTAGAACGTTTCCATTACTTGCCATGAGGAAAGAATATTATAGTATAATCATAGACTCATAAATGATTTATGTTTTCATTTGATGTATATATATTTTTCATACATTTATGCAAAACTCTAATGGTTTCAAACTCCAATATGCAAATAAAAGTAATAAAACATTAGTATATTGAAGGTGAATATAAAATACATCTTGTATATTATATTTCAAAACCATGGAATAAGGGAAATATTGTGAATAAATATTAATACAGTCGTTCAAGTAGTTGTCCTTGACAGGAGTTTGGTATTACAGTTAATTATGTAAGTTGTGACAACAGTTGATGATCCGCTAATATTGTTTACGTTTTCTACAGGTATTAACTTTCACACGGCTCTCGATGCATTTCGTCATTGCCCTCCTTGTCGGCACTATTTATTTCCAAATCGGGCAGGATGCTGTGTACGTGCTGGATAATTTCAATCTTCTGTTCTTCAATATAATGTTTCTCATGTTTAGTGCATTCAGTGCAACTGTAACTACATGTAAGTCATTTTATTACAAGTCTAGTCATAACTGTCTACAGTGCTATATATAATAGTAGCGATACTTCATAATATTCATGAGTATAGCGACATAAAAAGTAAAGTAATTATTCGGCCTTTTTTGTGATTGTTACAGTTCCCTTGGAGTTACCAATTATTATGCGTGAACACTTTAACCGGTGGTACAAGTTGCACTCATTTTACTTAGCCAACAAACTGGCCGACATTCCAATTCAACTTACTGCAATTTCCTTATACATTCTCATAGTATATTACATGAGCGATCAATTACTGGAACTGCGGCGGTTTTGTATGTACACGTTAATGTGTTGCGCGGTCAGTATTGTTGCTCAAACATTTGGACTATTAGTTGGAACGGGGATGAAAGTTCAGGTACAAATATTTTCTACGTTCCAAGATCCTTACATAGAGTCTTACATTTGTAGATCTTTATATCCTAATCTATATTTCTATTCTATATTTTGTAAGATTATAATTTAATTTTATTTTCTTCCAGCATGGTATGATTTTTGGACCACTCACAATTCTTCCATTTCTGATATTTAGTGGATTTTTTGTCCAATTCAGACATGCTCATCCGTATCTACGTTGGCTGTTCCATTTATCGTTTCTGAAATACGGTTTCGAGGGTGTAATGATAGCTATTTATGGGTAAGAAGATAATTGTCATAATTTTTAACAGATAATATATTATCGTTAACATTTGGTCTCATGTTTCAGTTACAACAGACCAAAGCTTTCATGTTCAGATGTTTACTGTCATTTTGCAGTACCAGAGAAGCTACTGAGTGCCATGGACATGACACAAGCCGATTATTGGTTTTCTTTTTTCGTACTGACTGCGTTATATATCATCTTGGACATAGCAACGTTTACGTTGCTAAAACTTAAGCTGGAGAAACGCGTATAATAAAAAGCAACAATACCAATGTTATGAGTGAGATTTTAATGAAATAGGTTTATTATAAGCAACTCATGTTGTGTTCACTGTAAATAGAACAATATAAACAAATTACCATCAAAGACTGATTTGCTTTTAAAATATTCTGTGTAAAAAGAAATGAAAGTTTTATAAAGATTATTTGTAAAAATGATCATAATTGCATTTACTGCCGTTTTCAAATAAAAGGTACAATTGCTAATTGTAAAAGGTGATATATATACCCATGCATAGCAGGTTTGCATGGATTAGGGGGCAAAAGAGACGAACGAGCTTCCACTCTTTCTTGTTCCTTGTGTGAACAAGGAACACAGGAAGGATAGCCTCTTGTGTAATACACGCGATTGTTTAACAGCGAGACAAGATTAAAAGTTCTGTTACCTTGAGATAGCGTATCTCGCATCAATGATATTTTTTAATTCCATACCATATGTTTACTGTTAGATGATAAGAATACAATTTTTATATAAATTGCTGTCATGCAAACCATAATGTTCTGCAGAGTATAATGATGTATATTTATTACACCTTCCACATTCATTTCCACAAATGACACGTCGAATAAAATAATTCATTATACAGTTTTTTCTCAAAGCATTGGCATGAATAGCCTTCTTGTCTAGCGTTCACTTGACTCTTCAACCGCGCTAATAGTGTCAGGGACACAAACAAGTCGTCTGAAAAGTTTAAAATTTTGGAATTGTAGAAAAAGTTGATAATTATGCAAAAACGTTGATAAAATCATTTCAAAATATGTTGCATATTGATATGCTTCTTTGTTTCTCAAAATTATAAATACACATTCACATTTGACATTTAAAAACGAACTTTACTTTATAAACCATTTAATTCGATAAAAATTTCGTATCATATAAATTACTTATATTAAATCATTCAATTTATATATAATCTACAATAAACTTTGATAAAAGTGCAAAGAGATAAGAGATTAATTATTCTTCGTAAAATTAACCACACATTCAAAGAATTGTTTATTCAAGGTCAGAATTATAAGCGCAGAGATACGATAGACGCAGTGAGAAAGCACAACGACGCTGCAATGTGTACGATTTTCAGTTGTCGCGGCGATTTCGTACGTGCTGCATGTTTTATACGCTGTGCTTAATGCATATGGCATTTCTAAAGAAAAACAATGATCACTCAAGACAAAACGGAAACAATAAACCATAAACTTCAATATTCCTCTTCATTAACTGTCAACTGCACTCGATTATCGAATATCATAGACATTTTTGCATTGATAGGTCACTGACGTTTCTTATAAACTGGTGAAAGTGTCGCTTCGCGTTGCATAAAACGGTCAACATATAAAATAACTGAAAGTGTAAAAAATAATCGCAAATAAATATGAAAGATTTGTGAACTACGAAGCATCGTGACAATTGCATAGTATATTTATATATGATAATGATGTGTTGGAATGTTCCGACTATTTCATTTTTCGAGACGAAGCATCAATGCCGCGAATTGACAGTCGTGTAGAATTTTGAACATGTCAAAGCAAGTGTTCGTTCGAATATTTTATTAAGCATCGCTGATGAAAAAATTCTTCTGGTGAGTAATAAATGACAATTTAACTTTGATAGAAACAGCGTGCAGAAACTATGGTAGCTGTTCGGTGTAGATTAGAGATGATGCTGTGTTTATCATTGGCGTAACTGAGGCGTAGGATGCTGATTAGATCGCACAACTTATATCAGAAAAGGAATATTCTAAGTTTAAAATTTCTACACTTCCATATTTCTAAATTCCCATTTCTCTAAAATTCATAGTTTCAAAATCACGTGGTCATAAATCACGACGAAACAATGACACGCGATGTAATATCTAGAGCATTCAATCTACTTTCGTAATAAATCATTGTTACGCCATTGATTTTTATATCCACGAATACGTAAACACATACGTTCACACACATTTACTTTCACAGGATGCGTTTTGTCTGAGGCGAGTTTTGGAAACATATCGAAATGGGAACGTACTGCGACGATGCTGCTGTCGATTCGTCGGCGAGAATGATCGATGAAGGATGCACAATACAATTGAGGGACAATGAAAATTATTTGAATCCTGAAGTACGACCGGTTTCGAAGATGCTCGTTGAGTTCGATGATCTGTCGTATTCGGTCTGCTACAGTAAAGGCAAGTAATTAGTATCGTTTATGGGGAGAAAGTTGTCCTTCCACGGCTAAGATCAAATGTGTTGGAAGTTTAATACGCGCCAATTTAGGTCGTTAAAATATCGAATGCACTACGATATGCGGTGAAATCGACTCTCTCAAATAAGTCCATTATATCCAAATTGGTAATTTAAAATATTTTGTACAATTCTACATTAAAATTTTTTAATGAATTTTTTTTATTTTAAAATTCAACTTTTAGGATTTATAATAAGTTTCGAATCGACACTTTGAAGTGTGGTTCTGATCTTTCGAACGGTTTATCGCTGGTGATGTTTTGTAACAATCTTCGTTTATCTTGAATACTTATTTGTATAAGTTGTCCATATAAATTCACCTCTTGATAATACACACAGTATAGGTCAGCTGGTACGATCTTAAACGTGATGTTATTCATATTACAGTAGAATATAGCTTCAAGTAAACCTTAGGCCAAGGTTGTCAATAATCTATGCAAAATTTTCAATTATAATCACGAACACGTTTATAACAGAAATACATATAATACGAGTATGCGCATTTGTAAACGTGCTATTAGCAGCAACCACTAATTCATTTATTCTGACGCGGGTTATCTACATATAAATAACATTCTGCATAACTGACCCTCTTTTATTACACAAAATCGTACAAACAATAAAATCTGTATTTTGCAGGAAATTCGAAGAAGATTCTGGAGGACGTGACAGGATGTTTTCGTCCACAAAGACTGACCGTAATTGTTGGTCCTTCCGGTGCTGGCAAAACCACATTACTTCGTATTGTATCTACCTTGAAATCAAACAACATCAAGGGCTCGATTACCGTCAACGGCACAGAATGGAATGGCAGAGCATTTCGAAAACAAACTTGCTTTCTGCCGCAAGAGTTCGCTTTGTCGCCCTTACTTACCACTAGAGAAACACTCTACATTGCCGCGCGTTTGAAAATGCGCGGCATTTACGAACGGCGCGCTTTTTATCTAATCGTATGTTTGCTATTCAAATTCAGATCTAGAAGAAGAATCTTGTCTTCTCTAAATGAAGTCTATATTGTTCTAAATATTTATCATTGATAGGTGACCGAAATAGCAGAGAGTTTGGGCTTAACAAACTGTTTGGATACGATGGTGGAAAATTTGAGCGGTGGAGAACGAAAGAGACTAGCTATTGGAATAGAAATAATTACAAGACCATGTCTTTTATTATTAGATGAACCAACCAGTGGACTTGATAGCACGTCTTCGTACCAGGTCTATTGTAACGATCAGTTAATTTATTAATTATTCGATAGCACATTCAAAAAGTAATGCAAATATCTAAAAAATATTAATTTGCATAGGTAATCTGTTTGCTGCACAAAATTGCGAGAGGAGGTTGCACAGTGGCTTGCGCGATTCATCAACCGAGTAGTCGAATGATATCGCAATTTGACGACTTACTGGTTATGCATGAAGGAAAATCTTATTACTACGGTGCTTGGGAGGATGTTCTGAGTACCTTCAACGATGCGAATTATGCGTGTCCACAATTTTATAATATATGTGAATTCGGTGAGTTTCTTAATAGTAATAGTAATATGAAGGTAAATTAAAAATTGTTTTGTTTGCAGTTCTGGAGGTGGTGACCAGAGAAAGAGGCGGGGATTTGAATCATTTGTACAAAATTAATCGTGAAAAATATTTGAAATGGAAAACACATTTCGAGCATCCTACCATGGGTAATCATGTCTGAATTAAAAAGAAATTATTGTACAATGGCGTCTAATTATTGATGATTGTTTTTTAGGTGCGGATGTGATCGTTTCGAAGCTAGACAATTTGGGCAATAAACCAGCCCGATCACGTCTCTGGCAGGAACAGAAGATCCTGTTTTTGAAGGCAATGATTTGCATCAAACGAGATAACGTGCGTATGCATCATCGTCGGTTTTTTGCGCTTCCTTTCTTTGTATTTCAGGTTTATAAGGATCATTCGAATGTTTGCTTCTAGACTTTGACAAAGTTGAGATTCGCAGCTCATGTGGTAGTAGCTTTCCTACTAGGCATCGTGTTTTATAATTCCGGAATTAGCGCTAGTAGAGTTAACAGCAACATAGCTTGTATATTTTTTATTTTGCTGTTTTTATACTTTTCTAATTCTATGCCGGCTGTGCAAGTATGTAAGTTGCAGCTTTGTATTTATATTTTTATTAGTTATGAACAGTTGTTTTATTATTTTATTTATTATTTTATTCAGTTCCTATAGAAGCTGCTGTTTTCGTACGGGAATATTTGAATAATTGGTATCACTTAAGGTCTTATTATTCCGTAAAAATCATATCAGATTTACCGTTGCAAGTAATTATGTGTGATACTTTTAATTAAACACCTGTCTTTTAATCAATGATATTATTGCTGACAATTATCTATCACTTTCAGATTCTTTCTCCCTCGATATTCATTGCTATTACATACTATCTGACTGGCCAACCAATGGAATGCTTCAGGTTCTTCCGTACTTGGTTGATTTGTGTGTTAACAACAATCCTTGGACAATCATCTGGCATGCTCGTCGGCGTTACGTTCAGCACAGACGTAATAAATTACCTGAATCATCATGCTTTAGAATATCGATTGTTATAAACTATTCATGTAGCGTACACTCCTTTATTATGCAACGCATTGTATCGTAAACATTGGCGTAACTATGTCACTATTCCGATAAATAACAATTGATTATAGACGCATGTGATTTTTGCAGATGGGAGTATTTTTAATTCCTGCAGTCAACATGCCAATGATACTTTTCGCCGGATTTTTCTTAAAATTTAGCGAGGTGACATTTTACCTTCAACCTTTATGTGCCATAAGTTTCTTCAGGTACTTAATATCATCTTTGTGTATAATAGAGATTGAGAACTTTGAATACATACTAATCATCTGTTTATGTTTTGAATTATTTAAAAGTTGCTTTTAAATTTTTTTTATAGATATGCATTTGAAGGCATTTTACAATCAATCTATGATGGAAACAGAGAAAAATTACAGTGTGATGAAATTTATTGTCAGTTACGTTCTCCCAAAAAGATTTTGGAAGTAATGGATATGCCAACAATGTCTTATTACATGACAGTGCTAGGTTTATGTATTTGGATAATCTGTTTGCAGGTTTGCACGTACCTGATACTTAAATGGAAAGTATACATAGCTAAAAGATAATGTACAATTTCTTATTTCCTTTAAATATGATTGGCCTTTTTTATGCGTGAATGCTTAGAAAATACTAGCCAACTTTTTTACTGTGAAACTTTGACAATATTAATGTTACATGTATCTACCATATATTGTATAATTAACAAATAGTTCATTGAGATATAAAAAGAGATTTGGAAATAAGGGAACAATGTAAATGTAAAAGTTTTGTTTTATTTTAAACAATACATATGAATGTATGCAATCTTTGAGAGCTGGTAGAAAAATATTTACACGCGTTTTTTTGTTATAAGTTACTCGACTACAGGTATAGAGTTATAAATAATAATAATCTATTACATATTTTAAATCTCGCTTTGTACACGAGCATATACAATATTATAAAAATATTAACAAACTATTTACGTTTTGAATCTTACAAATAAATTTAAGTTCTTATTTTTAAATATAGAGAACTTCTTCAATTGTCAGTTTGGAGTCACAGTTGCAACTTGGCAGTGTTAGCATCAGATAAACAGAAAATTTTTAATAGACATTTTTTTAGTTTCAAACGTTTATAATTCTAATGTAATAGTCGATAGTGTCGGATTTTGTTGAAAGTTTCACAAATTCCAGTGGGGGCACTGTCAACTTGAATTATAAATTATCAGTGAAAAATACTTTCACAGAACTGAGCAATCTATTCCGCGATTTAATAGACGCACGTGTTGCGATAGACTTTATCAGTTCTTATATAAATTGATAACGTGTATCTTTTATAATATATGTATCAACTTCACATTAACATTCAAATATTTTTTACTGATTTCATTGCTAAACTAATTATTAGAGGTGATAATGTATTTCCGGCGACTGAAAAAATACAGTAAAATACTATCAAAAGTTAATTAGCATTTATAATAAAGAGTTATCCTAAGTTGCATAAACATAGTTTTATAAACGTCCATCATGACACATTGCCTTCAAGTTCAAACTGTTTCCAAAAGTACAAAATTTTTGCATTGTTCAATACTAAGAATGTAAGAACATAGACAGTCTATTAATCTGACTGTAATTAAAATTATTATTGCTTATTTGTGAAGATATTTTTCTAGAAACAGATCGACGACAAAGTTGATCAAGTTCTGATTCTTCAGACTTTCGTTTCTTGAATAAACTTACTGTGTTAATCGACTGGTAATGACTCCACATTTCGTACGTCGTATTTTGTAAGATAAATACATGAGTGACGCGGAAAAATGTCGAAACTTTGTAAAACTAAGTAACAACGTTCTTGGTCCCATAAATATAAATACGATAAGAACGTAATTAAAAATTAATAAAAAAATTCTTACATACATACGTACTTGATAACTATGAACAGTAGAATCTTTGTTTCGTAAGCTTAAGATACAAAAAGAGACGTGTGCATTGATGATTGACTTTTCTTGAGCAATTCATAAATATCACTTTGAAAGTTATCATTCAGGAGTAATGTCAGTTCGATTTCATCGAACGTTCCCTTTCATTTAACCTTCTACAGCCAATCTATTAATTTTATAAAAAAATTCAACCGTAAAAGGTTAACTCAAACATCCAAGATCCTCTACAACATATTAATTATCAAAGAAAAAATTAAATCACGCTACATATTTAACGTAGATCTATTCTTTCTGTAATCTTGGATATATGTGTTTATACATATTCACATTTTCATTCTTCAGTCAGTACTACACATAGAAATAAGTTCCTATATTTTGTCTAATTCTATTTCAGTTTTATACCCTGTATCCACGAAGGCAGGTAAAATGTGAATATACATATATCTTTCTCGTATAGCTTTTTACTTTTAAAGTATCTGCTAATCATGTGAAAAAAATGCAAAATTATTCCTTTGTGAAATTCGAAGAATTGTACAAATCTAATCATCGACTTATCGTACGGATACGATCTTCCATTTAAGAAGAAGATAAGCTGCACACCGTGTTATAATAAGTATCGCGATCAGCGCCACGATGTCGTTCCAGAATTGATCACCGGCCATGGCAATATCCGACAGGAATTTCGATGGGTATTTGTAATGACAATACCCGACGTGTTTTTTGCAAGTTAACACTGGCCGATCATATCCATATAAAGCACCGACGAATCTACGAATTAATAACATTATATGTAATGATTGGTAATTGCACTACTGATTTATGAGTCATTAATACATTTATTGCAGCAATTTAATTCTCCAATAATCCATTTTATCGCACACCCCACCACACCCAGCACTTTCTACTGTGACAATGAATCTATTACTACCCAAATTTCATGTAATATTAATAATTACCCTTCTAAAGCGTATCGTAAACAACTGATGTATGTGCCCCATTGAAGGTAACTTGGAACATCGCGTAAAGATACACCATATCCTGAGAACATCATTAATGGTACGAACAAAGTTGGTCCCAGGAACGTCCCATTCTGAAATGTAATCTTTCATGTATTCTAATCCGTTAACGCAGAATATAGAGTAAAAATATACTTACAACTACGTTAAATGCTGCTCCGATCATAAGACCCATTCCTTGTCCAATGAAAACTGTCAATATGTTAATTGCAAAGAACATTGCAAAACGTGTCATTTCTAATGGTTGTGCAGTGATAAAATATACTATCGAAGTAAAGAGTAAACAGCAAAATACGGAAATTGGAATGTCGATTAATGTTGTAGCTGTATAAAACGCCTTCAGACTGTACCATCTGTTAAAATGTTCTTTTAACAGAATATTCATTTGCATAGGAACTGAAAAAAGATATAAATTATATATTTTTATAAAATAACAATAAAATATATTGTTACATTAAAAATATGTAAAATTAATATATAAGGTATGTCAATTATCGCTTACAAGTAACTACAGTGAGCATCATTGTGGTCATCACTTGATGTACAAGAATAGAAAAGAGAAGATTATAGTTATCCAAAACTCTGGAACCGTCTGAACCGATTTCAACGAAAACTGAACTGAGGATAAGACCGACGAATATGTTGACTATTATCCGTAAGTGCGTTAAAGTCTGAAACAAATTTTTACATTTAAAAACTTAGAAATTTGAAATTTGATGAGGTTCAATTTCTACTATTTACCGTGTCTCTTTTGCACATCACAAAATATCTTCCCAGTAAGATTTTTATTTGATGCATTACGGATGTCGCTTGCAAGCTACCTTTATCACTTTTTTGCGACTTGTTCGTAACAGGATGCGCAGCTGTAAAAATAGAAATAAAATATCATATTATTTAAATTAAAATAAAATATCATATTATATTATATTATTTAATAAGTGATTTATATATCGATATACCTTTCAAGCTCCTGGTATCGACGAGACTCTCAGAATTGTCGAACCACCGTAAAGTCTTGCCATTTTCAGAAGCAGACAACAGTAAGGGTATTTTATCTTCTCCGTATTCTCCACAAGCTAATTCGATCACTGTAAAACAAAATAAGCAAATAAGAAAGTTCTGAAGCTAGGAGCAGGAAATAATCTCACGTACCGTAATCGGCTGGATTGTGGTACATTGGACATGGTATTTTGATACTCTCCAAGTAAGGAATTAATTGCTGGGTTGTGCCATGGTACAGACATTTTCCGTTAGATAATACGTAAGCCTACAAAGACCATAACAGAGTTTTACTACATCTTAAATAGTCAAAACAAGAATTTCTTCGACTAGCTTATGCAAAAATTAAATGCAATAAAACTGCGCAAATTATAAGAAACCGATATCGCAACAAAATGCTGATACGAAAGCATCTAATTACGCAAACGAAGAAATACAATCTGTTCGAGGAAATTCTTTCTCGCGAATTTCGTACCAAATCAAAAAGCTGGAAGATAGAGGCGCTAGGTTGATGAATCGTGCAAATGATTGTTCTTCCCTGTCGTGCGATCAGCTTCATCAAGTTCACCACTTGCATGCAAGAAGAGCTGTCCAGGCCTCTGAAACGATTATGTACAAATATAGCACTACCACATATGTTTAATAAATAATTTATGCAACGTTATCGAAGCGTGCTCATGTTAAGAAGAATAATAAATCAATGTACATAAGTGCAGTGATACCCTGTCTGCAATATCATTGCCGGATGATATACTTACGTCGTTGGTTCATCAAGGAACATAACGGTCGGGTTATTAACCAACTCGAGAGCGATAGAAAGCTTCTTTCTTTGGCCGCCGCTTAATTTTTCCGCCCGTGTGTTTATGTGTTCGTACAGGCCTAGTGTAACGAGTATCTCCTCGATCTGAAATATGAAATTTTTTATAGTCGCTTCATAAATATCTATGTATTTTTTCAACTCCTAATTTTGCTATGAATAGCAAATAGCTATTATATTAATTCATACATGGAAATTATGGAAGATTAGAATCGTATTTTTTCATTCTTGAAACTACAGTTTTCTGAATCTCATAAAGTTACAAATTTCTAAAAGCCACTGTCATGCCTGATGTGGGACGTTGACACTATTAATAAAACTAGGTAACCTGGCTCGCACCAGACAAAAATCCCAGTTATAATAATCACAGGAATACTTTTAAGAAACTTAATATACAAAAATTAAAATGATTTCATTAAGAATTTGTTCCTCTTTTCTTACAACATTAGGTTTACATAAAATAAAAAATAAATATGTAGTGGATGTTTGAAAGAGACATGTCAAATTAACATGTATGAGGTCTTATTTTTCAGAAGATTAGCAGAATTAATTTTTTTGATAAAGACCGGTTCTATGTTTCAGGAACTCGTATCTTATCAGGCTTTTCAAGTTTGTAATACAATTAGCGATGCAATTTAAAAATGTTTAACCACTGACAATCTACCCCATTGATGATCCTTGACTTACTATTGTTTCCTTTTCATATCTGGGAATACTTGTGGGCAACTTGAGGTCAGCTGCGACTCTCATGTTCTCGATAGTCGTTAGCAGAGGCTCCAAACGATCATCTTGCGTGATGTACGCACTGCACCTATGATAACAGAGAAACTGCATTACTATATGACAATATATAACAGTATATTAATATTATAATATAATAATATACTATATAACTACTATAATATATACTATGTATGCTATATACTATATACACTATATAACAACATGATACTAAATTAACATCATATTTAGTTTACAACTAACATAATAATTTTATCTGTGTCCCCCTTCTTCACTTATTACTAAAATATCACACAGCACCCAACAAACGAACTAACAGAAAATTTTCAATTTGCATTCCATTTCTGAGGCATCTTATATGTATACAACTGAATTACTTATAACTTACTATGTTATCATGTAAAAACTAATATGTTATAATGTAAACTGCATGACAGTTTTATGTAAATCAGTTCGACCATTTATTATCACGTCTACTCACGTCACATTTGATTAATGAGAAAACAAGCTAGAACGCTTTTAGAGAAATAATATTAAAAATGTCAAGACCTTCTCATTAATTAAACAACTTCTCTAAAAGCAATTTGTAATTTAAAACATTACTTTTAGAAACAACTTAAAACTAGAGACATTATTTTGAAGTACTTAAGATAAGCCTAATAAAATTATACAAAGTCAAATTCATGAAAACAAGTCACTATTCCTGAGTGCACGCTTTGAGTACAAGTTATCCGGATAAACAAAAAATCTGCTTCAAGGTCATTTTTCGGAGATCCCGTGGTCACATTTTTCATGAAGCACAAAGATAACATCATTTGTGTTCGACGCAGTGATATTTCAGTGACCTCAGGAAACAAAATACCATGTTCGGTTGAAAGATAAAAGCGTGGAAACCTCGTGGATTTTATCGATGACCTTAAAGTATTCAGAAAAAAAATGATACAACTATTGTAATATCTCTCAATTATTAACAATATTTAGATCTCATAGCATTATCTTTCTTCGTATTACAGAGTTCAAGAATATCGATGTTAAAGACCTTCTCATATTACAAAACACGGAGGTTTTTCCGACGGTATGTTGGAGATTAGATTATCTACACACTATTTTCGGATCATGCTCTAAGTTGGCAAATCTTAATTTGAGATATGATACTTGGACATTGCCGTTACTAGATATAAATCTTCGGAGGGGTCAAGGAACCTAACTGTCTTCCATGTAGCATCAGTTCTCTAGAATTTATGAGTCAAGTTTCTATTTGTAAATTTTATTATTTTTAAATGAAGACATTTCTTAAATGCCTAATTCTTTTAACTTTTTTAGATTCATAATTTCATGAATTGCTAAATTGCTAAATTTCTAAATTTCCAAATTCTCAAATTTCCAAACTCTCAATTTTCCAAACTCTCAAATTTCCAAACTCTCAAATTCCCAAACTCTCAAATTCCCAAACTCTCAAATTCCCAAACTCTCAAATTCCCAAACTCTCAAATTCCCAAACTCTCAAATTCCCAAACTCTCAAATTCCCAAACTCTCAAATTCCCAAACTCTCAAATTCCCAAACTCTCAAATTCCCAAACTCTCAAATTCCCAAACTCTCAAATTCCCAAACTCTCAAATTCCCAAACTCTCAAATTCCCAAACTCTCAAATTCCCAAACTCTCAAATTCCCAAACTCTCAAATTCCCAAACTCTCAAATTCCCAAACTCTCAAATTCCCAAACTCTCAAATTCCCAAACTCTCAAATTCCCAAACTCTCAAATTCCCAAACTCTCAAATTCCCAAACTCTCAAATTCCCAAACTCTCAAATTTTCAAATTCTCAAATTCTCAAATTCCCAAATTCCCAAATCTCTAGATCCCAAAATCCCGAAATCCCTAGATCCCCAAATTCCTAGATCCCTAGATCCCAAAATCCCTAGATCCCTAGATCCCAAAATCCCTAAATCCCTAGATCCCCAAATCCCTAAATCCCTAATTGCCAAATTCCCAAGTTCTCAAATTCCTTCTAAAATTCCTAAGTTCCTAATTTCTCAAGTCCCCAAATTCCCAAGCGGTCAGCGTCCCGCAGCCGCTAATAAAGATAAGTAAATAGGCCCACCCCAACCGAAGGCCGTGTTAACGGCTTTCGCAAAATGCTTACTTTCGAAAGGAATTTAATTGCCGAGGTCGTCCATTAACGTACACGTTGCCAGAGACCCCAGTTATCCTGAATCCCGACAGGACATCGAGTAAAGTTGATTTCCCCGCTCCGGAAGGGCCCATTAAGGCAATTAGGTGTCTCGCTGGAAGCCTTCCGTTGATTTTATGTAATATTTCTTTTTCACCTGAAACATATTCAGCGATGACCACATTTTATATTCTATAAGCAATTATGCAGATTTGAATTATAAATTGATATTACAAATCGTTATTTCATGTATATGTTTTTTTAATATGTAAAATGTGAACTTTCAGGAAAAAAAACTAACAGATTTTGCTGTGGATGGTAACTGACCTTTCCTGTAACCTAGGGACACCTTGTAACTGATGTTCTCGAACATAATGTCAACAGTGTCCGCGGCGTCGGTTTGCATGAAACGAGTGGTGCCGTTGTTCTGTGCATTATCTTGCTTCTCTTTGACCGGCTGTTTAGAGGGGTTATAAATCTGTTCGCCGCCGGGCGTCTCTTGGCCGTTGCTCGCCTCGTGCATTAATACCTCCATCGTCAAGTATCCTCGTAGAAATGGGCGAGCTGGTCAACTGGCCGAGGGTATTAACGCTCGAACGCCCACCAATTAGTTCAACATAGGAGAGCGCACTGTACAACTGCAACAAGAGGGAACCGCATTGTTATATTGAATGTGAATAAAATACGTTAGGTGGAATTCTTGTTTGTTTGCACTCTTTTCAGCCAAACGAATTTGTTACTCAATAGCGGCCGCGTTAACGACCGGAAGACGGCAGCAGTCGTTGACCAATTAACCCAATAATTCATACAGGTTGAGTGTATACGACTTTTACGACTATTGTTCGATTAATAATACAGTTCATTGTTCGTGAGAGGAAATTACAGAGACTTTGGAATTTCTAGATTCATTAAATTTAGGAGGCAAAAATTTGGGACACGAATTTAAATAACAATGCAACTTAATAGCTTCATGTCCCAAACATAACTTTGAGACTCCTATCTTTTCATAACGTTGCTTTGAAAGTATTAAATGTAAAAGTGTACATTACAAACTTTATCTAATAGGAAAAGTGGTATGTGCATTTTTCCAAGTTCTGACAACATTGCTATCAACCTGCTTACATAAACGAAACAAATTTAAACTAGAAACGATAACTATGTCAGTTGCAAACATTAGGTTGGATTACATTCACTGTTAATGTAATGGAACTTATCATTAAATAAACGTAGCACGATGCTACCCTCTAATTCACAGTTGTAAATTTGAATAAGAATGGGTGATGGAAAGTAGTGAAAAATGTTCCATTCCAATAACCTGAATCCAATAGTTGCTATGTTACGGTGTTTAGAATATTTAAACAGGTTTGAGTGAACTGCTTCTATACTATAGCTTGGTCAACATCAACGACGCCGTTCAAGGTCATTGGGTAACCCTTTCGCGCTCCTCTGCATCGCCGGTTCATCTTCCGTTTCCTATCTCGCTTTTTGCTGCACTTGATTCTATTGTTTCATTAGAGACAGTTGTTTGGACTTAAAAGTCATCTGGAAACAATTGCAGGGTCACGTGCTTGAGATAATAGACTTTGGATCAATATTAGATTACTGTACGGTTCTCAACATTTAGTATTAAGTTAGCTGTCACAAAATATTGAGAACCCTAAATAAGTTTACGTTATTTATAATTGTATATACAGTGATTACGTAATTTGCAGCTGATGAGGCTAATTATAATTGACAGGCATTAATACATAGAAATCATTGCGTATCATGAAATATTCATTATATGCTTTACATATCGATTTCAAAGAAATCAGTTTGAACGTAGAATACAAGTATACGAATGTAGCCGAGACCTTGAATCGTCGCTGACGATTTCCAGATGAGTCGTCAAATAATCTTATAGTTATCCACGTAATCTGCTATTCATCGAACAATCAGTCAGTGGACCAATAAATAAAAGGCCTCCGGTCCAAGGTAATCTTGATCTATGCAGGGAAAAAAGTTTATGAGTCTTGACATATAGAGCTGACGTAAGGGGTTCAAAGTGTATGTGAACACCTATGAAAAATTAATGAAATAAATATAGCATTTAACAACATTTACATAGGAATAATGATGATGTAGAAGAAATTCAAAATTTAAGAATTTTGAAATTTGGGGATTTGGAGGTTTGGATATTTGTATGTAATATTAACATCCCCTTAATATCCCCCATTTTGTATAAATGATAAGACCTCCTTTCGTTAACCGCCATTTTCCATATAGAAACTTACCTAACCTACCCTACAATGTCTCAGTCACCTCAATGACATCCAAGAATTAAAAACATTCATAAATCCCATTACCAATAATTAATACAGTGAGGAAAAAATCATTCCATCGATGGCCTTATCTGTTGCCTAAGAAATGGAATATCAATGTCAGTGAATTAAAATTCAGTGCAAAATCACATAGATTTTAGCATCGAATAATATACAGCGATAAACGTGCTTCGCTTACGTGATCGCTGGAAATTTGATCTTTACACGAATAACCCAATGTCGGTAAATCTCCATCGATTGAGAGTCGATGCAGATCGACGCGATATATTTAAACCTTTGAATGATTCGAGTTCTGAGTACAGAAATATACAGTAATAGCATTGTGTGTTAAATAGGAAAAAGGTGTAAATGATTTCGTGGACTGCTGTGACCTTGTCAGTAAAGGTTGCATAAAAAGTATGTTGAGATCATTCGTCGTTCAGCAAAGAAGAGGAATTATCCTAAAAAGCACAATGCTAGTCAGAACACGTAGATCCGTCTTTATAACGTGATTTAAAAGATTCTTTACCATTTCATCTTATAACGTTTTGTTTTTCTATCTGTTATTGGTATAATTATTTTGTTGAGCAAAAAGCAAGATTGAGTCCATGGCAATCGCTCATGGTCTAGAATTTTCTATAATAGAATAGTTAATAAGATGAAAAAGATTACGAATAACATTAGTATTACATGTACTAATAATGCAAGCTATAAATGTTTCAAGGTGTCTTACAATTAGTCCACATCTCCATCTGTGTAAAATAAGATATACAAATTTGAGAATCTAACCTTCAAAACGCGTACTTATACGTATACTTCATCTCCAAATATGTAACATTTCGTTTAAATACAATCGGAACAAAAGCGCCTACTACATTCGTAATTATGATGTCATTTAGAACATAAAATCTAGTCAACAACTTCCGGTAGATATTGAGAATCATCATTTTTTAATCACACAGGAAATCGTCATCCAAGTAGCAAATAATGTTCAAAGTGTCAAGATTAATTCGACGCTAACGTTCGTACTTTCGATTCGGACGGTTAAACGGCGGAGTTGAATCAATCGATTGATCGAACGGCCATGCATCACTTTCGAGATTCAAGAACTTTGCCCCGATACTTTTGGCAGCTCGCAGATAATCATTAACGATTTAACGCTTAAACCGGAAGGTATTTTTACAAGTTAAATTGCATAAATGTATTGATAGTGAAGTTTGAAACGGATGTAATAAGACTCCCGCGAAAGTTCGTCATCGATTTGCGAGTAGATTAGATTACGACTGTGGAAAACAAAGGTTACTGGACTTGGAACTTTCTGTTTGTATTTTATCAAAACACGTGCAGAAGGATTACGTCATACGATGAGACATGACACAAAACCACATAAAATACTAGTAAAATATGTACATCAGAGATTCCTATTAAATTAATATAACTTATTTAACTTTTCTGTGAACAATGACACGGAAAATGCTGCGGAAAGAACGTTCTGCTATACCTCGATAAATTTCAGGTAAATTATACGCCTTTCTTCGAATCTTGTACTTTGGAGCGATTCTACAAGCATTAACATACTATTTAGTAACTTTTAAGATGTATTACATGTTTACAAGATTAAATTTCTACAATCATTTGATCTTTCTCAAAAACAAAAAATAAGGAATGGTGATCGTTGGTAAAGATTCCGAGAAAGATAAAGTGCTTCAAGCGATCAAAGGTCACAAAAAAAATAACGCGAAACATTATATCCTAGTTTGTATTAAAAACCGGATTACAAGAAAAGCAAAAAAAACATTAATCTTACGAAAAAACATACACTCTTGCAACTGACGTGTAAATTACTAACGATTCGTACAAAACTTTGAAAATAATTTGCAATGCAAATGACAATTGTTAGTATACTTTGACGCGATTTGAGCAAAAAACAGCCACTATCAAGAATGAGTTAATGTGACTATTGGGATACAATTAACCTTATATCTTTTTAATGTCCGTTTTTTTCTTATTTTTATGTAATTATCAACGTTTCTTAAGAAGGTAATGACAAACAGTACTCTTCATTTTTAATTATCTGTTCTTCATCGATATCTTGTCGATACTTATCGATATATCGATATACGATGTCAAAATAATCTGTATCAATTTTTTTCATGTAAATTCAACACAAAGGGGACAACAATGCGTGTGGCATCATTAAGAGGACATGGACGACATTGAAACAGTTGATCGCTGAGTAAACTTCCTCAAAGAGAACGAAGTGGACTATCTGCGCGGAGATAACCGTAATCTTGTTTATGGAATTAAACAACCATCATTGTCTCAGAATGTAACAAAACTCTAGTAATGTCGATCAACTTGGGGCAGCTTGAAACTCTGTCAGATTTGTCGAATAAAAAAATGGATATCCGACAGAAGCGGGAAAGGAGATTCTCGAACAATAATTACTTCACAGTTACAACGCGAACAAAGTGAATGCGAGAAATGAATCATCAAGTGCACGTTGTTTAGCTTCCGACAAGTTGTAACTGTGGAATCGTTACAATGTAAAAATATCAACTCCGCTCGTGCAGAAAATTTATTGCTCACTTTGATCGGTCCATTTGTAACATAATGATTATGATTTATAACGATTGGTCGAAGTACATTGCAAATCTTATCGCATGGTATGAATCAACAATGAAAGTCCAGCAAAAATTATTGTGAAGATCCGAGCTAATACGTCGAAAGAGGACAACACGAATTCAAGTTCAACGTTTGTTGTTCTCGGCACCAGCGCCTTTGTCGCGATTAAACGTCCTTGCTCAACGGATCAACTTCTTTTTTTTCACTTCGAATGAGGTAATTATTTTTAAACACACGTTTCTTACCACTAAAATATTATGATCACTGCTGATAATTATTCTAATTTATTCTGTTTGCAACAGATTGCAACAGCAACTACTTTATATTGCGAATACGAATAAGCGACAGACTATATTGAAAATTGTTCAGAATCTTGCTTCTTTTTTATGGCGAATATTCTGGCAACAACTTTTTGACGAGAATTTATCCGCTGTTCTAATGCTCATCACCCGCAGCTTTCTACAAAGATTTACACAACATTGCATTTATTGCGTGCAACGTACTTTCGCTGAGGTCATGACAACGAACGATGAGGATTCTGGAACCGACTCAGGAATACCATCATAGCAGATCTGTGATTCATGGTTCAAAAACCAGATACCGGTCATTTTACACCGATGTACGCACGCGTTAGTCTTCACCTCGATACAACGAGGTCGTAGAACTTTTCAGAAGCCCTACTGTACATGTCTCGAAAGAAGTTTCGTAAAAGTAATAACTTTTATTGTTAAACGTGGAGATCTGTATCTCTTAAACGCATAAGTCCCATATCTTATTTTGAGATTTCAAATTTTTATCCGAGTTCCCAAGCTTTCACGACGGCTTTGCAAAAGAGCATGTACTGTAATGTCTAGTAAATTACTTCATGTAAAAAGAACATATATCACATTGCATCATGTATTATGTATTAATTTTTCTGCTTATTAAGGATGCATTATATAATAGTATTTGCGTCCATAATTAGCATAATAGAGCAGGGCATGTCAATATCTGTTAAAACAAATTATACAGATTAGTCAATAATTACTTAATTAAGACATTACGTTACATGTGTTTTTATACGGTCTTACTGGACTTTCTGTTCTAATCTAAAATTCTTAAAGTCAATTAAACGCGATTAGCATCATAAATTGGCACTTGCGTCTTATTGAAATTTATTTCAATTTATTGCCGAATGTATTTATATGAAGAGATAAGTTTACCGATGTTTATGGTATTAATCATGCAACTTTTTTGCGAGCTAGTTGAAACGACTTTTGTTCTTTCCGTTAGACGCTCGTCTTCCTGACTCACCGCTGCTGTTTTTATAAATAAATCAACCGGTTTTGAACAACGTGTAATTAACGCGAACCAATATTTATCATATATTCTTCTCTTGATTAGTACCGTTCAATCAAAGGAATACGCTTATGAAAATTACATGGAAAATTGATTGTCTGGTTACTTTCACTTAGACATTAAATAACTGAAAACTGTATATGTAGGTTAAACGAAAGCTATTGTGTTTTCCTCGATGTTCCTGTAGACTAGGACAAAAGATCTTCTGCCGCAACTAAGATTGACGATAAGAAACAGTATTTTTCTTATTCCTAATAATAGCTTCCGTTTATCGCAAAAAAGAAATGTGTCGCTGCATTATTATCATCAAATTAGAAATACAAAGATAATACGAGTTAACAAAAAAGAAGCCTTGATAAACTTCCGAGTTTGCACTTAAAAAATGTATATGTTTATTAATTTATGTAAATTACATATTGTAGAGTATTATTACTACTTGTTATATGACCATAGTGTGGTATGTCATGTTATCTGATCGTGCGTTATATTATACGTCATATATGTATGTCCACGTGTTATATCGCCATACGCGTTGTGTGACATCTACTGTCACGCAATACATAACCACATATTATAATACCGCGCGCTATATTTCAGCGAAAATGAAACGAGTGAACAAGTAATCTCCAAATTTATTTTATCGAGTAAACTTCGATCGTATCGAATATCAAACTACTTAACGAAAAGTACTGTGATATTTTACAAGAACAGTGCAGTCATTCGTATCTATTAATTTAATAAAGACGAGCTTACTATCAAACAAGAAATAGTTAACTATACTTTTATCTTGAGCGTATTTCTTATAGAACATCATCGAACGATAAAGTTCGATAACGACGAAAAATAAATTGGACAATCCGATGGATTTTTCACTATCTTCTTGTAAATACTTCCGCGATAACAAAATGATCAATAAATCCAATATTGCACACGTATACGCAGGACATGATGCAAACAAAGTTCAGTCGGTCATATGCTGCAATTTCACTGTTCGATCTTCGTATCGATGTTTACTAATTGATTTCCAAATGATGCGGAACGAGTTAGGTTAATCTGAAATATTTTTAATCATTTAGAAAACAGTGTGATAAATAAAAAATTGTATAACGCAGCAGGTAAAAAACTTGAAGAAATAAAAAAAGTAGTACTTCTAAACAATACCCATGTTTAATCGTAACCTAAAACTCGCTAACTTTCTTATTACTAACCTAACTGTACATAAAGAATAACCCGACGTTCATATAATCTTATTGCTTTCGTATTGTGGTAATATGACACGACTCGAGTTTCGAAAGGTTGGAGACCGTTAGTTCGCGTTTGAAAAAATTTGTAAACGCTTCATTTTTTTTTGCTCAAACAGGCCCAGCAACTGTTTTCACTACGCGTTCAAGTCGTTTTCTAGTTTGCATATACAGTATGGATATTTTCTACTACACATTATATTTATTACGTTTCAGAAATAAATTGAATGTCACTTTGTTCACTTATAGATATGTTGGTCATTGAATGTAGTCCCGTTTACCCGAAATCCAAGATAAGTGTGCAATCTCCGTCAACTTCCTTGAAAGGTGTTAGGAAGTAGGGCAGTGTGTTACGTTAGATGTAAGTACAGATCGATCTAAATCATTGGAAATATTTCGAGACATAAAATTATACACCTGTCATCAGACAGGCCATTCACTCTTTTTTAGTGAAAGTAGACGCGAATTTTATCGTTAGACCAAATGTTGTACCACTACGAGTAGTATCCCCGCGCAATCGAATCGATTTATCTCGAAGTGTGAAGTTCGATCGGCCAAAATCGAGCATGTGTGTCAACTAAATATTCTTGTTTGTAAACGTTTTACGAAATTCTTATAATCAATGCTTGTAACACTGTTACGTATGCATACATTAATTCATTCCCATAAACCTTATTCCACTCACTATGACTGGTGACAGAATGCTAAATAGTTCTTTCAATAATTTCTTGCTAACTACTTCAAACTTAAGAAATCAGTGTGATACATTATGCATACTAAGTTTCAACGTAAGATCTGAAAGAAAAACTTTGTCGTTACTAGTAATTAAAATCATTTAGATATGCTTCTGACAGAAGCAGATAATATCGAACTATCGATAACTGAAATGAGCAGGTTTTCAAAAGATTGTATTTCAGAATTACAAATTGTGTAAAAGTAGCACATCATCAACGCTCTATTTCTTCTCGTGTAATGTCACAGTTGCATTATAATCAAACTTACGCCATAAAAACAAACTTCAATAAATATTTACATTTTGTTCTGCAATGTCTGTTTACGGTTCGGTCTTTGTTCACGATTACTCAAGCAGTAACGATACAATCGAAATTATATCGAAAATATATGCCACCAGCATTACAAATTGTTTACAGCGTACTGTCGAGTAATTTTGGACTTATCATCGATAAAATACGCACTTACCGTAAAGAGGGTGCGAAAACGGTAGCTAATTTCTTTGACAGCGTTCTGACTTGACCCTTCGTGCTTCACACTAACCGCTTCACGAACGATACGTGATTGAAAATATTCGCGTATCGAGATCAACGGCTAATCTCGATTCGAATGCGAACTTATTACTACGAAAGCGCGGGCAAAAGTGTCGTGGACATGACCACTTACAAAAATTTACTAAAAATACCGTAGAGGGCCTGACATGCGCGAGATCAGAACCGCTTACTACCGTCGATCGAATACTGCACTCGACACGCGTGTTCTCTCCCTTTACTACCTCCCTCTATCATCTCTTTATTCCCCTCACTACTCGACCGTCCGATCAACAACATCTCGCCCCTCTCTCTTTTTTTTCTGTTTCGCTTCACCACTCCTAATTCGCGCTTTGACACGACATTTAATCCATTCATTTCTTAGAGGTCGAAAATATGTTATTTTCGAGACAGTACTTTCTATTGTAACCAAAATGCGCGCGGATTAGTCACCTTGCTATCACTCGCGAAATATCGCGAACTCGATCATCGTTTTCGAGACTTTGGAATTTTGGCATTTAGAATTTTAAAAGTAATCGATGTCGCATACTCGATCATCGATATTAAATGGTACATTGCATGATATGTCTTGTTCGATCTTACACTTCCTCTTCCGTGACAGCAATAGTTTCTTATAATGCTAATGAACAAAACAGGTAGTAACACGCTTAATGAGTGCAAGTTAATGGTTTATTATCCACTTATGTTTCTATGCCTATATTTATCAATATACGATTTATACGAAGACGTCTGTCATTGAAAACAACGATCCCTAGAATTTTATACATACGTTTCATCAAACAGAATTTATTACATAATATAACTACAGATTCTTGTTAATAATAGGATTTAAGATAATTATGATATAACTGGAAATATGATGCATTATGTTTATCGATCGGAACAGAGTGTTGATCAAACTTTGGATATTGCACCTGACGATACATAACCCTCCTTACACGGAATATAAGAGGGTACTCTAAGTTGAAGACTTTTTAACCTTTCAAATTTTACAGGTAATCCTTCAGACTATCGGTAATAATTTTTTTTATGGCTAAAAAATCGGAACTGTCATGATAATTGAAATTTCTCATAGATCATCGTTAACTCAACCAATTTAATGATCGATTTTAGTCAAACTACCGAATTAACATTGCTAATCGAATGACTTTTTTTGCTTAGTAACGTTTATTTTCAAAATTTGTTTTAAAAAAATTGTTTTTCGATTTAGATCGTGTGCTATCAACATACGAGTGGATTGCGTTTACGGACGTCGTCTTATTAAGGTATGGTGTGATTTTCCTAATATAAATAATTAATACGAGGAAGTTAATAAAGCTAGTAATCGTAAAAAGAAATTTTGAAATCACTCAGTTAAAAATAACTCTAAAGATATATTCAAAAAATATTATGATTCTTCCATTTCATAAATAAATTTTTATTGTTTTTTTTATTCAACATTTCTATCCTTTTTCCTGTTATGTAAATTATTAGTTTACATTCTGAAAATTATCATATTCATTAACAATTCACGATAGTTTATCATTACGTTTTTTAATGGTTGATACACTGTTTGTAGGATCGTGGGAGAATTTGAAGGTAACTTAGAAAGCATGTTATGCATTCAAGATCAATCTAAGAAGAGTTTACGGAAAATTTAAGAACCTGTCACTTCTCAAGTTACGACGTCACGTATTGCCATTCACCGTACCATCACGCTGTATATAGCCGCGCAGTAGACTGCCACACACAGTCATCACGCTATATGCATAGAGCTGTAATATTCCGATAATTGTCGTGTAATTAACTTTCAATTATATTTGGATCCTATCGTTAATCAATATTTCTCAAAACTTTCAGAACCCAGAAACTTCTATTGATTGCAGACGATATTGGAATAGTACTACTATGTATTCGAGTTCCAGTAACAATATACATAAGTTTATCATCGATTACAATGGACTTGTAAGCTTATGTAAAATATTCGCACAAGGTCAAAAGAAAGTATTTTACGCTCTTCCTGGAAACATAATATAAATTTATACATAAAATTAATATTGTTCCACATTGAGTAATGGCACATAAGTGTGACATAATAAAAATTTATTGATACGTAATCACTTCATAATTAGTACAATCGATATACTAGTAACTTGCACGTTCAAAAGGATGATTTCAATCAATCTTATCATAGTGAGGTATAAAGGTATCTTCTTGATTAAGAGAGATTGCGCATCTTTGTTTGTTTTATAGTTACTAATATTTAATAAGGATTATAATAAATGAAAGTTATTCACTTAAAGATTATATTCATTAAAATTCTTTTCTAAATATTTTTGAACGTTTATGTATAATCGTCCACTACGTTAACTAAATATTTAACTACCTATTCAATTGGACTGTTTATTATAATATTGAATAGTAATGCATCGAAATAAGAGTCAACAGGCTGCTGTCATCTAACAAGTCACTATCTCAATGAAGTATGACTTAGGGTGACCATTGACCCGACCTCCTGCTTTTTAATATTGTTTTGTGACTAAAGGATATGCGTGTAATGCAATCGTTAACTAATCGTTTATTAATTACTCAAAATTATTTACTTTACAGGAATTTATCTACATGCACGACTGTCACCATGTAATCATAAATTTCCTGTAAATGTTACAATCGGAATTTGGAGTGAGTATATACATTAATATATTCTTACTCATACAATATTTATAAAAATATGGCTATCCAATACTTCTTCAACACGTTCTCATATGTAATATAAAATTAGGTATTTATTCATAATAATAGGTCAATAACATAACATTAATAAGAGTCGCTTTCACATTGTAAATAAAATTTATTCATCGTCTTGTACAACTGTTGTTTTTTCAGATACATAGAGACCGTCCAAGAACTTTCTAATGTCCTTGTTCTTTACTGTTGTAGATTGCTGTATAAGGGCAGCTGAAATAAAAATTATTCATTAATGTAATTTGTTCAGACATACATTTATTAGAAACACAAGTACTTCAATAAAGTCTGTGTTCTTTTAATTTGGAGTGTATAGACACATATTAATATTTACCAGATCTGGAGACGTCCTCTAAAGAATTTCCTTCTATTATGAGTTCATCCTTTTGTTTGGCCGAGTTCGTAACAGTTACACCCGGTGCCATCTTTACTCGGCGAATGTACTTTTCTCCCAAGAAGTTACGGATCTCAATTACTGTGTTATTTTCAGTTGTAACACAATTAATGGGAAAGTGAGCATATACAGCTCTCATTTTATATTGATATCCTTTAGTTACTCCTTTCAACATATTTTCAATGTGAGAGCAAACTGTACGTACAGCTGCTAATTCCTTCTTTGTTCCAAACCATTTCTCCACTTTAAGTAGCCTGGGATTGACCATCTAAAAAAAGTTAGAAATTAATTTAAGAAGAACATTAAGTCATATGACTACTTGCTACTAGTATTATATTAATCAGATAATGGTTTATCATCTATGAGAAAATGAAGGGGAATCCAGATATCATCCTCTTATATTTTAGGTTCAAATACCTTTTATTAATAATTACTGAGAAACACAAACATTTACTTACACGAATATCAAGTGCAAGATGTTTGAAAGACCGTTTAAGAACACCCCTTGGTCCTTTAACAGTAACCAAACGGGACTTGACTGTAACAGTCAATCCCTCAGGTATTTTCACAGTTTGATTTGTTACGATTTGCTTCATCCTGTAATGTATAACAAAATATTATTTACAACAGAATCCTTGAAAATAAAATCATAGTACATTATAAGTATTAACTATATTTTAACATTTAACTTTAACACAATAAACTTGAGTAGTTAAAATATGTTAGACATTAAAAATATTAACAATACTTTTTACAGTATAAGAATTTGTAGGTTATGTTTAATTAGGAACATGTCAAGCTGTCAACAATTGAACAAATTTAACATAAGGAAAACAAGTGTATTTCAATTGGTATATTTGTATGCCTTCATATAATAATTAATTTAGAAGATTAAATAAAAATAACGATAACAAAATTTCAATCCAGAGAAGAATGTTTACAAAATTTAAAAAACAAGGTTAGATTTTAATGTGAATGAAATCAGTACTTTTCCCATAAATAATACTTAGCCTTGCTTAAATATATTATACGATATTAAACAGCACGAATAATAAGGCATAAAGTTTATTGCATTGCTAGATTGTTGTGGATTTCACAAAGTATCTTTTTTCATTCAAGATTTCATTACCTCACACACGTTACGGGATGACCGGAAAAGACCGAGGCGCTGTGGAAGCATGTCTGTATTGCCTTGAGTAAATGTAACATAGACTAGAAAACCATATTCTCTTTTATGTATTATACTTGGATTGGAGATTTTTATAATGTACAGTGTTTCGTTGCATCAATAATAAAATGAGAAAACATAAGATACTTTCTAATAAGTAAAATTTTATATTATATATTTTTTATTTCGCAGTGAAATTATGTCAAATGACAAAATTTTCAACTGTACTGCGCAGGTCTACTTTGATTGGTCCAAAGTTAGGGATAATGCAGTGTTCTACTATATTTCTGTTGCCAAACGTATACATACAGTGATCTTTAAATTTAGTATATTCTTCTATACAGAACATACATCTTATTCTTTTCTGCTATTCATATATTTAGTTTACCGTGTATATTACCTTAAAGTAAGAAGTGACCTATAGATTGGCACCACACTGGAGATGAACAGGGCTCTGAACTCAGCTGAGAAGAACGGTTTATAATGATTCTCTACCAAAACAAAGTAAGTACTTGTATGACTGTACAATTGCCGATTATATTACGGTATTATAATATCATTGTGATATTATTCATCGTTGCTATAAACAATGTATTGTTTTCAATAAAGAGAAGCAAGTATAGGAATTGATAAATGATATAACAGTAAACCATGGAAGTACGAAACGAACATTTCACTGACAAAATGTAAAAAACTTAACATACAACGGAACATGATAATAAATAATTTCATTGTTTACTCAAATATGTAAATATGTGGTAAAAAGGGTTGAATGTATGGACATTAAATAATGTTTTTGAAAATATAATTATCATAGACTCACATAATATATATTGTATACAATTTAATGTTTATTGAGATATTAAACTTTTGTCAACACATAAAAATCTCAAGAACTTTTTTAAAACGTGAAATCTGCTCCATTTTTATATACATTTAAAGGATAACAATATCTATAATGTCATTACATAATTTATATATAAAAATTAAGTCATATAAACATATATTTTTAGTACTTTTACAAACCAATTTTACTCTATTTTAATTTGTTGCAAATACTGGTAAATGTATTTATAGTGATTGTTAAAATTGACCTTTTCCTCAGAAACTGTATTGTAACTAATTAAGAAGTTTTGTGCACTTGAAAATCATACATGTTTTGTTGCAAATACTACTTTCTCTGTACTATTGTAATATGTTTTATCTTTAGATTATGTTAATATACATGTACCTCATTTGAGGAATCACATTGAAGTTATACACATACTTTTTATCTTTACTATTAATAAAGTGTATATACATTAAAATATGTACTATATATATATATATATATATATATGTATAAGAGATGTTAATGCAATTAAATTACATATCAAACAGTGTTGAATTAGGAATATTGAAATCTGGTAAATATATAATTTAAAAAAGAATTGTAGAGCCTTTTTTTAATGCCTCAAATGAAGTTTCTATGTTTATTGACCTTAATTTGTACTGTAAGCTTCAATATTCGTGAGAAGCTGTTACTTTTGTTAAATTGTTTCAGTTACAAAATGGTAGCTTAATTTATGTCTGTATCAATTTTAATGCTATTTGTAAAAAAAAAAAGAAATGTGATGATAAATAATTTAAAGAAAACTGTGCTCAGTATCAAAAAAGATTTTCTTCAAAATTTCGTTTAAAAGTAAACATACATGGTTCTCGAATATTGTCTGAAAGTACATAAAATACAAAACTTAATTTTATCATTATTTTAAGTAGCAATATACATCGTATACGTTAGTATGCTTAGAAGAAAATACTAAGATGTTTTTACTATAAAATATAAAATAAACTGTATTTTACAATACACGTGTACTGCAGTTTAATAAATAAAATTACTAATAAAAGTAAAAAAAAACAATCAATACTTAAAATATTTAACATCTTTCTTTTTCTCTGTTCTTTATAGTATATCATTAATTTATATCTACATATTGACTATAATTATCAGATTCGAATACGAACTATATTATAGATTACAATATCATGTCTTTGCGACAATGAAATGTCGTATTTTACATCAAGGTTTTTTCGTAGAATATCCTATGAAACTTTCTCGTATTAAGCGTTACAAAAAATTTATATTTATTTAATAGCAACAAACTACATAGTTTACGAAGTTACTATTAATTAATGGGATTAGGTATTACATTATGAATTTATTAGTTTTCATTTCATCTTTGAAAACAAAAAAATACGTTAGAGCATATAAATTTAGATATGCATATCGTTGACTTGTATATTGCTACTTGGAAAAGAGTTCTTAAAATGCAACAGCAAAATGATGTTGTTTACACTTATTTATAGTAGTTTCATAAATAATATAATCGCCAAGTCTAGTTTTCAATTTCCTTCTTTTAAAAAAAGTCGATAGAACGTAATATACAAGTTACAAATCCAAAACGAAAATGCTTATAAAAAGTCTCTGCCTCTTCAATTCTTATAATACTATCACACAATTACAAGTCCCACGGACTTCATACTCCTGCGCGATAGTACGAAGTTCTATTCTTAAATTACATATCAAACAGTGTTGAATTAGGAATATTGAAATCTGGTAAATATATAATTTAAAAAAGAATTGTAGAGCCTTTTTTTAATGCCTCAAATGAAGTTTCTATGTTTATTGACCTTAATTTGTACTGTAAGCTTCAATATTCGTGAGAAGCTGTTACTTTTGTTAAATTGTTTCAGTTACAAAATGGTAGCTTAATTTATGTCTGTATCAATTTTAATGCTATTTGTAAAAAAAAAAAGAAATGTGATGATAAATAATTTAAAGAAAACTGTGCTCAGTATCAAAAAAGATTTTCTTCAAAATTTCGTTTAAAAGTAAACATACATGGTTCTCGAATATTGTCTGAAAGTACATAAAATACAAAACTTAATTTTATCATTATTTTAAGTAGCAATATACATCGTATACGTTAGTATGCTTAGAAGAAAATACTAAGATGTTTTTACTATAAAATATAAAATAAACTGTATTTTACAATACACGTGTACTGCAGTTTAATAAATAAAATTACTAATAAAAGTAAAAAAAAACAATCAATACTTAAAATATTTAACATCTTTCTTTTTCTCTGTTCTTTATAGTATATCATTAATTTATATCTACATATTGACTATAATTATCAGATTCGAATACGAACTATATTATAGATTACAATATCATGTCTTTGCGACAATGAAATGTCGTATTTTACATCAAGGTTTTTTCGTAGAATATCCTATGAAACTTTCTCGTATTAAGCGTTACAAAAAATTTATATTTATTTAATAGCAACAAACTACATAGTTTACGAAGTTACTATTAATTAATGGGATTAGGTATTACATTATGAATTTATTAGTTTTCATTTCATCTTTGAAAACAAAAAAATACGTTAGAGCATATAAATTTAGATATGCATATCGTTGACTTGTATATTGCTACTTGGAAAAGAGTTCTTAAAATGCAACAGCAAAATGATGTTGTTTACACTTATTTATAGTAGTTTCATAAATAATATAATCGCCAAGTCTAGTTTTCAATTTCCTTCTTTTAAAAAAAGTCGATAGAACGTAATATACAAGTTACAAATCCAAAACGAAAATGCTTATAAAAAGTCTCTGCCTCTTCAATTCTTATAATACTATCACACAATTACAAGTCCCACGGACTTCATACTCCTGCGCGATAGTACGAAGTTCTATTCTCTTTCAGAGCGAAAAATAGAAGTATCTCGTAGATTCTGATCCGCAAACAATCATTTAGCGGCAAAAATTCAAAGTTTGCTTGTTATCTTACGCGTACAAGCAAAGAGGTATTTTGTTAGTTTATATTCACGTAACACTCTTTCTAGTATTCTGCCTGCATGGATAATCGTTGATTGTTACTTGGTTTTAAAGGTGTTGTACAACGGCGCGCATCTGGAAATCTCTCGTGGTATCTCTCCAATCTCAGGTACTTCACGGTTACTAAATGGCCTGAAGAAAAGCAATAATAAATATTAAATGTGCGTGTGTATTAACATTTTGAATATTATACCAGAAATCTAGTAAACTCTTACCATCGAACCAACAGCCATGCAAAGCCCTGTAAGCTTTTCCTGCATCCTCTTGTGACATACATTTCATATAAACACAACCTTCTCGACTACCACGGTCTACACGGATGTGGAGTATTTTTACGCCCTCACCACACTTCTCTAGAATAGCATCTTGTACCTTTGTTTCCCAATCATCTTCAAATTCTCTAAACACATACAAACGATAAATATATAGTAAATACATACAGTAAAAACTGTAGAAAAATAGTGAAAATGCTTACACGTCTGCATCAAACATATGCCTTATTTTTAAACACGGTGTTGGCGAACAGGTCAGACTATTAACAGAACCTTCCATCGTTTCAAATGCTTGGCCCTGCCAGACTTTGGCCTTTTTATTTAAAACAAACATTTGTGTGTTTGATTTGTTAAGATTGTTGTTGGGTAGCCAGCGCCACACGTGAAATTCCTCTCCGGCAACCTGTTGTACTTCCCTTCGAATTCTGAAAACGAATACTTTTTGTTTGATACATAGGAAGTACATTATATGTTGGCAAAATATATGGTGACTCGGTTCTTTCTCACCTAGATTCATTTTCGTCTAAAAATTTCACTGCCTTCTCCCATAGTCCTGCCATTCTTTTACGATCTTTAGGAGGGATAAGATTGTCGCGCACATGATTTATGGCAAGGAAACTTTCTTGCGTGCCACCCGGCGTTGCAATAGCCGCATTTTGATGATGCATTTCAACCATATTAATGATCTCGCTAACGAGCTTAAACACTTCTCTCTCGGTACTTTTCTTGTACCTTATATACCAAACAAACAATTTCTGCATCCCTATAGCTGCTAGAAGGCCTGAGAATATATTGCAATGTTATTTATGTGTGACGCTAAATTAGTATGATATAGAATACAACACATACAATGTATTCTCAGTCTAATATCGTATATTATAATACATGCATATTAAAAAAAATTAAACGACACTGCATGCACAAGAACATCGCATAACAAACATTATTTGTAGAACAGAAGAAACGGTTTACTAATATGTCAAAATTACAGCATTAATTAAAGTATTAAACTCTGAACAAAACGCAATGTTTTAATATAAGAACATTATTGCGTTATAGAACCTTGTCATTATACTTTCAACAAATTTCTTCCCATAATAAGTCGGTCAAAAATTTACCAAGTGACACAATTAGAAGGGACGAAAATATGGTGAATAGCTTGTTTTTAATTAGACATTTCATTGGCAATTCCGGGTTTGTGATCACCATTCCAACTTTCCCATTTAAACGTGTAGAAAATAGTTTATCCTGTAAGAAACGGATGCCTTTTTCTTTAATTTGTATATATCATAAAAGCGAATAATACCGATAAGCGCTATCAGAAAACTTTTTTACAATACCAAAGAATCCAGAACATCTCCAGGATTTCCGTTATCGTCACTTATATCTACAAGGGAAATACCCCACTTAGGATTCTTTATAACGAGTAACTGTGCATTTTGTAAATCTTCCTTTACCTCCAGGCTCGTCTGTAAAATTAGTCAATGCATGATAAAACGTTTAACAATTTCAATTCCATCATAATTATTTCAACATACCACTTTACTACTTGTGAACATTTGCATAATTTCGGAATCAGTTAAAAAAGGCGTTTCGCTAGAATTGTCGCATATCATGGACACTGCCTTTTTTGTTAGAATTGGTTGAAGTCGCTTCAATAGTTGCAGTACAGAATCTACGTTTTCTTTCATTACACAGTTAACTCCAGGTGTTTCAAGGTCATCCTCAAGAAAACACAGTGGTATGTTGCTATCTATAAATCAAAATGTACATCTAAAATTGATTACCAAATATGTTATTTAATTCCAATTTCTTTAAAAAACAAAAATTACTGTATACTTCTGTATTCGTTTCATGCATACAGTCGAGGATGTTTTAAATATTTTACGCGAGAAATAATAGAAAACAGGATAAAATTGTCATAATGGGAAAGGAAATAAAATATTAAAATTAATACATCAGTATACTTATTATTTTATTATACATATTAAAAAAAAACGATACATGTCTTAAGCAGAGTATTATGAAATTGATTACATATTGTTCAATGATTTAAACTATCAAATTTGTATAAATCACTATTTAGTGATATGTTAAAAATTCTCAATTCATTAAAACAAATTTTAATATTCTCGACAATAAATCTAACAATCTCAATACAATACTGGTCACTATGATAAACATTTCATGCAACAAATTAATAAATAGTTACGTTAATAAATTTATTTTTATTTTTTTGTACTTTAAAAACTTCAAGTTCATAATACACACTGTACATATTGCAATGCACTTATTATTAATATTAATAAATTTATTTAAAAAGCTTTCCCCACAAATTATGTACTAGTTAAAATATATCATTTGTATTCTATTGTTTAATGTATTTTACTATATATGTATGTAATGTAAACAGTTGTTATAATTCAGAATACCTACCCGTTGAAAGTGATGGAAAAGTTTCTGATTTTCCACCAAGTCCCATGTATATAACGGCAAGTATTCCAAAAAATAAAGCAAGTACCACAACTAAAATCACAGACACCATGTTCTGATTATTGCGTGTATCTTCTCTGTTCGTAGTTGTAGGTTTAAACGTTCTACTCATTGTTTCTCGAGGTCTATCGAGGGGCGATGTTGTGTGTCTTGAACTGAAGAATATTTATGTTATTATAATACATTTCTAGCTTGAAAGTAATTTGTTTCAACTTATGCTTACCTAGCATTTGAAGAGGAATATAATGATCGCAAGGACGAAAAATGACCATTTGAATCTTTTTCTTTTAAGTCTGGTACATTTGATGAGAGACATGAAGATGGACCTACAAAGTAAAAGATAGAATAACAAATGTGTTAATACATATGACACCGATTTTACTAAAATTTTGATAGAACTTGCTTTTTAGATTGGATAATGATGTTGATGGTAAATTTATAGTTGATCGTGAGCTAAGCCTCCTTGTAAATTCTGATAGAAATGGTGTTTCATAATTAGCCAGCAGATCTCTTTGATTTGTATTGTCTTTTGTACATGTATCTTCAGTTGTAGGTTGTATTGGAGAAATGTTTGAATCAAAAAATGGTTCATTATATTTGTTGTCTTTTATCGTATGAATAGATCTTGATTTTGCATCATATGATTTAGGAATTTGGTCTTGATCAGATATATTGTGCTTGTATGACACAGAGTCATGAGATTTTCCAACACTTGATAAATATTTAGACGGTGAGTAAGATTTAATTGGTTCCTCAATGACATCTGAATCGGAGCCAGTTTCTAGCCCATCAGTTACACTTGATGTTTTGTTAGATTTTGAGTATTTTTTATGAATAGTTTTTGTTACTGTCCGTGTTGTAAAGGTTGAAGAACCATCATAATCTGGTGCTATTGGATCTTTAAATTCAGAATCTACTACTTTATCTTTCTGTATATTTTTTGATATGTTTACATCAGAAGAAGCTAAAACTGGCGAAGGTGGAGGCATTGGATTTGCTAATGTTTGTCTTCTGGAACTCACTGTTGTCTTTTTCTTTTTACTGACTGTTGAACTTGAATCGTCATCTGTATCTTCGCTGCTATATCTAATAAATAAACATTAAGTAAAAATTTTATTCTTAATTTTATTAAGTGAAAATTGTATATATTTAATATAATATACAGTACAATCAAAAAAATATAAATACATAGTAAAATATTTTGCATGTATTAACAAATATGGAATATACTTTATATAAACAAAAGCAATAAGAAAATAAAAAATGTTGTATATCCATATTTTGTAATGCAAAAGTTGGACAAAATTAGTGCAGAAAGTTTGAAAATTACAGAAATGCAAGTGTTAAAGTATATAGTAAAGATTAATGTACCTGGCAGCCAATGAATGTCGTGACCCTGTACCGCCTCGGGTTTCAATCAGATTTTTTAACTTTTTTACAAGAATCTTTCTGGTGGTCTGCGTCACTGGACCAACTGGATACCCATATTCCATCAATTTTCGACGCAATTCCGAATCACTAAGCGTATCCACCGACATTTTGTTTACAGAAACAAATACTCTTGTTAAAACAACCCGGTAAAAATGCTGCCTCGTGCACGAAGCTTGCGTTGGTACTCCTACGAAGCGTAGTTAGAATTGCGCTTGACGGTAATCACTCAGTTAAAAATTCACGCTACAACTAATTTGTATACGTACCACCGTTCACGATATCATAAATATTTCGTATAACACTGTGACACTCAAAAAATTATCTTGGTTACAACTAAAAAATGGCGCAATTTTCTAACGGTTGTGATTCCGCGCATACTCGTTCACACCATTTCACGCTACTCAACCCTATTGTCTATAGTCATAGAATAAAGTTGTTTAAGATAGCCCATTCGATTCACAAAGCTCTTACTGTTATTCAGTCTACGATGGACTATACGTGATTTGCGCAACTCAGCTAACTTTAGCAGGTTCCCTACCATTTAATGCTGCCCCACTACCATCTGCTACTCAAATTATTAGTCATATACAGAGTGCTGAAAAATATGTGATAGGAGGAAAAAATAATGTGTCTCATATGATAAACTTTTGCCCACTGAGTATGTGCAGTACGCACAATGAAAATTTGAAATACTCATGCGCGTTGCTCTTGGTTACAGAGTATGATCCAGCCAATTACAGCTGATATGTGTAGAATAAACAAAGAGTCGTTATCCGAGTATTTTTTTGCGTAGAACGAATAATATCTGGTTATTACATTTTTTTGTGTTTAAAACGAACTTGATATTAAATTACGTTAAAAAACTTTTCTCGATGCCATTGAGATTTCGCGAGAAAACCGTAGTACTGAATAAAAATTTATCAATTTTGATTCATTCGCACAGATTTAATTGGTTTTCAAACAACTCGTAGCCAAGGGTAACGCGCATGCGTTATAACGGCTTTCTTGTCATCAAGTGTATATACCCAGTGACCTTTTGCTTAGTATATCTTCCTGTGTCATCAGTTCTGCGAGCTACTTGCATATTTTTGTTCACCGCATATGCGACTATGAAATGAGCAGTAGCTGATAGATTGGCATCACATTGACAAGTAAGGAACCGTCTGAACTTAGTCGAAATGCGCGGAATTATTAACGTTTTTTCATAATACAAAGTACAGTATCAATGCTTTACTTCGTCTATGATAGAATGCATATATAATCAAGAATTACGCATTGCTTTTCATGATTGAAAAAAGAAAAAGTAATGCTATAAATAAAAATGATTATAAATTCTTGGTATTCCTAATATATTCAACTTCAAATTCAATTTTACTGGATACTTGTTTTTCGTTATAAAAACTATTATATCTTTTGAATGTTATATACTTTTAATTGTTTGTTTAATATTTAAACTACACAGAAAATAAAACAAAGAAACTACTGTATTATTATTTGAATTTTTTACAAATAAACTTCAGTATCGTAATAAAAACATTCCATTCCTTATTACATAATAGGGTGGCAAATTTTCAATGCGACCCATGGCTACAACAGCTGGACTTTGATCATAGATATATTTTTCAGCAGCTACTCTCACTTTGTCTGGAGTTACTTTCTACAACATAAAACTGTTATTTTCTAATTCACATGAGAAAGTCAATTTGTTAACTAAAATTTTACCTCATATTCTGCAACTCTGTTTGGAATCGGGTCATAACATCCATACCTAAAGATATGCTTAACTATATCAAAGAAACGATTAGTTGGATTATTCTGTATCATTAACTCTTTCATTTTACATTGATTAACAGCACGAGCTACTTCTTTCTCAGTAATGCATATGCATAATTTCATCCATTCTCTTTGTATCATATCAATCATATTCTACACAAATGTTTCAAAATGGAGTCATTAAACATAACAATTAATATTGTAAATATACCTCTAAATTTAATTTGCTGCAAACAAAATAACATCCCCAAATACTAGTAGACTGTGCCCACTTGTGAAAGAAGGATTTGTATAGGTAACACAAATCTGTGTTGAATGAATAATGTGCAATTAAAGGTGCATTATGATTTGCTCCACCTAAAAGGGAATATTTAATTGTTCAATAATTTTCTACTAAATTCCTGTCCTTTTAGTAAAAAGATTATTAATTTACCGGAGCTTGTATCCCAGCAACCTACAAATTCTTTAGCCACTGTAAGAGTAAAATGATCTTCCCATTCTTCAGAACCTGGTCCTTCAACTCCTATAGCAACATATCCTAGTTCATCATCATCATCTCTTAATCGTAAATCACTACCTGCATTTTATATAATTGTTTGTATGAAAACAAATATTATATGTAGTAATAGTACCAATGCTTCTAATCTTTTATCACCTGAAAATCGATACTCAAGAGAATCAGTACAAGATTGCGTGTTATTGGAACAATCTAGCGATGATCTATGGTCTTCTGTTGCATCAAAATATTTGTAAACAATTCTTTGTAATTCTTCTAAACAAATTGATCCAGTACAAATCATTGTCATTAAATGAGTTTTAAATGTACGCTTTTGAAATTCAACAAGGGTTTCTGAACAGAATTTTCTAGCAATTTAACATTTTAATTATCGAATAAATATATACATTTTGCAAGTAACTATCACGTCTGTGTATATATTTCTTGACTGATTGTACCTACTTTATTACATTGGTTTCAGGATATACGCTATTAGCAAGAGCAGTATCTTGATATGCAATGGTAGGTAAATAATCCATGATAACTTTCTCTTTCTCTGATTCCATTTTAGAAAGTTCATATAGAATTACGCACTTTTCTCGTTCAACATCTTCATCGCCTAGAATATTAAAATAACATATAGCAGTTATATGTCGTTTATAAGAGTATTAAGATAATAGAATTATCTTTTTGCTTACATATAATACTGTTAAAAATTATGTCTGCAAATATGTGAACAAGTTTATCTACTTCACAAGGTGCTACTGTTCCATAAATAATAAACATATCTCGCAAAGCAATAGTAGAAATTTTTCCACCGATCTCTCCTAATAACATTTCTAGTTGTTCTTGATTATGACATTCTGTTCTCTAAATTATGTGAAAATATTTAATATTAATTTTTTAAAATGCATCAAAAGAGCATTCTTTTCAATACTTTTAAGAAACATATTTCCATTTACTTATAGTTTTATCTAACTTTTTTTATATTACCCTTAAAAGTAAGTGTTCTAAGAATATAGCACTGCCCCGTTCTTTGGGCATTTCATGCATTGCACCAGCTGGAACTAAACATCCTAGAGTAGTGGTGAAAGAATCTCTGTACTCACATACAAGCCGCATGCCATTACTTGTGTAACAAGATTCTATTTGTTCTGAATACTTATTTGAAACCTCTTTTTTAGAAGTACCTTTACAGGTCCCGAAATATTTGTAGTAATTATTTGAAATATAATTACATCCCTTGAAAATAAATTGAATGTAATATTATTTTTAATGTACGTAATTTGAAGCACTCAACATGATACAAACTTTTTTAATGCAGTTAAGCATTTTATTGCCTTGTGCATAACACAAATATTTTGAAATAACCATCATTTTTACTTTAGATGACCTGTACAGAATCTAAGATTTTAGATTAAGCTATTCATACTTAACAAATAAAAATTATATATTTATACACATACATACATGTATGTAACAATTGAAGATGCATTAAAGATTCTTTTTTTCTATATGCTGTGTGTTATAAAAAAATAAAATTTTGAAATACTTAATTAATTTTTTGTAGTAAATATTACTTTCTAGAAATAAGAATACAAATTTCATAAGTTTAATGAAATAAATGTTTTATTACAAGTAATGAAATTATTAACAATACGAAAGAAAACAGGATGTTTTACTACTGTATAAAAAATGAGTAAATTAATATTTTATGATTTATCATTCTAATGCTCGTATAAATTAATTTTTACGCAAAAATTGATAACAAAAAATGTACTGGTATAAATGTATATATGTTTATATGTATAATAGTGACCAGTGTAGAAAACATTGTCTACAGTCTATGTTCTTTAAGCAATTAATTTACACATATATATCGCAACTATTAAACTAATAACTTGTTTCAAATATTACAATCACGTGCCCATACCTTTCATTTTTTTTAATAAATAACTTTTATCCACTGTACGTCTTTTTACAGTTCTTATATTGTGTATCATTAACCCCTCTCCAAATGTCGAATTTGAAATGTTCCATACATACTAATATTTTTTGTTTTGATAATAACATTTCACTATTATCAATAAAAAGTAATATATTTATTTTGTTGCTCTAAGAAACATTATCATAAAATTTAATATTATTAAATTGCACACATATACTTATATACAACAAAATGGAACTGCAACACATACGAATAAATACATTGAACACACATGGAGATTGTAAAATTAAGATGTAAATCAAGATAATTTATATATATGTATATATGTATATATACTATCTAATTAAAGTAAAAAATTGTATACTTCTAACTCTTATAGATATATTCAGTTTCTGCGGAAAATAGATCTATTCAACTGTAAAAGTATCTTGGCATTGAAGCTTTCAAAATGACTCTGTACTTTTCAAATGCTTGTGTTTGTTTATGTTTAAATATGTATCAATCAGATATTTAAACCTGTTAATCGTACTAGATCCACATTTTTGTAGTAGTTCGTTTCAACTATGTTTCGTCGAATGAAGAGACAATTTTGACATTCGATCTCCGAGATCTAAAACTTTCAACACCTTGCTTTGTAACAGAAGTACCACTTACATCTAAATATTCGAGGCTTGACGCATTTAACGCCAAATGTACGAGACTTGAATTAGTAACATATGGATAATTTCTGAAAAATAAATAGAAACAGTCATTATTAATCATTACTTCTTTTTATAGATCAAATAATTTTATTTATGAATGCATTAGTACCTAACAACCAATGTTTTTAAGTGTGGATTGTTAAATATTCGTTTATCTTCTTCCACAACTATAACTCCTTCTGCTGAGTTGTTAATTATTTTGCGATCGCACGTGTCGATTCCGAGAGCACAAATTGCTCTGTCCGTTATTAAGCAACGACCAAACGTATAGTTCTCCCAACGAAATCCGTCTTCCACCACGAACTAAGAAAAGGGAGAATAATAATAAGAGAAGAAGCTAATGTTTTCTATTCTCTTATTACTACCACTTACTTGCACAAGATTTTCATCTTCATACACAGGTTGATTCAAACCTTCTGGTTGCAAAGGTCTTGATTCTTGATCTGATGATTCTGTATTCCGTAAACTGGAAGGACATTCAAGATAAAGATGAGTTAAAGTTTTAGTGCAACTAAAACATCCAACTTCACTGTCACCAAGTGCAGTATCTCGCAAATCAAGGATCTGAAATAAGTAATTGTAGTAAAGATACTAATTAATTACATACAAAAATAATAGAATGAGAAAATTATTTACCTCTAAAGTTTTAAATCCGAATCTTGTAGCTAAACTGGTATAAGCAACACATTCACCCAGACGATGACATGAATTTAGCCTTAATTCTTTTAACTTTGGCATTTTACTAATAACTAACAATGAATGTGGTGTAAACCACTGACAATTGCTTAAAATCAAACACTGAAAAGTATTGGATATTAAACAGAAATCAATTTAACATGTATACATAATAGTAAGTAAAATGCTTACTGTTAAATTAGGCATATGGAAATTCATTTTAAAAAAGTATGACTTATTACCACGTAAATATCCCATTTTGCAACCCTCTAACGAAAGTTTTTCGACGGTACGGGGAAAATCGGTTATCTGAATCTGTAAATGCATTAAATTTATTAGTTACTCCAAAAATTTAAGTGCCTTCTTTTAAATCAGTAAATACATTTACCTTATCCCCATTAATATAATATTCTTCGATTGTTAATTCTTTAAGCTGAGTACATAAATTTTTGATAGAATTAAAAAAGTAAGGACTAAGTTCTGCATCTTTTTCGCACTGTAAACTACCACGAATAGCAAGACTCACTGTCATTGGTTGAAAAAATTTAATGTACTCTTTTAAATCGTTTAGTAAAATCGGTGTTACCCGAAAATCTACTCTTCTCCATAAAGTTTTATCTTGTGCAATTTGAGCTAAACGTTGACAAGATCTAAAGATACAAAAATGTAAAATACATATTTTATTAATTGTGTTGATACGAAAATGGATGAACTGTAAATATTTATATAATAACAGTAAACTTCTGTGCTAGTAATTTTTAAAAACATACAAGCTTATTGCCATGAGATCTTGAGGATTTAAATATTTGAAAATATTTAGCAAAACATCATCAGAAAAGTCCAATATGTGGGGATGTGTTATTATATTGTTTTTATCATTCTCTTCAAGTTTCATGCGCTTCATATCTTCTTCACTGCATGAAGCTTCAGGAGACAAAGACCTGCTGCGTTTCATTTTCATTTTCTTTTTGCACCTACAAGAAATAAAATAACTATTTGACCAATATGATAATGTTAAATGTTTTAAATTATTGGAGAATTATTCTATATTTGTTTATTATAAATTTAAAATAGATTTATAAAAACAAAAACTTATATTTTTGCATTGTCATCATTAGATATTTAATCTACAAAGATTATTTAAACTTCATGTAGGCTTTATGTTTATAAAAATTTGTATATACATGTAACAAATTAAATGATTAGGTGTCGTAAACACTTGTTCTTTCAATGGTTTTAGTTCTCCTTGCATTTTTCTTTAGCAATTTTAACAAACTGAGTATGTTTTCCTCTACTGAAACTGACACTGATGTAAAAAGACAAAGAAAGTTTTGTTCACAAAACAGTCTAATTCTGACTGCTGAATAAGCTCTGTCTTTTTGGCTGAAACCCAGAAATAGTGATAAAATTTCTGCCAACCATATGCAGTTAACATTAACAATTCTGCACAATTTTTGACATTTTACAAATACAGGTAAATTTTTATGGGAAACTACACTTATTTTTTTTAACTTAAAATACCAAATAATATAATACTATTAAAACATCATACCCCAATATTTCATTCGCAAAAGATTATTGTTGATAAATTGGACAGTGACAAAAGTATTCAAAAAAGTGTTTATTTTGTATTGAAAACAACATTAAAATATTTACATCATATCAGAGAACTTGATGTCTATTAAAATGTAGAAATTTAATCTGTAATATTATAACAAATTATAACACACGTTGCAAGACTTCATTTCAAATATTTTATGCACTGATACAATGTGCTTTTTCTCTAATAAAATATAAAATTTATTATATTGTTATCAAAAATCAACAAGTAATAACATAACCTACAATTAAATTGTTATTGCTGACCATTAATGCTTACCTGATTGCTACTCGCTATCACACGTATATATTATTATATATGATTATTATATTTGATGAAAGACTGTTTCAATATTTAATCGTTTTAGCATATTTATTGTTTCTGAAAAGAATTAAGATAAAACAACGATTATACACTCTGTTGTGATCACATTAAATTAAATACTTACTATAAACTCGGCTTTAGTTTACTACGATGTCATTGAAAAAAGTCATTCAATCAACATAAGATATCTTCAAAAAGATGCGTAAATAAGTATGAAGAGAAATTTTTTTTAAATTTGTTAAAAATCTTGTGCACGTATACATTGATTTTTGAAAAACATCGAATATGATTTACGAGGTTTGCGAAAATCAACATTCAGATATTTAGAATTTATAACAAATTTGTAAGTTTGATTCAAATTATTTGTATATACATTTTGCTTTTTACGATTAATAATTCAAATTTTTTATATCTTTTTATATGTTTGAACAATGGTGGGCAAATTATGTACCCACTGAAAAGCTCAAGGGCACAGGCATGCGCTGCGGGTCTACCAATGAGGCGGGGAAATTTTGAAACACTAGAGTAGCAAATTTGTGAAGTTTAAAAACTTGAAACTTTAGTCATTTTCAAATTTTTAAATATGAAGGCAATATCACAGCACTGGTTTAGAGGAAGTTTCGGATTTAAAGGAATCGTTCATTATAATTTGCAATGCAGCAGAGTTGAAATAAAGAAAGGCCTATTATGGTTTAATTTATTATAATATATTTAAATATAATATTAGTTGAAAAATATATACAATATAAAGAATTAAAAGTAGCAATATAAATTTTGAAAATAATTATATCTATATAAACAATTATTTAATGTCATTTTGCTGTAAGTTATACATACATATAGCAGGGGGCTACTGAAAAGTAGATGTTTTTATACAATTTCATGAATAAATATTTAACATAAATTTCATTTATGGATTCTATAATTAGGCACGAAGTATTCAATTAAAATAAAAGAATTGCATCTTTGTTTATGTAATGTTTACTTTACAAGATTTCAATATGAAGAAAGGGATTCTTCTGCTTCGCAGAAAGTACCATTTTCTTAGGAACAGCACACTAACAGTTTTTCGTCTTACTCACTGGACCTTGTTATATACAATATTATCACTATAAATCTATGTACCATCAATGTACACCTATTACTAGGTGGTATAGAAACACAGTCTTAAACTCATCATTTTTTGTTTCAATATATGTACAAGATCTTATTGTAAAATAAAATTTGACCAGTAATTAAAATAAATTTTTGTACTGTAGTAAGTTCATTTACACTTTGAAATGTTTATTATGCAAGAAAAAATTGTTACTGTACATACGTACAGTAACTGCTTTGCACCTATACATGTTCCATGTAAATTTATTGCAAAAGTGTATATAAATAAAATTCACGATAAGTACCAATAATTTCAAGTAAATTATACATTTCTATAATTTACTTGTTCAGAAATACAATGTTCAATACGATACACCGGGAACTGTCATTTGAAGAAATAGTTGCCCCCTGTTTTTTATCTTATATTAACAGATAAAAAAATTATAAATTAATTTATAATTAATAATGTATATGATTCAATTACATACAAATGTTACAGAATCGAATATGATTCAATAAATATAAATTCTTTTAATTCTTTCCATAATTTGGTCAGTATATGATAGAAATGTGAGGAATTTTAGCAATCATAATTTCTCATATACTTATTTCCAAATTTCACTGTATGGCACACTCTCATTTGTCAGAAAACGATATTTAAATCGTTATATACATTATTAAGTGTCTGTGCACATATACGCGTGTACATATGCACGGTTAACCAAAACCTTAATTTATAATAGAGCTAATCAGGCTTAAGTATACCTGATTTTACCTTACACTTCTCTACTTTTGTATTATTTACCCAATTTATACATAATATAAATTTCTTTGGTCTTAAGTTTTGTTTTGTTTTGTATTCTAAGTTTACATATAAATCATATAATTCTAGAATACTTTGTAAAGTGGTCATAGATTGTTGCAATCACTGGTTAAAATGAAAACTATCGATTTAATGTATCTAATTATAGAAATATTGCACAACGCAAAATAATGTGTAATTTTTTCGTAATTAATTTAATCGTTTACAAAGAGAAATCTAACTTATAATTATTTATAAACTATGTAACAAATATTTGAATATCTCATAAAATTTATAAAAAAAATTTCGGATATTTTTAGCATTCTAGTCTAACTCTATTAATGTAAGCAACTAAAACAATATAGACGATGCTTTGTATTTAATATCCCGATTACACGTTGATTTGATATTCAGTGATTAAATACATCCAAGGTGTCTCTAGATAAGCACTGCTTTAAATAAGTCGTAAAATAGTAGGATGCAAGAAAAATATAAAGAGTTCGTGTATCACTTTTCATATAAAATTTAGTACTTAGAATATTTTTTTAACGAACATTATACTTCTGATTTCCTTTTACAATATTCTTTTACTCTAGATTTTATGTGAAAAATGAATAAAATCTTTTCATATTCTTCTTGCAGTATCTCCTACATTTAACAATTAATTAAAAATGTACTTATCTACAAACACTCTGTCCAATCAGGTATTGGAACAACCTTATGACTATCTACATACATTTAAATTTTGTTGCACACAATTTTTTAAATGTTAAATAACAGTGTGCATTCATACAAAACATAGCATGCATTTAATACATGTAATACTTCACTGGCAAAATATATGTACAATTTATTCCGTATTAAGCTCATAAGCCACCAAAAATCCTACTTGTTGACCAAATGAATGATGAGTTATTTCATTTTTAACTTGTTGAAAATAATAGTATTTAAATTTGTTATTGTTACTATTATTAAAGTATAAAAAATTTGTTTCTCGAGTAACAGCAAGTTCAGTTATGAAAATATTTTGGCGCGTCATAAGATTTCTCTTGCTTATACAACGACAATCTTATGATTGTTACCATTCGGCAAGAGAACATAATAGACACGCTTCCCCTTATCTCATTGAAACTCTTGCATATTATTATGATACTGATTATTGAATGAACTATTTGATTGTTCATTTCTTTCAATAACACTCTGCATTTCAACCGTTGATCCACTATTAGGTTGTCCATTGGTACTAGTTAAATTTCCAGAATTAGCAACATTATTTCCTACTATGTTCACATTATTCGTAGTATCGGATTGCGACTGTGGTTGTTGTTGCTGCTGTGGCTGCTGATGGCCGTTTGCAGCATTTTGGGCAGAATTACTATTACTCCTATTTTTAGGTCTATGTCGAAGTTTGTGAGTATCGAGACTTTGTTTCACAGAGAATCCTTTGTGACAAACGTCACACTTAAATGGCAAGGGAACTTGACAATTTACATCCTCACTAATAGTCGATGCATGAGCTGCTAAATGCATTGTATAATAATGCTTTACCACAAATGATTTCCCACAAACTTCACAAATATATGGACCAGATACACCATGCGTTTTACGATGCTTGTGAAGATTGTCCTTGCGAGAGAAGCTTTTCCCACACATTTCACACTCGTGCATCTTTTCACCCGTGTGCGATACCGAGTGTCTAACTAAATGTTCTTTGCGACTAAATGCTTTTGTACATGTAGTACACACATAAGGACGTTCACCGGTATGTAACTTTCTATGTTGATAAAGATGTTCTTTTCTCTTAAATGGTTTGCCACAAACATCGCAACTGAAAGAGTTACTATTAGTTTGTAAAACATCTTCTTTGTTATCGGCACCTTCGTTTAAAAGGCTTTGAACAGAGCAACTGTGGTTATTCAGTTGACTCACAGAGGAGAACATTTTACCGCAATCTTTACAAGTGGTACTCCTATGATTTTGCGAAATAACTTGAGGATTTACAGTGATTAAAGACGTCGGTTCAGGTCCTGATTTAATTCTCAGAAATTCTGAAATCTGACCGATCGAATTACGAGATATAGAATCATCTGATTTATTATAATCTTTAAACTCTTTTGCTTCATCTCGAACAGTTTGTGTAACTAATGGAGTATCTTTGAATCCCAAATTTAAAAATACTTCTGGTGCACCTTGTACAGCCGTATAACCCTGCACATTTTGCACTGTACTTTCATCTTTTTGCGCTTCAGGTTGTACTTTTTGGATAATTTGCTGATTTTGTTTAGAGTTAGGTTCTGCCTTCAAGATAATATTATTATTTTGATGTACTACTTGTGCCTGAGGTTCTTGTTTTATAGGAAATTCTTGTTGCGCAGAAATTTGCACTTGTTGCTTTTCAATTTGTTGGAGCTGTCTGTGTTGTTTTTCAAACTCCCTTTGTTGTCTTTGTAATTGTTGAATTTGTTGTGTTATTTGTGGTTGTTGCTGCTGCTGCTGTTGTTGCTGTTGTTGTTGCTGCTGCTGCTGCTGTTGTTGTTGTTGTTGACTAACTTGTGCTTGATTTGTTTGATTAAGTTGTTGAGAAATTTGTCTTTGTGGTTGTATTTGTTGATTCATTGGATTATGATTTTGTATTTGATTTTGCACTTGTTGCTGAATTTGTGAGTTTGGACTTTGTTGATCATTGATTTGATTCTGTGTTTCATTTGATTGTTGAGGCGATAGTTGCTGTGAAGTTTGTTGTTGATAACTATAATGTGTTTCTGCTGTTGCTTCCACAACAGCAGCTGCCATCCCCCCTGGCTGCATCTAAAATATGCAATTAATAAATAATAAATGAATAATAAAAGTATAATACATATCATAACATGATAATGTTAATAATGTACTATATTTATGATTAACATTCATTTTTTAACAAACCTGCATTGCACACTTATATTGTTGGACTCTGGCTTGAACTCCGCTGATAATTTGAATGTTGGAAGCATTTATGTTGCTAACAACAACAGGTTGCTGATGTTGTATTTGTTGTTCATTACTAACCATCTGATTCCCAGGAGATGGTGATATCTTCTCTATGGACTTTAATACTTCATTTTCAGGGGTCACAGGTCTATCCTCTTTTTCTGTACTCTTTACATAGACCTTACCCTCTTTTAGAAAATCTTCAGAGAATCTTAACGAAGTAAAATATGATTCTAGCATACCTTCTGCATTTACAACAGTTTCTCTAAATTCTATATAATTTTCCAATTTCTTTATACATTCATGGCAAACAATTTTTGGCAAAGAATCCTCTTCGAGAACCTTAAAATATTTATTACATTTTAAGTATCATCTTCTAAGCAAATTAGTTATTTAAACAATTACAATTATAAATTGAGACTTATGGTACTAGAAGTATCTACAAAAGATAGCCTGTTTTACAACCAAAATTTTTAAGAACTCTTTTCACATCAACACACAGGTATACCGACCTACCTGAATTGGTAAATATGTTTGAATCTTTGTTTGGAGTTGTCGTCTACGACCTTCCTCACGGAAAATGTTCATTTTATTCCCCTCACTGCTAGTACACAATCTGCACAGTTCGTAATAATTCACTCTTCGATATGCAGACATTGTTTTCCCGCGGAAAACTTAATTGCGCGACCTTAATAAAATCGCGAATAACTTTTCTTTTAAAGAAATATACTCGTAGCAATGATCACTGGTGCGCTATCATCGTTGGCGATGCTATTTTGCATACAAAATAAGATCCCGCTTGATATCGCATTTCTGGGACTACGTGAATTGTGCCCGTGGCCATTTGCAGTTTGTGATTATAGCGACATATGAACGATAACAACAAGCGCGAAAAATTCAAACATACTTGTAAACTGCAGAAAGAAATAAAAATTTGAAAATATAAAAAAAGACTTTAATTATAAAATATTACATATTACAAATTAATATATATGTGATTTTTAGACTTACATCTTTGATATTTAATCGCAAAGCCCCGAAGTTTAAGAATTTTGAAGTTTTAAAATTCTAAGATTTCAAAGTTTCGAAACGCTAAAGTTCAAAAATGTCAAAATCTTAAATTTTCAATATTTCGAACATTCCGAAATTCCAATGTTTCAAAGATCCATGATTCCAAAGTTTTAAAATTCCACTTTCAAAAATGTCAATTTTGGACTCCTTTATGAATAACAATCTCATTTTTGGAACTGATGGTTTAAGAAATAATATGAACAGTTTATTCATATAATTTGTTCCTAATCAAACATGTCATTGGTCAAAAATAATAATTCATAATTTTATAAAGTACTTCTATTATATTCTTTATAACAATAATTCGTGGTTCTGCGAGGCCCCAGACTCGGGTTATCGAATGAGGAAACGTGGAACATTGAACCGGATAGATGAAAATGTCATCACCAACTAGTGGAGTTTCCTGTGGGGATAGTATTGGGAATAAGTTTGGTGGGTGGTGATTGATTATTTTTATTCCGTGGATTTCATGTCAGTGTGTACATCTACTTAATAAAAATGCATGAAAACGAAATATGTTGATGTTAAATTATGAAAAGAAATCTATTGATCGAACGAGAGCGTGGTAGGAAATATCACGGTGCGTTAGTGCAAGGATCCTAACCTTGTTAAAAATGAAGTCGGGCACCATGGACAAACATAGAGGCTCTACAATTCTGAAATCAGAAGAAAATGAGCAAGTCTTCCAATTAATAGGAAATCGGTGCCAGGTAAGGGTTGTTCTCATGCTTCATTTTACACACGAGTACAATAATTGTTATTTTATTGGGCTGATTTTGACCTAAATTTTGTCGATCGACACATATAGATAAACACATATTGTCATTTCTACTGTCGCATTATCTCCGAATAATTTGCTTGTACTGCTATTACAATGAACTATTCATTTCTTTTACCTATTATTTATATAGCATTTCAATCAAATTAAAATTGCGGATTATATTTATCAGCGACATATTTCATATCGTGAGAAGAATTTTACAAATGTTAAAATGATCGATCTAATATTTTTGAACAGCAATATTAACAATATCATCAATTGGTGTATGTAGGAAACTTTAATGAAATTAAAGTAGTATGTTTAAAGTCAGGTATTAGTCATGAAGTGAAACAAGTGACATCAGAGGAATCATAAGTATGCAGAAATCTTCCATTAGGTGGATACATTTGTATTAAGCTTTGTATAATCCTTAAAAATAGTTACATGTAAGGTCCTTGGATGATATTTCACCCATTTTTGTTTTGCACTTCAGTTAATCTCGTTACATTACATTTTCACCTTATTACATAAATAAATAATCCTACTATGCCATATATCATATCATAAGTATTATATATTTCATAATTAGACTATGTGAAATATAAAAGCAGTCAAAGAGAACCATTTATGATTAAAATATATAAAGTACATTTTTTATTATCAGTCTTATTTTTTTTACAGTGTTTAGCAGCTGGAGTTATACAATTATATTTGACAGAACCGCCACTACATAAAGAATGGATAAAGAAAACTACAGGTATTATAACATTGATAAGGGATAATCCTAGACGTAGTTTCTTCCTTCGTTTGTATTGCTTACAAAGAAAAGCAATGTTGTGGGAACATGAAGTTTATAATGCAATGGATTATAAAGCGCCATTGACATACTTTCATACATTTGAAGCAGAAGATTGTATGGCGGCTTTTAATTTTGCAAGCGAAACTGATGCTGTTACTTTAAGGTAATTTGTGCTGAAATGTGAGGTAAAAAATGCTATTAAACTATTCTTTCTGATACCAATATAATATCAAAATATAAGATGTAAAAAAGTAGATTAATTCTGATTTGTTTTTAGAAATATTCTTCTTGGTAAATTGAATGCCAAACGTCAAAAAAGGCAGCAAAGACGATCTAAAATAGAAGGAGAAGTTCAACATGGTGCAACGTTACCCTGGAGGAATCAGAGTAACACATCACCCACTACATTTAGTACAGGATCAACTTCTAATTTATTAAATGGAACTCCGACCACTGTTGATGTCAATAGAAGCGCTTCAAGTAGTTCCATATACAAAACTAAAAAGAAAAAGCGAGATAAAATGAAAAAGAAATTAACAAAAGATGACATAGGTCCTCCATCTAACTTTAGGTTGGAAGTTTATTAAATAATTGTATCATTATTTCAGCAGCATTTGAACAAAATTCTATGTTTATTTTAATACTTTTAGACATGTTATGGGATGGAATTCTAATAATAAAGGACTGGATTTAGAATCGCTTGATTTATATTTAAAAATTTTTCTCGATAAAGTAGGAGTATCGGAACATCAATTCAGGAACCAAGAGACACGCAATTTTATTTACGATTTTATCGAGAAGAATGGAGGCATGAATGCCATTCGAGAAGATATTTCTTCCTCTGTCTCAAAAGCTAATACACAGCAGCAGTCACAACAACAGCAACATCAACAGCAGTCACAACAACAACAACAACAGCCACAACAACAACAACAACCTCCAGTTGCACCTCCAAGACAGGAATATCCTCCTCCAGTTCCTGCAAGAACTATACCTGTTAGTATTCTTTGTACAAGATTATATGAATAACATCTTATCGCGAGAAGGAAATAAGTTTAATGAAACAATTCTTTTGCAGCATCAAACAAGAAGTGCTCCACCATTACCTCCAAGCCGATTTAATGCACCTTCGACACCGCCAAATGCACCGCTTACTGCGCCCCCAGTACATAGAACATTACCAACGCGACCACCTCCAGTTTCTTTAACTTCGGCACCATCACTGCCACCACCTCCACCTCCGGCTCCACCAGCTCCAACTCCACCCTCCAGAAATAATTCTACTGCACCTGTTCCACCTCCACCTCCATTGCCTAACCTAATAAACGCCAATGAAGGAACTGTGAATACAAGTGCTACCAATAATAATAATCATAGTAATAATAATAATAACGAAGAAAATGCTGATCCTAGATCAATGCTCATGCAGTCCATAAGAAGTGGCACCACGCTTAGAGTTAGTATCGACTGAAAAAATTTTCATGTATAAAGCATAAATTGCGGCACTGAATCTGTTAATTACATCGTTTACATTTATATTACAGAAGGTTGATAAATCTGAAACAAAACCAGCAGCTCCTGTTGGGGACTCTAGAAATGCTTTATTGGAACAAATTCGTCAGGGAATTGAATTAAGGCCTGTTTCGAATGAAGTAAAGTCTAAAACACCAGTATCTCAAGGTGGATTAGCTAGTGCTTTGTCAAGAGCTCTTGCAGAGCGATCAAGTGCAATCCATAGCGAAAGTGATGAATCAACTAGTGAAACCAGCGAAGATGACGATGAATGGGATGATTAATTCAGGTAATATAAGACAAAATAATATATTATATAAAAGTCAATCAAATTTTTTTAATGAGCGTTATACTATTTTAGATGAAATATGCAATTCGAAGAATACAATAATATACCACTGTGATAAATCTGCTATTGATAAACATGTAAACATGAATAGCTACTATAAATGTATAATGTAACGATTTTGAATTTGAATTATCCAAAGAAGAATGAAAATCATATAAATGTTCTGAAAAGGGAAAACCACTTAAACATGTTATCAAAAAGTAAAGCACAATTAAATGGATAGGGCAGGTAAGGGCAGAATGAAAGTTATATTTATTGTCTTGGAAGCAAATTCTATTTAGAACTTTCTAAAAAATTTTATTGTATAAAGCAATCATAATATTATACACTGTAATAGATATATAAAAGTTGGTTTTTCGTTCCGTATTATTTATTTATGTAAACCGACATTCGTCAAGTCAAGTACTTACTCAAAGTAGAAAAGCACGTAGTCTCGTAACGCGTTTTAACGAACATTAGAAGTATTAAGCGAACGAATTATAAATATTATTAGTTAGAAATTGCATAATTGTATAATTATATTAACAAACTTTATGTAAGTTCGTTACTTGGTTATTACTTTAAAGTCCTGCATAATGCATCTGTAATAATCACGAAATTTTTGCCCTAATTGGCCCTGCCCAACATGTGCAACTTGATGTACGCGTAATTTTAAGTTAGTAATGACATTAGTATGGAACGTAATTTTATGATAAGAAACGTAAACGCAATATTTCCAAATTTCTTGGAATTGACTCAACAGACCGAATAGAATGATGTAAAAGTATTAGAAATGTTGTTACATTTTCTCGGCATAATACTCTATATTATTGCAATAATTTCGATAATCAGCTATAATTCACGAATGATACATCGAAAAGGTTTTAATTTGTAGGAACTTTACTTAATATTTCAAGAGATGTATACGTAATGTATCTACAGGTACCACTGTACAGGTCGACTTGTATTTTCTGACATTTCAAAGCGGAACATTAATGGAAAAAATAATTCGTTTACTCTTCCATTGATTCCCTTATTGATTTGAGATTTTGTTATCCGAATTACGGCTTTGCATCTAGTCGTTTTTAAAGTTTTTAAAAGATTTAACACATTACTTACTGGGAGTCAAAAAATTGACTTTTCGTTATACAAATAATGACTGTTAGGGTATTTTCCCAGCAGCTTAACCGATCATTGTACATCCGCGTCAGTATAGCGCCGGTGAGTAAAGTGTTAAGAGTAAGGAGTGGATAATTTTGGAAAGTTGCCGTTTCTTAATTTATTACATGAAGTCTAACACTGTCGGCCTTCGTTCTAACAGGAACCAGAAAAAAGTTGCGTTTCATAGGATACAAGGAAACTAACGTTAAGTGAGTTTTCATTACACGATATTCTAATTTAAAATGACGCATCAAACGATTCTTGAATGTCCTATTAAAGTATGTATAAAGTACGATTAACGATGTAGTAAGAATTTTATATTTTCACGTGTGTGATATAGGTATCAAGTTCGCGGAAATGAAGCGCAAACTGAGAAATTGTCTATGGAAATGTATGAAGCACAAGATAGAGTTACGCCACTATGGAGCAATCCTAGTCACACCAGAAAAAAAAGAATATGTTAATTATTAGTTATTGTATTTTATTATATTCTATGCAATATTATCTAACGTAAATATACCGTTCGACGAATGACTACATTCGACTGATTAAAATCACACGTTACAGGATTTGTTCGGCTGCTTCAATCTTTAATCAAGCGTAATCATTATCGAGAGCGTAATCAAGAAAGGAGCTATAACTATATTTGTTAATTAGAATAAAGAGAAGATAGTGACAAATATTTAAATGAAAAAAGAAAGACTTGTTATAGATGAGCTAATAGCATATGAGAATAAGACTCAAGAGGATTACAAATTCTACAATTGATGAATGCATCAGAAGTATTGTTGTATTTAAGAAACAAATAGACCTATAGTGGACGCGTATTTTTGTCCAGTTTCCAGAGGTACATTCGTCGTCGACCGAATGTACGAATATAGACATGTTACAAATCGTATTCGGTTTGTATTGTGACTACCAAATATGAAAAACTATAAAAAAAAGAATTAATTCACTTTAACGCGCAATTTCCTTTTACTGTGTTGTTATTATTTTTTTTACATTACCTACAGTAGATTTACGTATAATTTATAGCGCAAATTTTATGAACTAATACAGAACGAATGTTTCTTCTTCATGATCCGTAAGAGAAAAAATGATGTTTCTATAGAAATGAAAGATTTCATAGAATAAGGAGAAATCCAGATTTGTTATGTGTACATAGCTTTAATGAAAACGTTAATTACACGTTAAAACAATGTTTATACTATTTATTTAATAGTCAGCTTTCTTATATATAAATATATATACCGGAAGTTAGATTAAGTAGGTCAGAAACGTATTGGTTGTACAAAATGGATCTAACTAATATTTTTGCTGTGAATACAAATTAAAGTATATATGCGTGTAAGTTGCGATTAAAAATCGACATGAAATTTGAAATTTCTGAATTGAACTTGTAACGCTAGGTACTTTGTTGTTTTATTTGCGACATCTTTGTAACTATTAGATACACAGAAAACATATCAAAATCTTAGGAGCATTTAAATTTGCATTTAATTAAATACCTCATGAGAGAGAAACTTCAATATTCTGTAAAAGACAGAAGATAACGGAAATGGGTCTAAACGAATACAAGTACATCCTAAGTAACTACATTATTCTAGTAGGAGACTAACTTTCTAAAAAGAAGAGCTCAGAGAAAAATAGCTTCTCTAACAAATTGTAATCCCTAAAATTTATACTATTTCATTTTTCTTTTGTAACTAAAATTGTTAAATCTATTAATGAATTCATTAGTTATTAACTAAATACATCTAAGATTAGAAAAATTAATAGTCTTTATTCTGTAACAAATCAAAAATTATAAATAGAAAACCATATTGAATATTTTTGCGTGTTAAAATGGTACCAAATAATCATTGCAAAGGGTATTTATTTGTATTTCCAACAGACTTATAATTAAATAATATATTTACAAACACAATAGAATATTTAATATAAAATTTAAATAGAACATTCATAATATTATCAGTTATAAAAGTATCAAAAAATTGTCTACATCACATACACATATTCATACATATACATATATACTAATGTTCAGTCAGTTGACCAAAAAGAGAGTTCTAAAATCATTGTAAAAGATCAGAGATCCACTAAATGCTGCTGTTTAATAACAATGGGTTAATGCACAAACATTTCGTGTTTACTTTTAAAAGGGACAGATTCGAAAATAATATAATTATAAGTTATAGTAACATTATCAACATCTGTGTAATTAGAATACTTAAAAAGTGAACATAAAATATTTGTGCATAAGCCACTGATAATTTAGATCATCTACATGTCATCATTTCCTATTTGTCTCAGTGGTTGTGTTGTGGGAGGCACAGTTATACTAAACGCGGCTATAAACACATTAATAATTGTTATAAGAAAAACACCAACGACGACATAATTGTTGATCCTTCGTGCGTTTACTGATTTTGACTGTCCTTTTATGTCGAATCGGCCTTTAAAGATCAAGCTAACGCCCACAGCAACCTAAATTTAAAGAAAAAAAAATGAATTAATTAATGTGATCGTTGTTACAAATAAAACCGTAACAACATAGGATGTATTCTTTATCTTTTAGTACAAAGTCTTACCTGAAGCAAAAGACTGATAATGATCAAACTCAAAATAATGTAGAAAGTCGGGCTTTGTCGTTGATACTCGATTAGATATCTCAATTGATTAGCGTTGGCAGTGATCAGCGCAATATCCATCATGCCTTGCGCTACGGTTTTTTTGGCGGCATAAGTGTTTGACTGTTTGTACGGTTGAGACTTCTTGTCCGTCGTATCCACGGATAATACAGTGTCCTTAATTATCACCTCTTCGACCACATCCATCTTTGGGTCCATTTCTTTTTCCTCCATGGTTTTCTTCTTGTATCGACTGTTTTCTTCGACAGAATACCGATTGTTTCAGACAGTGCACTTTAATAAAAAAGGCACCGTGCAACAACTGTAAATTTTATAACAAATCACGATTTGTTCACTCGTTTAAGCACGATGAAACTTCACTCAAGGAAAAGAAGAAATATCTTGCACGGTATTGATTTCAAATTTTACACTGATGATTTATTATGGAAAATATTAATCCTTGGACACTGAGGTTTACATTGCTGTTTTAAGCCATGGAATGTTAAACTAGAGAAGCTCACAGGTAGAAAATATTAGAAATTATTTATTTTCATTTAAAACAAGTATTAAGAACAAGGCTTCGGGGTTATTAATTTGAAATCTGTAAATCGAAAGTTTCGCGACATCACAAGAGTGTTAAAACTTGTTAAAAGAAATACCGAGAAAGGTTGCAGACACGGGAGTTAATAAAAACTTAAATAAAAGAAGAGTTTACCTGGTAAAGTTACTTCACTATAATTAACGCGGTAAATGCGTTAAAAGAGAATTCAGTTCCGTGGTAGTTTCAGGAAGCGAAACCACAAATGACGCGTGACTGAAGGGAAGTGTCTAAGGACGATGAATGTATACACTGTTGTGCCAATCAAAACATTCTAACTATGTGTTGGCTACTGTATCAGCTTATCATCGTATGCGGTCGTTCGAACAATAAAAAACAATGAAGAACAAGAAGTCAATAACGCCGATGGTAACACTAACTGCGATGATTTTAATTATCGTGTCATGATCGTTTATATTTAAAAACGAACGCTCGAGCCGTTGCAAAAATCAAACGAATAGACGTCGCAATGGTATGCTTTAGTTAAGTCTCTGAACCGCAATAGGGTGATGTTGACTTCTTTTTTTAGAGAACAATAGAACCGGAAGAGATCTGCAACGCTTCTCCTGTGATATTGATTGAGCAATTGAATCTGATAAATTGATAAAACATGAATCATTACATGTATATGTTATCTGATCTACTTCTTTTGAATTTTAATTGAAAATATGATTTCTATAGGATGAGTCATCTCAGACTGGAATGTAAAGTATTTGCGTTGTTTGTTTAGATGGAATTATTGTTTCGATGGGGTTAAAGATTGTAATATAAGGATTTCGTGACTTCGTATGGTTAGATCGTCTCATCTTTCAGTCCCCGTATTGAAGAAGCTATAACTGCACGTGGCAACCACATGCATGTGTCGAGGATACAGAATTTTACATAGAACTACAAAAAAAGATAGTATTCAAGTATGGTGCACAATGACCCATTGTTGACTCATTAATTGGACAACGAACGCGTATGTTTTACGACCAAAGGAAAACATCGTGACACGTGCGTGTATCTCGATCTCTAATAGTACTGTAGACATTTGTAATTAGGTAAGAGCGGATCTAATCTTCCATCAGAAATTATTGGTATAAGTAAAAAAATAGTTCGTGGAATTATTATAACCTGTTAATATCGAAATTTATAAATTCTAAATATTTGTTATCATTCGTTTGACGATATGACGCTTCTATTTTAGTTTGCTATTAGGTGCGTGACAGTTTAATGTGTCGCAATGTTACAGGTGGCCATGTAGTGCGTAGTACTTCAATGCACGGTGATATAACGCGTGGGAATATAAGACGAGACGATACGTGTGGTGATTTAACATTTAATATCGTATAACCAAAAAGAATAAATGGTATCAGTTTTTAATGTACAATATATTTCGTGTATTAGGATGATGGGTGGAACTAGCAGTATGCGTGGAAATTTATGTGGAAAGTGTAGTTCAACTGGTCATATAGATAGAGGTCATATAATGCGACTCCTCTGTAGTTTCAGTAAAGTTAAATGACCCAGTTCATTCCAGATAAAATCCTAATTATGCAGATAATCTTTTCGAACAAGTAACGATAATTGAGATATAGCGAATCGATGATCTGGAACAGAAAAAATGTCGAGTATAAAAAGAATGTTTTTTTTAAGAGAAAGTCGAGCGGACAAGCGGGTCAGTTTGCTATAAACGTTAAAGACAAGGACATCCACGAACGAACGATGACTCTCTAATTATCTCATTATCTGTTGCAAAAAAATTTCATAATTTTTGGCTATCATCATCAATACGGTTTGATTAATTGCACGTGGTAATAAATTGTAAGACTCATTTATAACGTAGTATATTTAAGTTTGGTAATTTGGGAAAGTCTAGAAATTATTTAGAAATTTGGAAATATAAAAATTTCAATCTTTCAGATTCTTAAATTGAGATGAGTGGAGTTGACCATCTCTGGTCTATGGTATGACGAAACACCTCTGGCACACTGAAATTATACCAAAAAAGGATAAGCGTTATTCGAAAGGACGTTATACAACTTAGTCGAGATCCACGCAATAACCAATGAAACGAAGTCGGCAATTATTGACATAAACCAGGAGTCATAATTACTTGTACAATCAAAGCTTAGCGGTTTGCAACAAATTGACGATAATGAAAGTGTATTTCGTGATTATAGCTATGGCCTTGTTACGAGAAAGTAGACATTAGAAACGTGTGAACTAGTAAACGTATCGCCTTTAGGCAAAAGAACGGTAGCGAGTTCTTTGAAGCCATGTCACTTCTTTAAAGTGTTCCCACTGATTGTCATTTGATTGTTCCACTCCTTTGTCATAATTTTAATTCCTTACTGCATGAGCTTTCTGTGTTACTCGATTTTATAAGAGCAGACGAAAATACTGTTTATGGGAAAATTGTATCGAAAACATTTTCAACATTATTCAAATCTTTATTGATTAAAAAATATTAAAATGTGTCATACATAACATGCAGCATAGTCACAAGAAATAAATGAAAGTTCGGTTTGTGACATGTATGACCCGCTATGCGGTAAGGGGTTAATTGTCCCAAGTTTGCACATCGTACGAACAAATTCCCCTTCGTATTCTAAAACCGCACGAGATGATAAACAGAGTCGGCTGACTCATCGCTCTTTGAACATGTGCTGAAAAGTGGTCCGGAAACCGCGCGATACGTAGATGGAAATAATGTTGATGGAAAAAATAGGTTATGCGGCGGTCATTTACTGGGGATACAAATTCTCTCGCAACACTCTATACAAAATCTACAATAACTTCTTTTCCACCGCGTGCGTGGATCTGTATTCGATGGGTAAATGGGCAGTAGTCACAGGATGTTCCCACGGAATAGGAAGAGCGTACGTCGAGGCTCTGGCAAGAATGGGGTTAAACATCATTCTCGTCAGTCCTGATACGGAAAACTTGAAGGCGATTGCTGGTAATATAGAGTCGATGTACAATGTGAAAACGAAAGTGATCAAGCTGGACTTATCCGAAGGCCTGGAAACGTATAACGCTATCGAGAAGGAGATGTTTGGTTTGGAAATAGGGGTGCTGATCAACAACCTGGGTATGTCGTACCCGCATCCGGAATATTTTCTGAATCTTCCTCACAAAGAGAAGATCTACATGAGCATCATACACTGCAACGTGGTAGTTGTCACGAACATGTGTCGCATTTTATTGCCACAAATGGTGGTCAGAGGGAAAGGAGTGATCGTGAACGTTGCCTCGATGGTGGCCGTATTGCCGAGTCCTCTCCTAACCGTATTCGCAGCCACGAAGGCGTACATAGTTAAATTCAGCAAGGACTTACAAATTGAATATGCTAAACATGGTATAATTGTACAGTGTCTTTTACCTGGGACCGTAACGAATCATAAAACAGACTCGCCAAGATCAGGGTGGATGGTACCGACTCCAGAAAAATATGTTCAGAGCGCGATCAAAACTATAGGCAAGGAGAATGTCACGACGGGTTTCTTACAGCACTCTATTTTGGTCAGGATAATTAAAATGATTTATCGAATATCACCCAACTCTATCATTGTTTGGATGATCAACATCATGGAGGGAAATCGGAATATTGCGTTACGTCGGTATATCGGTTGATTGTGTACAAACGTTCAAATATATGAACCTTAATGTAAAAACAAATTTGTACATATATACAAGTCTTGTTTTTGTACGAGAGTAACGATTATAGGAATCTCTATAAATGACCTCTATTTTGAAGACTTAATGCATTACTTTTTAATGAGGGTGCTTATGGTAAAACAGTTTAGTGACTTTAAGTAAATGTAATATCGTATGAAACCACAACTTTGATAAAATCAATCTTATCAGTATTGACTTGTTGACTCAAAATTGCCTTGCATTTTGAAATTTCATATTATATTTGCTATATATAGATCATCGATTTTTATAGTATGTAACATTTTGCATAATATTACTTTTATTCAGCTCATGTATTACAATCTAAAAAATGTATTATTCATAATATACTTGTTACTGTAAATTATTTAGCGCGAAAATAATCTTACAACGTTGTTTATGCAGATGTCAGGTTTGTTTTCATGCGAGGTGCATTTTTACAATACGTCATTCGGTTATATTGTCAGAATGTTATTGAAATACTAGCTCTTTTTGCATAATTAGAATATTATTGTCTAGCTAATTTTTCATTGAAAATGTTCTAATTACTAACTATAGCAAATTGTGTCATGTAGAAAGTACTGTCATCTGACAGAAAGCATATTAGCTAACCTGTCTCGCCAACTAAGTCGGTAATTATGCGATTTTCGTTTCAGTTTAATTTTTTAATATTACAATTTTAAAAATATTGATTTGTGTATTAATATATATACATGTTGCAGGCAGCTATCAGATATAAAACCTGTACGAAACAAACGTCTACATTGCGATTAAATATCTTCTCAAAATTTAAACATTTGTTTTGTTACAAAATGGATGATAATCGACATTATAATAATCCATTTGAAGATTATTCTAATTCTTCTTCGAAATCCTTTGTGAATGTTGCTACGAATGAGGTAATTACATGTTTTATTTACACACTTATGTATATGTACAATTAAAAATATTTACTTTTGTTAGATTAACGAAAATTATAAAGAAACGCTTCGAGTGCATACGAAGAGATTATTAGACCGGCTAAAGGAAAAAAAACATCATTGGACATATAATGATGATTGTTCTGTATATACTGGAACTGCAGGGATCGCATACATGTTTTTTCAATATGGGAAGTGTTTTAATGAACCAGCTTATATCGATGTATGTAATGATACATAGTTAAACAAATTATTTTTATTATCATTGAATTACTAATTAGATATATTCCTTTTCTATAGGAAGCAACAGAGTTATTACGAATATGTGTAAGTAAATTCAGAGGCAAAAGAGAAGTTACATTCTTAACTGGTATTGTGGGGCCAATAGCTCTGAGTGCAGTAATTCTTAATGCACAAGGCAACAGGGATGAAGCTCATAATATGATTTCAAAGTATGTACATTATATTGCTTAATTATAAGGACAAAAGTTATGATACTTATTTCATGAATTTGTTTTTCAGAATCAAGTCACTGTCTACATACGTTTTGGATGAATGTAGTGATTTGCCCGATGAATTACTTTATGGGAGGGCTGGATATTTATTCTCCCTCCTATTTATAAATTCAAATATATCTCCCCATCCTATAGAAGATGAACTTATCAAACAGGTATTATATAATAAAAATTATTATTAAATGAAGGTAACATTGTTTCAATACCAGTTATTAAACAAAGTATTGTATCAGGTTATTGCACTCATAATTAAATCTGGAAATGTATATTCTGCTTCAAGAAAATTTAAATCACCCTTAATGTATGCTTGGCATGATTCAGAGTACATTGGTGGTGCCCATGGTTTGGCTGGAATACTATACATGCTCTTACAGGTACTTTAGATTTGCTCTTGTTTATTTTTGAAATAAGATTTTTAAATATAATTATTTTATAGGCACGGCAGTATTTAACAGAGAGTCAACTGACAAGAGATATAAAACCAGCACTGGATTTTCTTCAAAACTTACGGTATCCTTCTGGAAATTTCCCATCCTCTATTGGAAGTCACACAGATAAACTGGTGCATTGGTGCCATGGTGCACCTGGAATGCCTATGTTATTTTCTTTGGCTTATGAGGTTGTTGTTGTTTGACTTCTATTGTCCCCAACTTTATTGAATTGCTTGTATTTAATTAAATATATACTTGTTCAGATATTTCAAGATAATCAGTACTTAAACACAGCTCTACAATGTGGAGAAGTAGTTTGGGCAAGAGGTCTGCTTAAAAAAGGATATGGAATATGTCACGGAGTAGCTGGAAATGCTTATACATTTTTATCTCTCTTCCAACAGACAAAGGTGACATTTGATTTATGAAAAGTATAACATTGTAATAAATTTTAATCAGGTTTAATAAATGTCAATATGGTTTACCAGGATATAAAACATCTGTACAGAGCTGCTAGGTTTGCAGAGTGGTGTATGGATTATGGAAAAAATCAAGTTAGATCCCCTGATAGACCATTTTCATTATTCGAAGGTATTTCATTATCAATTATATTGAATCTATTAATAATGTTTTTTACTCACTCAAAAATGTTGTAGGTCTTGCTGGAACCATTTACTTTTTGATCGATATGCAACATCCGGCCACGGCAAAATTCCCGGCATATACTGTTTAAACTGGTTAAACTTTAAAGAATATCGTTTTCCATAAATGTCCAGTTAAAATAAAATTAAATCTGTTATCGTACATAACTCCATTTCCCTATTATGTATTTACGAATTACGTATTTATCTTTATGACATGCAAATCGTGTATATTTTATTTATGCACAATAAATTTGAAACACTCCATATCCGTAAGTGGTGTTTGTTTATATAACAAGTGCACTGTAATTTATTCACATGTGTCAATAATCGTGCGTCTCTTGATATTGTCAGATAAGATACTACATTTTGAACTTATTGTATAGACTAACTATAAAGTAACTACGTTACTTTATATTTTGTCAGTAACGTTCCTAACTTAACATCAGAATATGAGTTTCCAGAAGGTCCGTGCCTTCTTTTCTCAAAAAGTCGTGTTACCTCATAACGTGCAACCAGCTGTATTGATAGTAAAAAATGGTAAAATAGAAAAAATTATAGAAAACGTTGACAAGCATGTGATGGAATCTATATTACAAGTAGGTGTTTTTTAAAACATTCTTCAGAAAATCAGGTAATTCATTACAAACATTTTACAGAATTATCCTGATATTGCAATAGAGAATTTTGGTTCACTAGTTCTTATGCCTGGAGTTGTAGATTCGCATGTACATGTGAATGAACCAGGGAGAACGGAATGGGAAGGATTCGTTACGGCTACGAAAGCAGCAGCTGCTGGAGGAGTTACAACAATTGCAGATATGCCCTTGTAATGCAGTACTATATATCTACTTCTTATTGTTATTTACTATTAAAAACTACTGATAGTAATAATCAATTATGCAGGAATTCTATACCACCAACTACTACAGTGAATAATCTCAGAATAAAAGCAGCCAAAGCTCGTGGAAAGATATATGTGGATCTAGCATTCTGGGGTGGAGTGATTCCAGGAAATCAGGTACATAATTTTATTTGTAAAATTATTCAGTCATGGACAGTTATAATTTATCCTGTTTACATGGTCCTGAATATTCCAATTAAAATTTACAGAAAGATATGCAGTCACTGGTGCAAGCTGGTGTAGTGGGATTCAAATGCTTCCTCTGTCCAAGTGGGGTGGATGAGTTTCCCCATGTGAATGAAAAAGACGTTCAAGAAGCCTTAGCTGAATTGAAGTCCACTAAATCCGTACTCGCGGTATTTATATACAGAATCGTGTTGATTTTAATGTACTTATTAACAGCATAGCAGTAAAATTTATTTTAAATTCTTATTTTAGTTTCATGCTGAATATGAATCTGAGTGTACAACCCCAACAGGAGACCCATCGTGCTTCAGGACTTTTGTACAATCTCGTCCTCACGAGATGGAAGTAAGCGCCATTAAAATGATCTGCCAGTGGTGCAAAGCATCTAAGTAAGATGTTCCTCTTCTAGTTATTTACGTATATAGGAATTGCTAGGAGGGTTATTGAAATATATTCGGTGATTTAGTGTGAGATGTCATATTGTACATTTATCGACTGCTGAAGCTTTGGATTTGATAAAAGAGGCAAAACAATGTGGAGCACCATTAACGGCGGAAACGTGCCACCACTATCTGCTATTCTCTTCAGAAGAAGTGCCAAAGGGAGCCACTGAATTCAAATGTTGTCCTCCAATTCGAGATAAAATGAATCAAGTATTAGATTATATTTTCTACAACCCATCCACATAAAAAAGATACCAGAATCAATAATGATATGTATGTAGGATAAATTATGGAGAGGCCTACAAGATAGAGTGCTAGATATGGTCGTTTCGGATCATTCTCCTTGTGTGGAAGAATTGAAAACGAAGGGAAACTTTCTCACCGCTTGGGGCGGCATTTCATCGCTGCAATTTGGTCGGTCATAAAACCTGTTTTCGAAACAATTCTTATTCAATCTTCCTACGAAACTGACTTTTCTTTATTGCTCTATGGATTAGCCATTTAATACCGGGTTTAATATTTAAGTGCCTCATAAATTTCTAAATCCCCATTAAAACAAATCACTTATACATAATGTACATTTTTATTTTTATACAAAATTAAATATTATACATAGTACAATATTATAGTCATCAGATATTGAATTAAATTTATTATATAAATTCATATTATGGCTTTCACTATCTGCGTATAAATCTGCCTCTGTTTACAAGAATTCAGTTGTATTTATTGCATTGAAGGTTTGTCGTTGTTGTGGACCGCTGCGAAGTCAAAAAATGTGAAACTAACACAAATATCGTCGTGGTTGAGTTCTGGGCCTGCTAGATTATGTGGACTAGATAATCGTAAAGGTTCCTTGTCTGTGGGCATGGATGCGGACGTCGTAGTTTGGGACCCGGAGAAAAAGTTCAAGGTGAGTTATTAATTTATAAAAAAAAATTAATCTAACTGTTTTGTTGTTTTCCAGGTTACGAGAGAGCAGATTTTATTTAAGAATAAGGTAACTAGAATTGAATAACTTATTAATATTAATACATATATAAAAATGTAAATAACTTTTTGTTAACCATTTTAGCTAACACCATATGAAAACAAAGTACTTTATGGGAAAGTTGAGGCAACAATACTTGGCGGTGAATACATTTACAGAGATAATCAATTGTGCGAGAAACCTATTGGTAATTTGTTACTGCATGAAGATTTCCTGAACTGATACTTAATACTCAACTGATATATTATTTAAATATTATTCGATAGCTAAGAAAGCGATATCAGTATTGTTCGTTTACAAACCTTAAATGGACAATGGTAAAAGTGAAACGAGTTTATTTCAATCACGGTGCACCGATGATTCCAACATACGTATCCAATACGTATCGGTTAACAGGTCACTAATATTCAAGGCGAGTCGTGTGATGGTATTTGTAAAAGCGTAAAGAGAAATGGTCAAAAGAGTTATATACGTAGTATCAGCGATGTGGAATTCAAAGTATGTGATGCCGTTATGTATTATATTACCACGCATTATATTGCCACGAGTTAGGTTGCAACTTACTGTACAATTAATACTTAAGTTCTCAAATTATTAAGTTCCTACATTTTCTCAATTCTTAAATTTCTTGTAATTCAATTTTTAAAGGTTAAAATTGTTGTGTTCCTAAATTTCTATATCCTCAAATATCATCTTCAGTGATTTGTCACAGTTGAAGAAATGTTATAGATCATACGTAATGTATCTTTCACAAGAAGCCTGTAAAAAAACTGATGTATGAATGAACATGAATTGGCGTTATGACAATGAGCCGTGCAAGTTGCAATCACCGGTGACATTACGGTAATACTGCATCAATAGCAAAGCAATGTTAACTCGGACAGCGAGGCAAACGAAAGCAAAAGTGACTCGTCTCTTCCTGCAACTTTGAAGAAATTGGAAGGTGGATCCTCGGTATAGACAGGAGTGGTGACCATCTTGAGTATAAAAGCCGCTTCTGCCGGCCGCGCGCTTAGTTTCGCTTCGTGGCAACCGATTGTGAAACACGACGCTCTCAACGTGACTCCCATTCATCACGGATCGGTTTTTTGCGATCGCGAGACCTACTTCCTTTTACCAATTAACCCTGGGAACGTTAACGAGTTGCGTAGACGCAGCTGAGAACTACACTTTCTTTCTGTTGATCACCGACCGTCCACCTGCGCTTTTCATCGCTGCACGTTCACGTGGCTTTGACAGTCAATAAATGTAAGTTGATATTTCTGACTCTGATCCTTTACGCTGATACTCTAGAAAATGAAACGGGTGAGAAAGTTCATCCGCGTTGAGAGCTAACTGGCATCGCTTACAGTATTACAGTGAAAGTGTGGAAACGTCCTCCTGAAGAATTAAATTAATCACTGGGTCAAGAAAACATGAGTAGAGATATTAAAGCATAGCTTGTTATAAATTAACATTTTCAATTTTGTATAAAAATATATGCATTGACTCTTAGATATGATATTAAGAAACAAGTTCATTTATGTGTAACGCATTATCTAATGCTATTGTTTTGTTTCATGGGAAATTAAATAATTGTACATTGTTACTTGTAGAAAATAATCTTCTTGTAATTTATATTTTGTTAACTATACTTGAGTATATAATTTTTTATTGTATTAGGCAAAATTTATATTTGACAGTAAAATATAATTGATCACATTTGTACTCATTTGTGTGTTTACAAGAATTCAAGGTTCTTTTATGCAAAATACTTCTTACAATAATAAGAAGTCATTGGCATAACTAATTAGGAATCACAGAGACAGAACTATTTCCTAGATACCATGAGGTATATAGGACATGTATCCAAGTCCTTGAATATTTCCAAAAATTATAATTGATATTAAACAAAATTTTAGTTATGTCAATGCAGACAGTAAAACAAATATTAAAAAGCTGTCAGAAGTATCTAATTGAAAGTACTTAGTAACAATTGAATTTCAGACAAAAATATTTAATGAGTATTTTTTTTTCAGATGGAACTCCGTACATTGTTATTATTGTTATCCGTGATAGCAGTAGCAGTAGCGTTTCCACAAAAAGATGGTCAAATTTTTAGCAACGAGGCTATAAAACAAGCGCAAAATACCTATCTCATTCCAAAAGATGCGACAATACAGAAAGTTCAAGAAGGTATTGAATTGGCTGCATACGAATCAATTCCTGGAGATCAGAAGATTAATCTTTTTGAAATCCTGGGAGAACACGTTCCTCCGGAAGTCGTGAACAATCTTCAGGCCCAGATCGATCAGATAGGACGAAATAATTAGATTCGTCTCCTTTCCCCAATTATCATCGTTTCCTTGTAAAAATTTCTCTAGCCCTAAGTTTTATAACAAGTATTTATAAAATGTGATACATTTTTTAACGATGCTTTTCCACTTTTTTTAAATAAACTGAACAGAAATACATCCTACTCGTATGATCCTATGTTTAAAGAATTGACAAAAAATTGATATATTATAAACTTTCTTCACGACGATTTGTGTAAAAGAACAAAAATCAAAACGTTTAGTTATTCAAATGTTTGCTTGAAAAAACAGTATAATTCGTTTTATTTAAATTTATAAAATCCATGACATAATTTAAATATTTTAAAATTAGCTTTTTGTCGATATTACTGACAAAAGAATTACAACACAAATTCCAAATAACATAATCCGTTATGGAGACTAAAAAATTGTGTCATTCATAAATTGTGAAACATTGAACTAAGTCAGCTGCTGGAATTATGTATGTACGTGGTTAGTGATGTCGTGGAGAAAGCTGCAGAACCACTAACCAGAAGTGCACTTTCACTTCACCTACATTTATGTTATTGGAACTGTTTTTCTTTGGCGTTCATTACGTAGCATTGCCAAAAAAGTTCGAACATAATACCAAAACACTGATAAGCTTCTATCGTCTTTCTTAGTTACCAAATATGTAAACATAAAAAAAAGTAAGTCAAGGGTATAAGAAATTTCGTAAAGTTACACTTTCATTTTATGTACTTTCACTTTCACGTAGAGCTATCGATATTCCTTTTTTCTCTTCTTTGAAAATTAAAACTGGGAACAGATTACGTAAGGTCTCAAGGATGAATGAACATTTAAATCTCACGAACAAAACGAATTGTTATTCAAAGACGTTATATAATTAAAAATGTAATCATACTTTACATGCTAACTCGCGATTCCTTATATGGATACTCCATTAATAAGTGACGATATTTGTACATTGCTGATAAATAACTTAAAAAGTATTTATTTCGTTTACCAAGGTACAAATTTCAAAACTATGCAAACAAAATTATCAAAGGTTTTTGATCCATTTCAGCTTTCTCCGCTTAGTAAATTAACATCTATGTTTTGGGTATCTTATGTACGATAGTTATCACTAGTGCATTGTCTTGCATTGAGAGCGTATTACAATCATATACCTATTTTTGCTCCGTTCTGTGTTTAATAATCGCGACATAACTTTTATCCACTGTCTGTACAATAAATATTGTTCCACGTGTTAATACAGTTCAATTTTATTTAACTTAAGGTATTACAAATGTATTTTACCACTAGCAAACGAACAATGGAATGAAATGGTACGTGTTAGTAACTATATTATATAATTAAAAAATCGACGTTTGATTACTTAGAAGAGAGTTTTATGTACAATCGATAAAAAATGTATTCGTACGTACGTTTACGATACATTACCCGTAAATGTTCATATTATACTATAACTGCTATCACTGCATCTCCAAATATTTTCTTCTTGGAGCACGTTATCGAACTTTTAAATAATATCAACAAAGTGTTTGCTAACAGTTAAAACGAATCAATGCAAGAAAATGTACTATACTTATAACTTAGTCGACGTACCACAAGTAAGAAAGCTTAACGTAGAATCAACATGATGTTCGTGTTTTCAAATGTGCTTTTATCTCTCATGCATAGATGATCCATCTCATTTCCTGCAACGTACGGAAACAATGTAAATTATTTGACTTTACTATCTTCGAGATTACAGATGTGTTGTACTTGTTCTATTTATTTCTACCTAGTTAAGTTAAATAATATTTGTACGTACTTAGATTTTTTGGATGATTTATCGTTTCTCTCTGAACTTTCCTCGCGAGATCGCTTTTTACTGCTAGACGAAGAATGGCTGGATTTATGTTTGTCGTGTCTATCGTGTCTATCATGTTTATCGTGTCTGTCGCTCTTCTTGGGACTAAACAGGAAAAAATTACGTATGTAACACCGCCACATGTATGCACAATTATATTAATCACCTGTGTTTGGACGATTTGGAAGGAGATACTTTCTTGTGTGATCCCCCACTCCGCGATCGATCCGATCTTTAATTATTAAAAAGTAGTCTTAACATAATTTTACAACAAAATTATGTCAATTCCCAGAGCCGCCGATAGGGTTTTTTGGCTCCAAAAGATTTGGAAATACGAAATGTCTCTTTATACGTGGAGCCCGAGGCAAGTGTTTTGTTTGCCTTACGCTAACGGCGGTACTGTTTGCTTTCTATCTAACTTTTAAGCACCCGAATAGTATGAATATATTATTTCTTACCTGTGCTTATCTGACGATGACGACTTTTTATCTTTACTACTGGACGAACTTTTACTTTTTGAACTGGAAGAACTCTTATGTTTTGAATTGTGTCTGCAAATAGAACATATATATAGATTAACAAAAAATAAAAAAAATACAAATATAATATATAACATACCTGTCTTTTGATGGTGAAGGTGAGTGTTTTCGACTTGATTTCTTTTTCTTGCTAGAATTGTAATCATCGTGAAATCGATCGTCCCCTCTTTCTTTGTCTTCTTCGGCTGCTTCTCGTTCTAAATCTGACCAGTCTTTACCGGATTCTTCTGAACTACCCAATTCTTCTATTTCAACGAAAACAAGTGAAATGAAATGCATTAAAGTACTGAGTAAAACATAATTTTATAATGACAGTGAAGATTTGAAAAATCACCTTCGCTGTCTGAGTCTTCCGAGGCTTCAGAGTATTCAGAGTCATCGTCTGATTCTTCTTCGCTATCCAAATCAGATGGCTCATAAGCATCATCTTCTTCTTCTTCCTCATCTTCCACATCTTCATTTTCTGCATCGCTTTCTGGATCCAAGAATGTCCAACCGCCATTGTCAAAGAAACCTTCAGGATCATCCGTGATTGTTTTCATAATTTTTGTCCAATTCAAAGATTGTACGCCCTCCGTGTATCTAATGTCGCAAGAACTGAACAGAAATTGTATATTTAGTTTCATTCCACGAGAGTTCAGTTGCTGAAGCACAAGAAACATAATGAAACTTACTTCAGCCATTCTTTCACATGATCCAGCATGTTCATGGGAATAGCATTTAACATCGCGACTTTTCTATGATAATCTTTGAAAACAAATATCATATCAAAATTCTTCAGATGAAATTGTACTCTCTCGAAATGGACAAGCTCAACGTCCTCTAAAGTGATAACAAATGGAGGCTAAAACATAAATACAATTCGGTTATCTACGTTGTTAAATTTCAATTATTTTAATTAAACAAGGCTTACCCATTCTGTGAGATTAACCAAGCAACCACTAGTAGGTTGCAAAAGAACGGTGCTTCTGAATGGAGCACCAGGGAATCCCAATTCTCTGAACGGTGTGTCGAATTCAATTTCTTGCTTTGTCATACTTTCAACCTAAATAATATTGTCTCTTTTAATTAACTATTGAATCACCCGAATTAAAATATAAGTAATTAAATGTAACCTTCTCGCAGAAACTCTTAAACGCAGTTTTTAACTTGTGCCTAAGTTCTCGTTCTGACTGTTCAGCTGCGAGATCATCACGGTCGTGCATGTGCTGATGTTTTCCTAAATCTGTTGTAATTTCACCGACCTCTGTATAAAATTGTACATCCACATGCTTCTTTTTACCGAACATAATTGCATGCTACGAAAGATTACAAAATAATACCATTTTTAGTAACTGGAGTAATATTTATTTTAATCAGAAAAAATGCAAAGATAAGTACTTTTAAATGAAAATGAAGTAATATGATCATTTCGCCATCACATGGTTGGAAAAAGGCATTTTTAATATTATTGTAAAGTATATCAACTTTATCTCCTCTAACGGAGGTATAACGAAAACCATTCACATGTGCCTCTAAGCCTCCAGTCATTCTTTTTGATACAATATTTGGTCGAATATACAAGTCCTTCAGTTTCGGGTTACCCTTATTTTGTGACAGTATTAAAGTATCTTGTTTCACAAGATCTTCCTTTTCTCTTTCTTCTGCTTCTCTGTTCTTAAATTTCTTTTGGACCTCTTTTATCAGTCTAAAGGCTGTATTTAAGTTCGATGATGGTGCTGAAATTTCACCGGGTTCTTTCGTGTTTGTACTTCGATATGTTCTATAAACAATCAAAATTAATTTTACATATGTTGGTAAAAATAAAATACAAAATAAAAAACATATAATATACTAACACTTCTTTAACAAATGTGGCATCAGGTTGAGGATAAGATCCTCCTTCGTTACGACCCATTGTCGCACCAGGATGGAAAAAATTTATTCTGAGATACGTGTAGTCTCCTTCTACAGACTGAGAAATGTTCTTGATCGTGGATATGTGGAATGGTACAGGTATACCAAAGATTGGTAGAATTACAGTTTCATATTTTTTATCTGAAAATATATACAAATTAAATGAAGTCCCTGATTACTCATTAATAATTCGTTCTATAAAGAAATTTAAATTAAACTTACCCACATATAATTTAAGCTCTTTTACTTCCGGTTCTCGCGGCATGTGACTCAGACTTTTATATGATATTGTCGATTTTCGTATCTTTTCTTGTTCTTTCCCACCAGATTGCTGAGCTAATCGAGCTTTTGCCACTTCGTTTAACTGCTGCGCAAGCTCTTTCTGATGCTGCTTCCTTTTTTCCTCTGAACTATGTTCTGTTCGCAATTTGGATTCAATTACCGCTGTTCTTTTACCACGGCCCAGAATTTCCGGTTTAGGTTCATTTTCTTTGCCACTGCCTTCTTCTTCCTCCTCTTCTTCGTCTTTAACAAATATTCCGACATTTTTCAATTTCTTCTTTGATGGCGTCAAGTTTACAGCAGGTTGTCCCTCATTAGCCATAACAGTATCACCAATGAAAAGAGCATAGACCTTTCCCTCTTTGTCAGTAGCATCTGGGTTTGTAAGATTTGCTAATCCAACATTAACATTGAACACCATGCCTTTCTTTATTATTGCATGAGTTTTTGGACCGATGAGTAACGAGCTTTCCCTAAATTCGATACCCATCGCAAATCCAAAATTTTTGGTTAAATGATCTATCATTTCTGGTTTCTCGTTCTTTACGTATTTTACACCTGTTTCGTATACTTCGCTAATTTTCACTCCAGCCACCAGTTTTTTCAGAATCTCTTCTTCCAAAAGCAAAAGGAAGTTATAATTGTCCTCTATTGTCTTAGTAGGATTTACTAATAATGTTCGAACTATGTTAGAACAATAAGATTTGTAACGTGCTCCAAGGGAACATACAATGACACCAAAATGCAAAGTATTTTTATCGCTGACAACACTGAACTTTAGAGAATAATTTCCGCCGCTCTGTATTATTGCTGGATAACACATATCTACTTGGGTAACATCAACACCAGTTACATATTTCTTATTTGTTATAGCCGCATCTACACCCTCAGCAAGTTTTGAATGCTTGACTTTCTTGTCAGAGTCAATAATTTCCATGATTTGATCTTTAAGGTACTTCGTGAAAACATCTACAGATACTATACAAGCCTTTTTTATAGTAAGAATTTCGGCATCCTCTTTTGGACACATTACATATGCAGCTGCAGCACTCACATCAACCTGGTACATCAATGTACATTATAAATGTAAATCTTAATTAGTAATGTTATATTATAAGAAATGACATCATACCGTATCAAAAGATTCCGATTTCAAAGCAGCTCTCCATGCATCCATAAAGGCACCTGGATAATTTTCTTTTGAAAAAACACCCAATGTTTTACCATTTTTACTTTCTTTTATAATTTCAATAAGTTTAGCAAAATTAGCCTTATCTTCATCAGTCTGCAAAGGAAATTATGGTACATTAGATAAGGTTCCAATTTTAATCATCTAGATAGGATACAAATTATACGAAACAGTTACCCTATCTCTGACAAGCAGTTTTACAGGAGGTACTCCAGTCTCTTCCGTTTTCTGATTTTCCAGTTTTCTTAAAAATTCAATTTTTTTCTTACTCGCTAAAAAGCAAATAGACTCTTCTGCTAAGATCATTATGGTATCAGTAAGTTCATAACTAAGTAGCCAGGTCTGAAACAGATAACCAGTTAATATTAATTTCATTCCAAGATATGGGAATCAGATAATTTATCTAAGCGCAATGTTAAAAGTATTAAAATTTAATTTTTAACTACATAAAAATTGAATTATGTAGCCGTTCTCATACATAGAAAAATGAACTGTAAAATAGGGAGTTTGAATGCAACACAAAGAAGGATCATTTACTTGCAGTGCTGTTGATTTACTATAAACGATATCTTCATCTGTGCCCACAGCAGAAACGAGACAATCCATTTTACTAAAACTGTCATCTGTACCAACTTCTCCATCCTGTTTAATAGAAAAACATTAATTTTTTTTAAACGAATGAAAGTAAAAGTAATTGAAGAAGAAATAAATAATGATAAATTTTTCACCTTCCACGCCGTATAAAGCCGCTTCATACGTCGAAAGAACGTTTCTTTGTCAACGGATACGTTTGCCATAGCTGCTTGTTTTCAATTTGTTCAGTGTAGCACAACACGCGGCTATGGAAATGGTGGAATCAACTCAACATAAAATTATAATAAATCTTTTTGGCATAAACGATAACGAACTAAACATTCAGACGGTACAAAATCAGATCACATCACATCACATTTTCCTTAGTACTCCTTACAAAAGTAATACTATCAAAATTCGTCGCTTGATGCGGAGATGGCGGGATTTATAACCAAACCGCAACCGTGATCCACAAACTATAGGCCACGCGGCGGGAATAGTTTTGTTGCAGCGTAGCTATTCACTTTCAAAGAGAGTACAAACAGCGCTCCCAGTGAATGAAATCGAAAATAATTGTGCGTAACGGTAGATTTTTCCAGGGAAAGTGGCGATGATGAAAAAGTAAACAAACCGGTTGATAAGCTTTCAAACTTTTGAAATTTCATGATTGAAAATATGAAAATTTTGAAGTTTGAGAATTTGAGGATTTAGGAATTTAGGGATTCGGTTCTCTTGGTGTTGGGAAATTTAGAAGCTTGAAAATTTGAAAGTTTAAAAATTTGGAAATGTGGAAATTTTTTAATTTTTCAAATTCCTAAACTGTAAAATTTCTAAATTTTCAAGTTATTGAATTCTCAAATAATAATGAACGCACATGGGAAATAAAACCGATTACGATATCATAACTTCACTTATTCCATGGTTAATAATACGCGCATACACGCACACAATACAATTCACATACACAGTGAAATTTTCTATCAGGGCGTCAAACAATTTTATTACAAATAAAACGTTAATCTTTATAGTATGATACAGTGAAAAACAAATATTTCGCAATGATATTTTGACATTTAATCTACAAGTACATGTGTATTTACAATGATTGTTATAAAGTTGCAAAATAACTTCGAACATAATTCATTGACATCATTGCTTCGTGCCGATTTATTAGCGTTACCTTATATGTTGCTGAGCGAGCGAAAGAAGTCGATTTTATAGAATTAAATGTGTTTTATCATTTACTACGACAAAGTGATACAGTGTCCAATGCTAACCAGTTTAATTACCATTGCCGTTTTAAAAGTTAACGCACCGATATGTGCTTGTAGAAAATAATGAAAAAAGCTTTAAAAAAGAAAAAATTCTCTAAGAAATCTCGGTATAACTGTGAAGAATTACTTTTTTCCTAATGTTTTAATAAATATTATTTACGAAAGTTAGAAGTTCTCTGTTTGTCAAGTTATCAGGAACACCTGTGAAAATCGGAGTGGAAGCAGTGCAACGTATCATGAATGTAAGTCTAGATTTTACGATGATTTTTTAAAATACTTGTGCTGCATAATTATTTAATTAAACGTTCGAAATATAACTGGTTAATATTGGAAGTATTTATGTTAACAATTTAAGATTTTTGTGTGAAGGATCTTCGGATATTTTTTGTGTTAAATAATTACAATTCCGTTTGTAACAATAACATAAAACAAACATTTTAACTTTCAATTCTGTAAAAATATATTTTCTGTTGAATAAAGTGAATTAGATTATCTGTAAGTGTTTTAATATATTTACATCATAAATAATAATAAATTAAATAAATGTATTGATAGATTAATTGATTTTACTAAAAAAAAGGTCTCTTTTATTTTTATCTTTATGCCTGAAGAGAGCGATATGCAAAGTATTTAAATATATTGGCAGTTAATGAGTTCCTTTTGCTTCTTTTATGTAAACTATTTTCAGAATACCCTGTTCTATATTATTCTGGCACATAGTAGACATAAACTTGCTTATATAACTGACGTTAGATTACTGACCTGATGAATTTATTTTCAATGACATCTCCTGAATGTAATTACACTTTCAATAGTGATTTACAATTGATCAGACTATGTAACTGTATATAGAACACTGATTTGTCCAATTATTTATCAAGATAGACAGCATGGTTCTTGACATAACCTTGCAATAAGCAGATTAGTGTTATTTAAATTTCATTTTCTACAAAACATGTTTATCTTTAAAAAGTGGATCAATTTTTACAAAGAAAAAAGTCCATTGACTAAAATTTATGTATCGTAACTAGTATTTAAATTGTAGCTAAAATTAAAGTCCTTTTTATCATTTAAAGTGGTATAAATAACTTTTTGATTGTTCTTTTGTAAAATTGTTTATTCAGGTGGTCAGCATAGCGGAGAGGCGGTGTCGGGAAGGTGGTTGACACGCCTTCAAATCTTTGAGATGATCGAAAGTGTGTCACGCAGAGCGTTGAGTGGCTCCAGTGGGAGCTACCACGTTCGTGGTGCTGAATTAGCAAGAAATCGTAGATTAAAATCTTTATCTGCAACTGTTGTTTTCCTTGATGATACTCAACACACATTTCAGTTAGATGTAAGTTTATAAAATAAACTGATACAGGAATGAAAGAATTATGTATATTATTTAGATACTTTTTTAAATATTTTAGAAAAGAGCAAAAGGTCAAGCATTATTGGATTTGGTATTTCAACACTTGGAACTTGTTGAGAAAGATTATTTTGGTTTACAATATGCAGAAAATGGAGCTACAACATGTACATATTCACCTGACATAATGGTAAATTCACATGATAGATCTGTTAATATTGTTTTATTAAAATTTTATATTCAGTATTTAAATAATATTGTAATTATAATGTTTCAGAGGTGGCTAGATCCGAGTAAGCCAGTTAAAAAGCAGATAAGAAGTAAGGGTAAAGATCCTATTTAGATTGCTTACTTATATATACAAAGACAAATCTCAATGGATAATGTAAGAAAATTTATCATTTCAGGTGGGCAGTTTTATTTTAGAGTAAAGTTTTATGTATCTGATCCCAGTAAATTACAAGAAGAATATACTAGATATCAATTTTACTTACAAATACGGAGAGATATTCTTCAAGGAAAGCTTCAGTTACCACCAAGTACAGCGTGTCTTATTGCTAGTTATACTGTTCAATGTGAGTACTATACTGCATTAATATGTATTTTGTCATTAAATTTGTTGATAGTACAATTCACAGCTTGTTTTGACATGATTACAGCTGAGTTGGGTGATTATCATCCGGAAGAACATGGTCCAGGATATCTTTCTAGATTACAGTTAATACCAGGACAGACTGAGGAAATGGAAAAAAAGATAGCTGAATTACATAAACTTCATAAGTAAGTTGAATTTATATCAATCATTTACTTTTGATAAGAAATGATAAATAACAGTCATATATGTTTTAGGGGTCAATTACCAGCTGATGCAGAATTCAATTTTTTAGATCATGCAAAAAGGTTAGACATGTATGGGGTCGAATTACATAAAGCTAGGGTATGTATTTACTTCATAAAATTTGTTGGTATGTATTTAATAGTTTCAATTTATTTTATTTTATTTTATTTTTTTATCTAGGATTCAACAAATAAAGAAATACAATTGGGTGTAACATCTATAGGGTTAGTAGTATTTCAAAATGGAATAAAAATCAATGTATTTTCATGGTCAAAAATAGTTAAAATCTCTTTCAAACGGAAACAGTTTTTTATTCAACTCAGAAGAGAACAGGTACTTTCAATGTTCAAAGCGTATTTTGAAAGAGGATATTTTACAGTTTAAAATCATTGATAATGTATCCAACATTTTATTTTAGTCAGAAAATTATGACACGTTACTTGGTTTTAACATGCAAACATATCGAAGTTCAAAGAACTTGTGGAAAGCATGTGTGGAGCATCACACATTTTTTAGGCTTCACAGTCCTAAAACGAGGCCAAGACGTTTTCCACTTACTTTAAGTAGTAGATTTACTTATTCAGGGCGTACTGAATTTCAAACAGTTGAAGATGGAAAGCATAGAGCAAGAGTGGAAAGAACATTTATTAGGTAATTAAATTCATACATCATTTTGTTCGTTATTTATAATATACTGCGAACATAATGATTTAATGTATTTAGATCTCCCAGCAAAAGATTAGTACATGGAGTGACATCAGCTTCGATTATCGAAGAGAAAGGAAAACTATCTGTTCCTCCTGGGAGACCTCCTAGGCCATATGACAACAAAGTTCAATCTCTTGGTGCTCGTGAACCTCGTCAAGCGTGGGGCGAAGGGAATCCCAGTGACGAGTTAGTTAAAATTTCATTCATTTAATAATTTAGTCTTTCGTGCTTAAAATAAACGTTCTTATTTTATAGTGAGGGTGGCTTTCTGTCTCTTCGAGAAGAAATAACAGGCTCGCATACACAAGGCAACGCGTTTTCGCCCGTATTAGGTTCTAGAGTATTAAGTTATGCGGATGATGATACAACGGCTGAAAGAAATATTTATGATCTACCTGACTACAGTGAGCCTACAAGTTCACCTGCTCCTCAGGTATTTATTTTATAATCTTAATTTTTTAATTTAATACTCTTTTCATAATGTATAACATGGAATATGCTGATTTACAGATAGTGGAAGATGGATTAGTAACAATATCATTGACGCCAGATGAACAGGGTCGATTTGGATTTAATGTAAAAGGTGGTTTAGATCTTGATATGCCTATTTTAGTATCGAGAGTAGCCCCAAATACGCCTGCTGACCGTTGTTATCCAAAATTAAACGAAGGAGATCAGGTCTGTATTACTGTATAATTTAAGTTGCAAATTTTCAAAATATTATTTATAAATATCTGGGGTAAACAGGTAGTATACATCAATGGAATTGATGTGAGTGGATTGTTACATGAACACGTCGTAAACCTAATTCGTCAGTCTCGTGATTCGGGATCAGGTGAACTGACGTTAACTGTTAGGCCAAATGCTTTGTACAATGCTCTAGCCGGTACTGATGAAACATCCGAAGAAGAACCTCCATATAGGTATTACATTTAGTTACATATACTTCAAACATTAATAGAATTGTAAAAACAATAACATATTTGTTTAAACAAGATACGTTCCGGATGCACCTCACGCAGCTATTGGATCAGACGCATTAGCACAATCAATGTTACTTCTTGCTGATGGTTTGGCAAGTGGTGCTCTTATTGCACAATATGAGCAGTTGTACAGAAAAAATCCTGAACTTACCTCTCTCGAATCTAAGAAGCCTGAAAACCAGAGTAAAAATCGTTATCGAGATATCTCACCATGTAAGAATAACAAAAATTATTGTAATATTTGTACATATACAGATGTTGAAAATTAAAAATATATTTGTAGACGATGTTACTCGAGTGATACTTATGGGTTCTGCGAGTGGAGATTACATCAATGCTAATTATGTGAACATGGAGATACCAGGATCGGGTATTATCAACAGATACATTGCCACTCAAGGACCTCTGTCTTCAACTGTCGCTGACTTTTGGCAGATGGTTTTAGAAGCAGGCAGCACTCTTGTTGTAATGCTTACGACTCTAGTAGACCGTGGCAGAGCAAAATGCCATCAGTATTGGCCTGCTCTAAACGAGACTCTCACGTTGCGAAACCTCACGCTAACATCCACTGCCGAGAATGTTGAAGACACTTTTATATTTCGAGAATTCATACTTCGTGATATTAATGTAAATCAAATTAAAATTGCTGACATGTTTTGTCACTGTAAGATGAATCTTTAATTATTGATTGTTTTTTTAGACTGGAGAGGAAAGAGACATAACGCATATGCAGTACTGCAGTTGGCCAGATCACGGTGTTCCTAGTGATTGGCGACAGTTTACGACGTTTACTGAAAGAGTACGGGCAGCTCGAACAGGAATAGTGGAACCTGCTGTTGTTCATTGTTCTGCTGGGATAGGCAGGACGGGTGTTTTAGTCTTAATGGAAACAGCACTGTGTCTTATTGAAGCCAATCAACCAGTGTATCCGCTGGATATTGTGCGATCTATGAGAGATCAAAGAGCAATGATGATACAAAATGCTGTAAGTTAAATTACAGAGAAAACTATCTAGATTGCTGATATCTAATAAAATGTTTGTTTTCAGAGTCAGTATAGATTCGTGTGTGAAGCAGTTCACAAAGCTTACAGCGAAGGAATAGCTAAACCACTTCCAGAATTTAGCAGGTGAAAATAACGTAAAGTTGAGAAGCATTGTATTTACCATTTTTCTTACATTTTGCTAAAAGCATCACATCATTAGGAGATAATTTTATACTCTGACAATAATATACATATATATTATTGACTAATAGAAAAGATATATACTATTTAAAATAGATATTTTCCGTCTAAAAACTTCATTAACAAAAAGATCTAACTTTTCGCGCCTTTGAGTTCGTTTGTTTTTATTTATACATGAACATTTGTACATAACGAAATTTCGATAAAGTAAGTTTACTAATTTATATTTAAGCTAAAAATATAAGCGTCGAAGTATTATTTAAAGTAATTACGTACTATGACTTTGTTCTTATTATTATTATCATCGTTAATTTTCACTTTCGTATATTAGATAAAAAGCAGAGGTACGGAAAGTTAAATTTCAAACGATATTAATAACGTCCTTTTAGATTGTGAAAATCAATTCCTTCCATTAAATACAATTGTCATTTAATCTCATTTTAAGAGATTTAATTTTTGTATTACTACTCGTAAGAGTGATCGTGATACAAATGAAATCATTTTGAGAACTAAACGAGGCAAATTAGACATTATAAATTTTGATTGATGCGTTAGCAAGACATTTAGAAATATGAAAGGTGCCAATTTAAAACTAATGCCTTGGAGAAAACCAAAATAAAACGTTAAAAATATAAATTAGCACAAAACTAAAGAAAAAGGCCGAATCTATAGTCAATCTATTAAAGTAAGCTAAAGAATGTGATTAAATAAAACAATTTTCAGAACATTAAATATTTTGAAAAGTTTTTAAGATAATTACTCGTAAACTCTGCTCTCTTTCAAACCGATAACAAGTAATGCATCTAACAATTCGTCCCTAGTTTAACTTGTAATTATAAATACTATTCTACTTGTAGTAGTTGTAATTTCTAATATCGTTTATACAATGTACAGTTTAGCCTCTATTCAAAACAATAGCGTATACTACCGAAATATCAAAATTTATTAGAAGAAAGCAAGTTTAATAAATATATGGTAAAGAAAACTGTTTAAGGTGATATTATAATGCAGTGGTATTTTAATATTACTTTAAGTTAAAATTATTTTAAAACAAAATCAATATAAGTTAGTAATTTCAATGAATTTAACATTATTATTTTAGTAATTTATTTACAGTATAATCAAAATAAAGGAAAGCTACTTTCATTGCAATAACTTGATTGCAAAGGGTCATTGTATTATTGTGTAATACTTTGCGTGATAACTAAAAATTGAGTAAATTTCTAACGCATATCATACCAGTAAGCAGGATAGTAAAAATGCAACCTGATTTTAATATTCTCTACTTTACTAATAATATTTATCTACGTTATTGACAATAGTGCCTTCTATATGTACATCTAAATAACTACAATGCTAGAATACTTATTCATAACAACTGTTATACTATACAGTTTCACTCTATACAGTTTTCTTTACAGTTTTGTTCTCGACTAATACTATTGCGTTTATTCATTGTGTATATTTTTTTGTATAATTGTCCATAATTTTTTTTATAATTTATCTGGCAGCAGTTATGTAAATACATCTTCATATGTTTTACTCAACTTCTGTTTCATGATCCATGATTTCATATAGCTCGAGTAATTATTTATTTATAGTTATTATTAGGTTAACAAAAAAATACTACAATTATAAATAATTATTAGTTTTTAATTAACTATAAGCTACTATTGACAGATGTTGACAAATTTCGTAACTGATGGATGTAAAATTTATCATAATTTTAACTTATATTCAAGATTATTAAAAATGCAAAATATGATATTTGAATATCACAAACATCAATCACAGAACACTATTGTTATTAAGTTATGATATCTTTAGGATTTAAATTACTATATATTTCCTATAAAAATGGAAATATGTTAGGCAAAATTGTAGTAAAGAAAAAACTTTGAAAAATTTTGAGAGAAAAGGTCAGAATTAAAATCATTAATGAAATCAAATAATATTGTAGAATTTAGTTTCTATTAAGTAGACACAAAATATGGTAATGCAGTAATATTTACGGTTGTAACAAATTCGATGCGTTTTCTTATACTATTTCACATGCAGAATATTTAAAACACATTATTTTATAAAAATAATTAGTGTATTCACCTTGTATTTTTAACGAACAATTTACAAGGATATAATTTACTCAATATAATTGATTCCAAAAGAACATTCTTATCTTTCCGTACTATGTACAAGTACATACATACAAATAGTACAAAAAAAATTGATTAGCCGATAAAGATATTTAGAAATTATACTCGTCGAAATTGAGCTGCATACGTGCCAAACATAATATCGAACAAATATTGAACATAAATAAAGTGCCACAAATCTTCATAATCCAGTCAATAGTTGTCTAGTCTAATTTGTACTTTGAAAATATAATAAAAACATTTTATAATAATCTACTTTATCATTTTCCAATCTTGTGTATTTTGTGTACTTTTCTTTTCAAAGTTTATGGCTTATGATATTAACATACACTCTGGTAATTATAGTTTTGTAAAGGATTTAGTATTAACATTTATTCATAATTTTGTAACAGTAAGTATAAATATCTTATATTTTTTTATGTGTATCACAATTGATGCATATAAATTAGTGACTACGCAAAGTGCTATTATATACAAAATACAGTATTGCTTCGAAATAAGCAACATACATATTCTACACCAGAATCGTTATGTATCAGAGTGAGAAAACATTACACGTGTTCTGAAGAATGAAACAGTTGCTTGTTTCGAGGCAAAATTGTACTAATTTATACTAAAGTTAGTCTTGTTATTGAAGCCTTTGAAGCTGAAGTTTGCAAGACGATTTGCAAATTAAAAAGTAAGGTCCTTCTTGTCCAGGGATGTATGTCGACGGAATAATGTTGTATGTACCAACAGGTACATCTTCTAGTTCAAGGTAAACAAAGCCTGACCTATATGAGATTTAATTATTGATTAACATTGTATACAATTATGTGTAATAATTAAGATAACTACTTTTACAATACCTAAATGGTCCAGAACTTTTCATTTTGAATGCACCAGGTGCATCAGGATCATTTAGCACAACCGAGACAATATCAAAACCTATTTGATACTGTTTAGGACCTTTCAATATAATCAATAAATAGTTATTATTATTGGAATTTTCTAATACTAATTGGTAACGTGGATTGTTTTGATATGTTGGATGATTACTACATCCACCAGCTAAAGCACCTTTCCACTGGCCATCAGTTATCTAAAATGATTATTATTTCAATAATGCAAAATATTTAAAAAGTGAATGTTAAAATGATGTACCTCTTTTTCATATTTATAAAGTTGTGGCATCTTTCGCAAAGTAAATGGACATGTTCCATACGCACGTAAAGTGTAATATATCGTATTTGTCTTTTCATACTGTGATATGACTAGAGTATACCGAGAATCACTATTAGTGTCTAACTTTATTTTGCAGAGGTAGTGAGGACTATTTATTCTTAAACCATCAATGTATGGCGGTGGATCATCTACGGAATTAAATTTCTATAATGTATCATAAAGATATCAACACCATAATAAACAAATTAGTTTCCTTACGAGGGTAATATACTCTTCTTCCATTATTTCGATAAACCAATATTGTAATATATTCTTGATTTTGTCGGAAGTCTGCTATGTCTGTAATGTGTCTTGTCAGAAGAATCCATATAGCTCCTGTTACGTTATTTTGCACTTCTAAATTAAACTGAGGATTGTCACCGATATTGTACGCATCTTTCACTGGCCCTATTCCTGCATTCCACATTCTGTAATAAAAGAACTCTTAATAATGATGCAATTGTAAAATTTCCAAATAACGAGAATTCAATGACATCACTTACTGATGAATGCAATAAGTGTAATTAAATAAACCTGGATTCCAATTCAAATAAAATACATCAAAAAAGCGACATATGCTATCGTAATCGATCCAAAATACTCCGTTGTCAAATTGAGACGCAGAATCTGGATCATAATTTAATGCTTCTTTTAATTCGTTTGTCCAATGTATCGTATCAAGTTCGGAATAATTTCCTTTCCAACGTAAATGAGACCAAGGATTTTTCAGTTGTAACAATCTGTCTCCCTGTAATTGTATTAATGAACTTTACACTTATTATTCTTCTTAATGCGCATTTCAAAAATGATTGCTTACATTTATCTGTTTCACATTAAGAACAGCATATGCATGTGTAGGAACAAGACCTGTTCTATCGGCATCTAAATCAGAGAGTTCTCCAGTAGCGACTGTTACTAGTACATCTCCTTTATGTAAACGTGACAATAAAACGTTGAATAAATTGTCTTTATTAAAATCTGGTTCACCTGGTCTTATAGCCCACCTCTCTGGTATCCACCCAGTTAGAGCATGTAAATCTATATTCTAAACAGTATTTACTTGCAAAACAAATATTTAATATTTTTAATGTTATACTATATGAAAATTGACTTACACTATTTGAGCCAGGAAAATCATAACCACCCATTACTTTCATGTATGCTTTCTCAAGTAACGAGATCCATAGCTCTCCATGATTGCTGGAGTAGGAACAGAGTAATTGATTGTATCGACTTACAGGGAGCAAGTCGTCTATTATTACTTTTCGTGGAACACCATTAAGGTGTAGTTTCACCATATACTTTCCTAATAATAATAATTTTGCACGTTAATTTTTTAAGCAAAATTGTGAAATTGATAAAGCAGTGTTTAAATTCGTACCAAATGGATTGTAAATTGGTTCTTTATTCCGGTTTTTTGGATAAATAATGGACGTAATAAGTCTACGTCCAAATCTTTTTTCATATTGAGCACTAACAGCAAGGGAAGCAACAAAAGAGCAATCAGAAACAACCTAAAATGAATCACTCAATTAAGTGTTGGAACAATGAATATTAATAATATTAAAGTAATGATTAACCAGTACTAACAGTTTGTTTTATACTGTAATAATCAACATGGGAAGTTTTAAGCATTTTTGGATCAGGAAATAGTTCTTCCGGCCGGCACCATTTCGCAAAATCAGGTTTCTGTTTTGGTGCTAATTCTAACAAGCCATCTTTATCGGTAAATGGAATGGCATACTGAAATTTCTCTGTAAGATCTATATTCATAAACGGTACAAATTCATGGTCGTTAATATGAGAACTATGAAGTAAAACCCTTTTTTCTTCCTCTGTATAGCTTGTATTACCACCGCTTACTTTTAAATGTGCACTACTACCACGATGAAGAGGCGGTCGAGTTTGCTTTCCTGAAAATTGCAAGTGAATATAATGAAAAAGTTCTTGAAGAAAAGAACTTGCATCAGCAATTTGCATTACCAGAATTTTGAGTAGCTTTTGTTATTGGTGATGTTGCTATTTGATCTACATCTTCATCTAGATTTGTTTCTGGAACAGGAGGTAATTTAGAAAGTTTTTCAATAATATCAAAATTGTCATCAGTTTTCAAACCCTTCAGAGATTCTGCTCTATCAAGAGCAAGTCGTACAAGAGCAGTTATTTTCCCTTTCAGTTCTGTATCAGTAGTTTTCTGCAATTGTAAGATTAATTAATCAATACATTTGAAGAAAATGATATTAATATGAATAAACAATTTTACATACTATACTTAGTCCAAATTCAGCAGCATTAGTATATAATTTTACAGCAATATCCTTTAAGCCAGCTTCATCTGCATCTTGTGCTTGATTTATAAGAAATTTACATCTCTGCAATTCTGACTGATGCACAGATTGAGCTTTGAGACATTTCTGTTCATCTTCATCGACTATTAATTATCAATAATACATAAGTTTCTCATTTTTGTATATGCATTAGAAATTTATTTTACTTACGAAGTTTTTGTATCAAAGATATCCTTTCCTTATATTCAGAAATTTTTTGATCATACATAGGATCTTGCAATTCAGCAAGATATTTCACAGAAATGTTATAATAATATAATGCCTGTTTATATTGATTGTTAGTATCAAACTGTACTGCTTTTCGTGCTGCATTTTGTGCATCTTCCAATGTCATTTTAGAAATATTTATTATCACAAGACGTTAAAAACTTTTGTTATGATGCTCATAAGCAAATTTTTACATTCCTTGTTTAGTAAATTTCAACTTGCATTTTGAATATTCTTCTTAATGTTATCCTGTCAAAAAGTAATGATTCATAATTTTTACAAAAAGTTAGGTTCAATATTAGTATGAATAATAAAAATTCATTAACTTACATTCCATATTTCCATTTATTAACAAAATGAGTTAAATTCTTCATATACTATTTACAGTATGACATCATTTGAGAAAAATATCATTATACTAAAAATATTCCAGATATAAATATTGTTTACTGTCCTAATCACTGTTAGGCAGTCGTGAGATTTTATCTCACGCGACAGCTTTACGCGCATGCGCAGTGATGAGATATTGGACGGGTTTTTCCGCGCATGCGCGCCAATTTTAGTCTCAGTAAAGTACAAGTTTCAATAAAATAGGGTACCTCAATCACCCCTCATTATTTTTCAAAAATTTTTATAATTTGGTTGTGAAATATGAATGTATAGGTTGGATAAGATTACATTACATAAATATTTCTTATTTGAGGAGCAGATGGAAAGGAAAGGTACTAAAATAACTGTAAGCAAAATATATAATAAAGCAATCTAGTGGCGCCACTAAATACATAGGCTGCGTACGCTCTTGTATTTCTCGCGCATGCGCGCAAAAACCCGTCCAATATCACATCATTGCGCATGCGTCAGCTGACGTCACAGCTTGCTGCCAATGCCGTACCTAGCCGGTACACGCAGTGGTGACTGATGAGGGCACCTTAGTGATCCTACATAATTTTTCAAAAATTCTTATAATTACACTGTAAACTATGAATGTATAGGTTGGGTTAGATTACATTGGGCTGGGTTAGGTTAGTTATATATATGACTGTATAAAACTATACAACTATGTATATATCGTGAATTATATAATATAATATAATCGGAATAATATGATGGAATATGGGATATTATTATATTTAAAATAACATAAAAGCACAATAACTTTTAAAACACTAAATGAATTTATTATTTAAGAAAAACGACTTGGAAGGACCTCTTTGAATAACTATATTTTATACGTGTGAAAATTTTGAAGAAAAGAACTTGCATCAGCAATTTGCATTACCAGAATTTTGAGTAGCTTTTGTTATTGGTGATGTTGCTATTTGATCTACATCTTCATCTAGATTTGTTTCTGGAACAGGAGGTAATTTAGAAAGTTTTTCAATAATATCAAAATTGTCATCAGTTTTCAAACCCTTCAGAGATTCTGCTCTATCAAGAGCAAGTCGTACAAGAGCAGTTATTTTCCCTTTCAGTTCTGTATCAGTAGTTTTCTGCAATTGTAAGATTAATTAATCAATACATTTGAAGAAAATGATATTAATATGAATAAACAATTTTACATACTATACTTAGTCCAAATTCAGCAGCATTAGTATATAATTTTACAGCAATATCCTTTAAGCCAGCTTCATCTGCATCTTGTGCTTGATTTATAAGAAATTTACATCTCTGCAATTCTGACTGATGCACAGATTGAGCTTTGAGACATTTCTGTTCATCTTCATCGACTATTAATTATCAATAATACATAAGTTTCTCATTTTTGTATATGCATTAGAAATTTATTTTACTTACGAAGTTTTTGTATCAAAGATATCCTTTCCTTATATTCAGAAATTTTTTGATCATACATAGGATCTTGCAATTCAGCAAGATATTTCACAGAAATGTTATAATAATATAATGCCTGTTTATATTGATTGTTAGTATCAAACTGTACTGCTTTTCGTGCTGCATTTTGTGCATCTTCCAATGTCATTTTAGAAATATTTATTATCACAAGACGTTAAAAACTTTTGTTATGATGCTCATAAGCAAATTTTTACATTCCTTGTTTAGTAAATTTCAACTTGCATTTTGAATATTCTTCTTAATGTTATCCTGTCAAAAAGTAATGATTCATAATTTTTACAAAAAGTTAGGTTCAATATTAGTATGAATAATAAAAATTCATTAACTTACATTCCATATTTCCATTTATTAACAAAATGAGTTAAATTCTTCATATACTATTTACAGTATGACATCATTTGAGAAAAATATCATTATACTAAAAATATTCCAGATATAAATATTGTTTACTGTCCTAATCACTGTTAGGCAGTCGTGAGATTTTATCTCACGCGACAGCTTTACGCGCATGCGCAGTGATGAGATATTGGACGGGTTTTTCCGCGCATGCGCGCCAATTTTAGTCTCAGTAAAGTACAAGTTTCAATAAAATAGGGTACCTCAATCAACCCTCATTATTTCTCAAAAATTTTTATAATTTGGTTGTGAAATATGAATGTATAGGTTGGATAAGATTACATTACATAAATATTTCTTATTTGAGGAGCAGATGGAAAGGAAAGGTACTAAAATAACTGTAAGCAAAATATATAATAAAGCAATCTAGTGGCGCCACTAAATACATAGGCTGCGTACGCTCTTGTATTTCTCGCGCATGCGCGCAAAAACCCGTCCAATATCACATCATTGCGCATGCGTCAGCTGACGTCACAGCTTGCTGCCAATGCCGTACCTAGCCGGTACACGCAGTGGTGACTGATGAGGGCACCTTAGTGATCCTACATAATTTTTCAAAAATTCTTATAATTACACTGTAAACTATGAATGTATAGGTTGGGTTAGATTACATTGGGCTGGGTTAGGTTAGTTATATATATGACTGTATAAAACTATACAACTATGTATATATCGTGAATTATATAATATAATATAATCGGAATAATATGATGGAATATGGGATATTATTATATTTAAAATAACATAAAAGCACAATAACTTTTAAAACACTAAATGAATTTATTATTTAAGAAAAACGACTTGGAAGGACCTCTTTGAATAACTATATTTTATACGTGTGAAAATT